AGGATATACGGACCCCGCTTTGTACTCTGCATGATCGGTCCTCACTTTGTCGAATATACAGCGACACAAAAAAATTTTTTATTATGGATTTTAAGCGAGTATACTCTTTACCATACTGACGCTAATTTTGAATTGAGCAAGGCCGTAGCAAATAAGACCTTTTAAGTACAAGGGAAGCACCGGTCCTCACAACGCTCGTAGGACGGTCGGACCTCACAACTATAGCGGGATGTAAATATATATATATATATATATATATATTTAGTACCTGCTACATTAGGTATGTTTGTTGTAAGTGCACTTGTTGTAAGTGCACCATGGTGTTAGGATTTGTTTTACTTTTTTAGTAAAAATGTTACCTTTAGAATAAAAATTTTTATTTTGTTTAATAATTATTTTACTTTAAAGTATTTCATTTATGCACTGAAGAGTGAAAAGTGCAATTTTTTTTTGCCGATATATCGGCAATTATCTTGCCGATACGATACGATACCGATAATCGGAAACAATTGCCGATATGCCGATATACCGATATCAATATCGGTATCGTTCTATCCCTACTAATTACTCAAGAAGTGCTTAAAATCATTGTTGAAAATTTGTTAATTTAATTAATTTTTAACAACATTATAAACATGCATTTTAACAATTTCAATCATATTTTAATGCCAAAAATACAGACACAACATTTATTAAATATAAAGCCGCGTCCAGATTTGTACCGCGTCGCGCAACCGTACCACGTCGCGAGCCACGTTGCGAACCACGACGCGAATTTCATCCCGCAACCACGTACGCCGCCTCGAACAACATACCGGACCTCGGGTTGCAACCATTGCCGCGTTCCAATTTTTAGTCAGATTTTAAAATGGATATCGCTGCAGCAGCGTACATTTATATTCATTTCGCTTTATCAACTAAAAAGCGAAAACAAAAAAGGCGGTGGTGGCAAACAGAAATATTTAGAAATAGACCGAAATATGGTGCGAACAAATTGCTTGCAGATTTAAAGATGCAAAGAATTAGTGGTCAATATAAAAATTTCACTAAATGTCAACAATAGATTTTGAATATCTTCTTAATGCAATTGGGCCCAAAATAGGAAAGCAAGATACCAAGTTTCTAAAAGCAATATCAGTGCAAGAAAGACTAGCTGTAACATTCATTTTGCCTATATAAACTAATTAAAAGTAGAATAGTTTCTTCGGTCCACTCCATTTCATACACAAAATAAAACTAAACAAACAAAATTGCCCTTCTGCCCGTCCAGACTTGTTCAACGTCGTCGCATACCAATCCTTTGATGTTTCGTCAGTTTACCGACAAGTCGTGGATCGCGACGTACCTCGAGCTGCAACGCTTATTAGGTTCGCGACGGCGTTCGTTTCGACGTCCAGATTGCGCGCGACGTGGTTCGCAACGTGGTACGGTTGCGCGACGTGGTACAAATCTGGACGCGGCTTAACACATTAACGTGTACTGCATTGGCATTTAATATCAAACAGGCTATACGTATTTACGAGTATATGAAAACTTACAATATGGTTTTCCAATATTCATATTAGGTCCTATTTTTTATCTACACTTACTATTTTCTCTGTAATAACAAAATATTACAATAACATTTTAATGTATGTAGGTATGTTTTTTTAATTTATAAATTTCATTTTAATAAGCCTGTAATTACTCAACTTTTCTCTAATTTAACCGACCTCTGATTTTTTTTCCTGAGCGAGTTTTTGTCTCGGAACTCCCAAATCATTGAGTTTAACAAAATTGACTTAAGAATATTTTTTGAAGAAAATTGAATGCTCTACAAAAAAGGTTTGATTGGAATTTTCCGTCAGATGAACCCCTTTCTTACAATCATGCCTTAAAAATTGGTATAGTTTTAGAATTTGATCTTTTAACTTTGGAATTTTGTAATATAAGTAAAAATCAGTACCCTGAAAAAAAAACGATAAATATTCTTATGGGAAATCAAATGCTCTACAACAAAAGTCTTTTATCATTTTTGGCTAAATTAACCCCATCAAAACTTATTCAAGGTTAAATTTGAAGTCAAAACGAAATTTTAACCTTGAATAACTTTTGATTGAGTGAATTTAGCCAAAAATGTTAAGAGGCTTTTTTTGTAAAGCATTTGATTTCCCATAACAATATTTATCGGTTTTTTATGGGTACTGATTTTTACATGAATTACAAAATTAATATAAGATCAAAATGTAGAACTATACCAATTTTTAAGGCATGATTTCACTTTAACCTTTTTTGTAGGGCATTTAATTTTCTTAAAAAAATATTTTCAAGTCAATTTTGTTAAACTCAATGGTTTGGGAGTTCTGAGCCTAAAACTTGCTGAGGAAAAAAAATTAAAATTGCGATGATAGACCTCTTAATAATAATATTATGGACTCAAACTTTCACAATAATTTTTTTGTCACCCTAAACCATATTTTCGATATACTTTTCAAAAAAAAAATAGTTGATTTTTTGGCCCAGTATTACACATAGAAGGATACTTGGTGCACATACTCTGAAGAAAAATAAATCTCCTCTGAGTAGATATATTTTTCTTTTAAAAATAAGAAAATCGAAATGATATAAAATTAAAATTCTGTAAAATCAAAAAATTACAGTTTTAAAACAACAACAATATTCTAAAACCATTATATAAGTATAAAAAAATTTGTTTCCGACCCAAAACCGCCCAAAACACGATTTTTGGTCAAAACTGAATATTTGGCTGGTCTTGTAGTTTTAGCCAAAAATGTTTGGTTGAATTTTTTATTAAATTGGTTTACCCTGGTGTTTCGTAGTGTAACAGATTAGGTACATTAAAAAAAAATCAGTTTATTGAAAAATCACTTTATTTTTGGAATGCAATGTAGGTAAAAAAATATTTAAAAAGAACGTATATCAATTTTTAAGTCTATATAATAGGGTGATTCATTTCCGCAAAGTTTTTGTTTTCTTCGGTGCTCAAGCAAAATATTAATCTGCATATAGAAAAAAAAATTCTCAACAAATTTGAGCTCTTAATATCAATTTTAATACTTGCAGTTTAAATTTAAAGTTTTCCCATTTAAAATGCATGTAAAAAAATGTTTTTTTTTCAAATTTCTAATGCTTACCCACCTTTGACAATATTGCAAATCGGTTTAATACACCTTATGGGGAATTTCACGCTCTTTAAAATTGCTTTTGAGTTTTTTTTTGTAACTCGCATTGGTTCACCAGTAGGTGTCGTCAAAGGAGAGTTTTTGAAAAAAATCGTTTTTTTTTGAAATTTTTTCTAACAAACCGCAAAAAGTAGGGAGAAAAGTTTTTGTTTTCTTCGGTGCTCAAGCAAAATATTAATCTGCATATAGAAAAAAAAATTCTCAACAAGTTTTGAGCTATTAATATAAATTTTAAGTACTTACTATTTAAATTTAAAGTTTTACCGTTTAAAATGCATGTAAAAAATATATATTTTTTTCAAATTTCTAATGCTTACCCACCTTTGACAATATTGCAAATCGGTTTAATACACCTTATGGGGAATTTCACGCTCTTTAAAATTGCTTTTGAGTTTTTTTTTGTAACTCGCATTGGTTCACCAGTAGGAGTCGTCAAAAGACAATTTTTGAAAAAAAATCGTTTTTTTTAAATTTTTTCTAACAAACCGCAAAAAGTAGGGAGAAAAAAGGGCTGAATCATAAAAAAAGTTATCCAACCAATATTTAATGAATTTACAGCCATTTTTATAACTGAAAACGTAAGAAATTGATAATTACCAACTCATAATGTTATTTTGATTGATTTTTTCTATTTATTATCATTATTTCCCTAAACTAAGAAGTTTTTTAAAACTATTAATTTCTCACTTATAATGAATATGAAAACAACAGATAAATTCATAAAAAATAGCAAAAAAATATAAATGAAGATTATTTAATTTTTTGAAGCGAAATTTGGAATATGTTACATAACCTTCTGTATATTCCGATTAAAGTTTTGTTGTTTTTTTATGAATTTATGTGTTGTTTTCATATTCATTATGAGTGAGAAATCATAATAATTTTAAAAAAAGTTCTTAGTGTAGGGAAATATAATGATAATAAATAGAAAAAATCAATCTAAATAACATTATAGGTTGGTATTTAACAATTTCTTACGTTTTCAGTTATAAAAATGGCAGTAAATTCATTAAATATTGGTTGGATAACTTTTTTTTTATGAATCAGCCCTTTTTTCTCACTACTTTTGGCAATTTGCTCGAAAAAATAAAAAAAACGATTTTTTTCAAAAACTGTCCTTTGACGACTCCTACTGGTGAACCAATGCGAGTTACAAAAAAAAAACTCAAAAGCAATTTTAAAGAGCGTGAAATTCCCCATAAGGTGTATTAAACCGATTTGCAATATTGTCAAAGGTGGGTAAGCATTAGAAATTTGAAAAAAAAAACATTTTTTTTTACATGTATTTTAAATGGGAAAACTTTAAATTTAAACTGCAAGTACTTAAAATTGATATTAAGAGCTCTACCTTGGTGAAATTTTTTTTTTCTATAGGTAGATTAATATTTTGCTTGAGCACCGAAAAAAAACAAATGAATCACCCTACTATATAATATATATAATATCGTAATCAAATAAATAGTATTTTTAAGAAGTATTTGTTACCAACAGTTTCTTTTATATTGTATGCTATTCTCCTAAAATAATATTTTCTTAATTTTATAAGAAGTCTTACTTTTACAAATTAAATTAATGAGATCTTGCATTTGGCATCTTTCCACTAACAGAGTTAGAATAACGATAATAATCATTTATTCGAAGGAAAGGAAACTGATTTATCGTAAAAACAATACTATTAACAAACAAAAAAACGTTCCGACTATTACCTGATAGTGCCAAACACGAACGCAAGTTTCTACGGCCAAAACCAGCCTTGTTGGCCGAAACTTCCGTCTGCCACTAGAAAGAACGTAACTAATTTAAAAATCTTTCATCAAGGTTGACGAATCGGACACACTCAAAAAGGATGCACAGCGTCAACGGACCACCTCTTCCTCCACCGAAATGACGGAAGAGCAGCTGCAGGCCGCAGTGGCCAGGATCCTGCATTCCACTTTCAAGGACTCCGCGTCGACGAGCAGGTTATACCTGCCGGAAACTGCCCGATCCCTGCGGGAAAACCCTTCGATCACTTTGAAGGAGCTAACTTCCACCGCCATAATGGAGGTGCTGGCGCAGATAGCGCTCGGCGGCGACCCGTTCAAGAACTTGAAGCCGCAGGACCCGGAAGTGAGCAGCTCGTTCTCCGCAAGTCCGACTTTCAATTCGCCCAGTCCCAGTCCCGTGGGCGCTTGTCCCATCCCGCTGCTGACCATGAAGCCCACCGAGAGCAAGCTGGAAAATTCCGGTGAGTTGGCGTTGAATTTCTTGATGGATTGCTATAATAGAGTCAGTTTGGAGGAGAGGAATCACCCGAAAAGGTAAGAATATTGTATATTTAATACACTCACTAAAATTATATTTATTAAATAAAAATCCGAAGTAGAGTAAATGCAATAAAAGATATATTAAAAATAAAACCAGGTTATAATTGATGCTGTTGATGCAAGTTAGAGTTCCTGGCCAATTTATTAGACTCGCACATTTATGGCACGCCGTTTTACTTTTTAATGTCATGTTTATTAAAGCTAAATATTAATTCAAGTTGTGTTTTTAAAAATTGACTAAACATTTTAAAGTAAAAATTTTATGATACCTTGGTGTATTAAGTACACAATTTTAAGCACAGAATAAGAATTAAAGTAATTTTAATTCTGGAACTGAATGGCGTATTTTCTGACTAAAAAATTCGATGAATTAAAATTTGGGTTGAGATAATTTTAATAAGGCGCTACTTGAGAAACACGCAGTCAAATTGAACCAACATTTTAATTCATCAAATTTCTTAGCCAGTTAATTCAAGGTGCGCGACATTTATTTAAGAAAAAGTAATACTGAAATTATCATTATGTCGCAATTATTTTCTATTATTACTCGTCGACATAAAAATCAATTTACCTGTTAGAAATTAAAGTGATAAAGTTTCTTATTCGACACACAAATATTTTGCATGAAATATTTGTTTTAATATTTAAATGTTTTTAATATTACTGAAAATTGTATTTGACTAATAAGAATTGAATACAATTTTATTTATATTGTTATTTTTAAAAGTTTTAATATTTACTTTTAATACGAATTATTTTGTTGTTTAAAACACTTTGAAACAATTTTTATTCGGGAATGGTATAGTTGTTTTTAATTATTATGTTATTTAAATCTAGCAATACGAATTTTCATTTAAGAATCTTTCTGCCATATTTCTTTTAATCCGATTATTTTTTTAGATAATAAATTCAATGCTACTTGTATGTGACAAAATAATAATTCCTTATTTTTTTTTAAATGTTGGTTATCACTTGTAAAGAGAATTTTAGTTTGGTGCTAGTGCATAGTGAGGTTGTGTTACGTACTACTGCCACCAAGCGAAATCACTAAACGTTGAAGGTACAGGGTGGTCCACGTAAGGTGACCCATATACTTATCTCAGAAACTACTGGAGTCACAAAAAATTTGTAAGAAACAAATATTCACGAAGTAAAAAATATTTTTAAAATATTATATTTTCATTTATACAGGGTGTTCGGTTTTCCTTGGGACGATACCAACTTTCTTATTTTCAATGGAACACCCTGTATTTTTTTGCATTTTTGGATTCTACCCACTCTTTTAGGTATACTTTGTAGATATATTAATTAAGAAAATGTTAATACTTTTTGAGTAAAATTAAGATTTATTAAAATTTCTCTAAATGTAGACACTCGCTAAAAGTTAAAAATAACCAACTAAAAGTTATTATTTTTTATATTATGTAGTATCCATCTCTTAAATAATAAGTAAGCTATAAGTTAATTATTATATTTTTTGGAAAATATCATACAGGGTGTTTTCTATGTCCCGTTGAAAATAGCGATTTTAAAAGTTTAAAATCTTGTTTTTCTTCAATGGAACACCCTATATATTTTTGCATAATTGAATAGAATAAGTAATTACCTTTCATTTTATATATATATGTCCTATACCTAAACCTAACAGAAAAAAAAATATTCGCATTTTTTACAATTAGTAGCTTTTTTCCAATTACCTTAGTTAAATTTTCGTTATTCAAATAAATAAATTTCAATAACAACAAATAAAAATGCTTTTATATATAAATATATATTACTATAATAATTACCATACGCGCAAAGCTACTAATTTTGTAAAATGCGAATATTTTTTTTAGGTGATCCACGTAAGGTGTCCCATATACTTATCTCAGAAACTACTGGAGTCACAAAAAATTTGTAAGAAACAAATATTCACGAAGTAAAAAATATTTTTAAAATATTATATTTTCATTTATACAGGGTGTTCGGTTTTCCTTGGGACGATACCAACTTTCTTATTTTCAATGGAACACCCTATATTTTTTTGCATTTTTGGATTCTAAACACTCTTTTAGGTATACTTTGTATATATATTAATTAAGAAAATGTTAATACTTTTTGAGTAAAATGAGGATTTATTAAAATTTCTCTAAATGTAGACATTCGCTAAAAGTTAAAAATAACCAACTAAAAGTTATTATTTTTTATATTATGTAGCATTCATCTCTTTAATAATAAGTAAGCTATAAGTTAATTAATTTATTTTTTGGAAAATATTATACAGGGTGTTTTCTTTGAATAATGAAAATTTAAGGTAATTGGAAAAAAGCTACTAATTGTGAAAAATGCGAATATTTTTTTTTCTGTTAGGTTTAGGTATAGGACATATATATATAAAATGAAAGGTAATTACTTATTCTATCCAATTATGCAAAAATATATAGGGTGTTCCATTGAATAAAAACAAGATTTTAAACTTTTAAAATCGCTATTTTCAACGGGACATAGAAAACACCCTGTATGATATTTTCCAAAAAATATAATAATTAACTTATAGCTTACTTATTATTTAAGAGATGGATACTACATAATATAAAAAATAATAACTTTTAGTTGGTTATTTTTAACTTTTAGCGAGTGTCTACATTTAGAGAAATTTTAATAAATCTTAATTTTACTCAAAAAGTATTAACATTTTCTTATTTAATATATTTACAAAGTATACCTAAAAGAGTGGGAAGAATCCAAAAATGCAAAAAAATACAGGGTGTTCCATTGAAAATAAGAAAGTTGGTATCGTCCCAAGGAAAACCGAACACCCTGTATAAATAAAAATATAATATTTTAAAAATATTTTCTCGATTTTTATGTAAGAATGTCATATTCTCGCACGCAAAATCGTTGAAGAATGAAGCTCATTCTTAAACGATTTTTGGTAACATTTAGTTTTTAAGTATTGGTACCCCCAAAATGTCAAACTGATTAATAACCTCAAATTCATTACTTTTATTGAAAATGAAGCCTTTATTATTGTTTTGTAATATAAAGTTTGCTCCAACAATGCATTTTAATGCAAAATTTTAAGTTTAATGTGTAAAAGTGCAGTTCAGGTTGTACTTGTGCAGGATAACAAATATTGTCATTTTGTGTTGCCAACTGACATTTTGCGAGAAAAATCCCCTAACTAACAACGACCACAAAACAATTAAAAAAACCTAAATAAAAGTTAAAATCGAGAAAATAGTATAAATCACACGTTGCAGAAGGCTATTCTCGCACTCATTCGTTCGTCCACTCGCTCCTTCGTCGCTCGAGGCCAAATTTCGAATTCGTGCGAGAATATGTGGCCTTCTGCAACTTGTACTTTAATATACTATTTTAGTTCGTGAATATTTGTTCCCTACAAATTTTTTGTGACTCCAGTAGTTTCTGAGATAAGTATATGGGTCACCTTACGTGGACCACCCTGTACATGAGCTCGTAAATAAATTAGGCAACGGTGCATTCAAATTCAGTGCTGCCGTTTTATTTACTTACCTGTTTTGCTTTCCTTAATTTCTTACCTAATTTATTAATTAATTTTTTGAAATACAAATAAAGAAAATCTTTTTTACTAAAATATTGGTTTTTATTGACTAAAAGATAAAAAACAATACAATATTTTCAATCCACCATTAATGACATTGATTAAGTTTGTGGATTATTTATACTGTACAGGTACCTAGTCGGCTCGGACACGTAACGAGTAGGACAATTCTGGTAATTATATAAATATCTTCTTCTGCGAGAAATCCTATTGCATAGACAACTAAGCAAATAATGAACCACAATTAAATTGTCTATTAAGAGAGTCCATATCTAAATTATTTCGTATAAAGTGAGGTTAGCCAGCAGGGCAGTCTTGTTGAAATGCACCCTTAAAAATCATAATCATGTCGATATACATTATTGATAGCACTGAACATTTTGGACTGCACTGTTGCCTAATTTATTTTCGAGCTTATGTACCTTCGACGTTATGTGGTTTCGCTTCGTGGCAGTAGTACGTAACACAACCGCACTATGCTCTAGCGCCAAATTAAAATTCTGTTTACGAGTGTTAACCAACATTTTAATTCATCGAATTTTTCATCGAGAAAATTTGCCTTGCGCTTACAGATTTAAATCTTGTCTAATTTTTATTCCAAAATAAATATTCTACTTTAACTTAATTTTAAATTAATAAATGAAATATTATTATTTACATATAAGCACCTTTTTTAAATAGAAAAAAAATATTCATACAATAAGAACTGAAATATAGATCACACCAGAATGATGTAAATATACATATATGAAAACTTATCCAATACACCAAAAAATAAATTGATAAATTTTAATTTATAATTAAATTTAATTTAGTAATTTTTATGAACGTTTATATTTTCTAGGCAATTTTTAATTTTGATAATTTTTGTTTTGAGTTAATTTTTTGATGTCATTAAAAAGTAAAACGGCGTGCCATACACATTTTTTTAATTTTGGGAATTTGTAAAATAGTTTATATATTTTCACAAACTACAAAAGTGATTTTATGAATAAAATCGCCTAAAAAAACGCTTTTTAGGATTATGTTAGTAAATATATTATATAGACCAGGCTGAGAAGGTCATATTATAACCAAGCATACATTTCACTGCCAAGGCGCTAGCCGACGCAGTAGATTGTGCGCGAGGCAATTAATATGCTTTTGCCGCTTTGTTTTATATACCTACTATTTTTTGCAAGCATTTGGGTAATTAAAATATTTATATAAGATTTTATCACATCATTTTTAGGTAAGGTTTAACTGATGAGATTTTTGCTTCATTTTTATGCTGAGGTTTATAAAATAAATAGATTTATTACCTTAAAAAGCGATTTTTGAGCTATAATCAATTTATTCTCAATTCTCATCATATGCTTGAATAGGCGTACAAGACTAAAACAATTGAATTAAAATTTCATATTCTGAGGTTCCTGCTTGAGTAATATGTGACATATTTTTATTAAAAAAAAAGTCAAGAATGCATACAATAAACTGATTTTTAACATCAGTAAAGTACCTTTTCTGTGCAAGATATGACAACATTTTATCAAGAAAAGTTGTTTAAAATTACAAGCATAAGCATTTAAATTTTCTGAACACTTTCAAATGGACAATGTTAAACCATATTTATACCGCGAAACTTTTCCAGCGATGACGTCAAAATGTTTACAAAAATCAGAATTAAGAAAGTAAACACTTTTACATATGCAAAAAATAACTATAATATCACAATATAATCATTTTGTAATCGCTGGAAAACTTCCGCGATATATGGTCTATATTAAACATTCAAATAAAAATTGTAAATACCTACACAAAAAATACGCGACTAACTTTTTCAACTTACGTCACATGAGTGACATGTATTTAATAAGTTTATTCATTTGTTTGGTATGTTATTTGCTGAATGATTATTTTACCTATACAAATAATTGGCGTTCTTTAATAACCTTAAAAGTATTTAAATAAAATTTAAAACTTTTATAAAGCATTTAAAATATATAAAACAAATTCAAACAGATTGTAAAAAATGCTGATTAAAAATCAAAATTATAAGATGCTTACAAACATATGCAATGTTGTATATTATTTATTTAAAATGGTTAAAACCAATGCAGATTACATAAAATTTAAATAATCAAAAAAAAATTATCAAAAAATATATGAGAAATCCTGATAAAATAAGCAACTAAGATTGTACTTTTAGTTTTTTTTGTTTTCACCTAAACTTATACCGTATTTTCATTTTTTCTCTATTCGGTTTTTAGAGTGGGAGGAAAGTTTTTAAGAGTGGGAGACGTGTCCCTAATTCAGTAGTGGACCCTTCACCGACGTTATGTGATAGACGTTATGTGAAGTTTGCTCTGGATTATTAATACGAATAATTACGCATTATTAAGTTAGTTTACTTTTATAAATGATTCAGATACTTAAAATGTAATCACTTTTAACAGTATATTATTATCTAAAGGTGTAAAATCATTATTTGTTTAGCATTTAACTAAAAGTGTTTTCTTATAAAAAACGTTTAAACATACAAAATTCTTTTTAAAAACTAAAATAAAATAATTCTCTTGAAAACAAGCTAAAATAAATAAATCAATTTTCTTAAAACAAAACTAAAAAGAGGTATTTTTTTTGACGTAGAGAATTGCCCACTAAAGACCAGCTTATCATGTCAATTTTCTCTTGCAATGTGTAGGACATTATAACTTATAATTTTAAATAAAAAGAAATTAATTTATGTTAAACCCTCGAAATACACACTAGCAAATGCTAGTAATGTATAAATTTATGTCGGTTAAAAAAATTCCAGTAGATACATAAAAAATTTACCGATTTCTCTAATGTGAAATACCCAGCCGGTATATAAAAAATAAAGCAATAGCTTATGAAAAACCTTAAAAATATCCCGTATTCTTAAAACTAGCACTAACAAGTTTATTTAATTTATTCTTAGGAAATTGCTTATTTCCAGGTCTAGCATACCACCTTTAAGCGACGTACTAACAGAAGTCCGCGCCCAAATAATCCAATACACCACTTTGGTGGTGCAAGGCTACATCATACCCACTACTGAATCACCTCAGGAGTCAATGTCGCCAATATTACCGCCGATAATCCACCAAACAATACCCCGAGGTTTCCTCACCGAGCTGGTCTCGCGCACCTACAACCACGACGAATTATTCTCGAACGTGTTCAACCCGGTTTTGCAAGGGTTGTTTGGCATGATGCAACACGCCAGCGTTGTAGGGGACGAGCATAGATTACCCCTGCACACTCTATTCGAGTTGGCCGACGTTAGAGTTGGTTCGAGGCCGATTTGTACGCTGATAACCAAGCAGGCTCAGTTTATGAACGAAACTGTGACGAATGCACCGGGTCGGGAGGTTATGAGATCGTCTTTCCTCGGCCCTTTTCTGTCGATCTCGGTGTTTGCCGAGGACGAACCGAAAGTAGCCGAGAAGTTCTTTTCGGGTAACTCGACTAGTGATAAGAGTATCAATCAAACGTTGCAATGCGAATTGGAGAATACCAGAACTTTGCAGCACAGAATTTTCCACTATCTCCTCGTAAACGCCGACAGTAGAGATGCCAGTTTGAATTACCTGGCGCATATATTAAAGTCCAACGAAAAAAGAAGCCAACTGCAAATGGAGGAAAGGAATTTGGCCGGCGATGGCTTCATGCTTAACGTATTAAGTGTGCTACAAATGCTCTCTCTTAAAATCAAACTAAACCGCATGGATCTTCTCTACGGTTTCCACCCTGACACTCTGGTGCAAATAAAAAGCGACGATACAAGATTAAAATTCACGTCCCAAGAAGTCACCGAGTGGCTGGAAGGCTTATCGAAAACCCAGGAATGGCAAACACCAAATTTCTCCACCATATGTTGGTTCTTAACGCTGCATTGCCATCATTTGGCCTTGTTGCCTGCCCTACAAAAATACCAGAGACGATTAAGGGCCATAAAAGATTTACAGAAAATTTTAGACGAGACCGTGGCTGCAGAGGCTCAGTGGAAGAACACGCCATTCGCCAATAGAAATAAACAGTTCATCAAAAGGTGGAAACAACAACTTAAAAAACTCAACAAGTAAATATTTAACTATTCTCCCTGCTAAGCTAAAAGCCCGTGTCTACAATAGACTGGGCCAAAAAAATCAACTATTTTTTGAAAAGTATATCGAAAATATGGTTTGGGTTGACAAAAAAAAATATTGTGACAGTTTGAGTCCATAATATTATTATTAAGAGGTCTATCATCGCAATTTTAGATTTTTTTCCCTGAGCGAGTTTTTGTCTCAGAACTCCCAAACCGTTGAGTTTAACAAAATTGACTTGGAAATATATTTTGAAGAAAATTGAATGCTCTTCAAAAAGATTCGATTGGAATTTTTCAGATGAACTGTTTTCTTACAATCATGCCTTGAAAATTGGTATATTTTTACAATTTGATCTTTTAACTTTGGAATTTTGTAATTCATTTAAAAATCAGTACCCGGAAAAAACCGATATATATTCTTATGGGAAATCAAATGCTCTACAAAAAAAGTCTCCCAACATTTTTGGCTAAATTCACTCCATCAAAAGTTATTCAAGGTTAAATTTGAAGTCAAAACGAAATTCTTGTTTTTTCCGCTCTGGATTTTATTTTGGGTCAGTTAAAAACTTGGATTCTTTTATGATAATCTTTGTTAATGATAAAATTACTGAAAATTAAAAAAGAATAACACATTAGAATTTTTTTAAGAAGCTGTTCTTTAGAAAATATTATTTTCACTGTTACCTATTTAATCATTTAAATAATAACAATCATGTTGTTTTTTATTGGAAATTGTTAATTAGTTATATAATAGTCATTTATAAAGAAAAAAATCAAATTATCATCAATAAAAAAATAAATCTACAGAGGAAAAAACAAGAATTTCGTTTTGACTTCAACTTTAACCTTAAATAACTTTTGATTGAGTGAATTTAGCCAAAAATGTTACGAGGTTTTTTTGTAAAGCTCTTGATTTTCCATAAGACTATTTATCGGTTTTTTTCTGGGTACTGATTTTTACATGAATTACAAAATTCCAAAGTTAAAAGATCAAAATGTAAAACCAAACATTTTTAAGGCATTATTTTAAGGAAACGGTTAATCCGACTTCTGATCCGATTTAATTTTCTTAAAAAAATATATCTGAGTCAATTTTGTTAAACTCAATGGTTTGGGAATTCTGAAACAAAAACTTGCTGAGGAAAAAAAATTTAAAATTGCGATGATTAATATTAATATTATGGACCCAAATTTTTATAATATTTTTTTTGTCACCCCAAACCATATTTTCGATATGCTTTAAAAAAAATAGTATATTTTTTGGCCCAGTCTAGTCTACAATATAAAGTCATAAAGGACAAAAGTCAATTTTAATTATAATTATTTTTAAGAATTTAAATAACATTTTGTTCTTTATTTCACAATTAGCTTAGCAGGGCAGTATTGTTATAAAATTTTACTATTTAAATGTTTTTTTTAGATCTAAAGCATGTGCAGATGCAGGTTTGCTCGACAAAAATCTCATAAGAAGGTGTCTGATTTTTTATACTTCTGTAGCTGAATATTTGTTAAGTTTGATGACTCAGACGCCACCAGGTTCGGATGCTCTAACGTTGCCGCTTTCTTCCACTACCCCTCCAGCTTTCTCCGCAATGCCTGAGTGGTATGTTGAGGATATAGCGGAATTTTTACTTTTTGCACTACAGTAAGTATATTTTATTTTTGTTTACGAAATATTTTTTTATTATTTTAAAAAAATTGATTTATACTACTCCAAAGTTGGTTATTGTTTGGGACTTCTGTAAACAGATGTCCCTATTCTGAATTTGTGGTTAAAATATCGTTTTAGGTCCATTTTTCTTGCAAATTACTTTATTTTTAATCTGTTTATGTAATATACAAATATTAACAAAGTTAACATTATAAAAACTATATATGGCAATAAAGTCCTAGAATGGTCAAAACATTAATTTAAGCAAAAAACGCCATATTTTTACAAAATACAAGGCCTACTATGTCAGTTTATAAAAGTAAATTTTTAATAATTCATATTAGGGCGATTCCATGATTACTAATGGGACACACCGAAAGAAGACAAAATTTTTTATGAATATTTTTTTAGATATGTTGTTTCTATAACTATAATTTTATGATAGTTATTATTACTTAATTTTATTGCTGAGAACTATCATAAAATTATTATTATAAGAACAACACATGTTCAAAAATTTTCATAAAACATTTTTTCTTTTTGTTTTTCCCATTAGTAATCATGGAATCGCCCATTAGCGTTTTTATTTTAAACAAAATCTAAGCACGGCACTGGATTCACCACCCCTCAAAACGACCATATACTAAATTATATTAAAAAATTTTAAGTAGAAAAATGCACAAGTTATCCATGAAAAAAACATTGAAATAAAATTAAAATAATAGCAACATGGTACTAGACTTAATGTCTAAAAGGAGACTATGTTGAGAAATAAAACGTTTATTTGCCGAAAAAATGTTTTTTATTCAAAAACTTATCAAACCACACCAGTACCTACATCTATTTTGAGGCATTTTTTGTTTTCTAAATTCCTAGACACCCTGTTCATTTGATTTAAAAAAAAATTATGGGAATCTTATTTTTTAAACAAGCAACACTTTTTATAAAGAATAATTTTTTTTGTAAAACGCATAATAAAAAAGTTTGTTTCATTGGATTTTTTGCCACATACAATTTATTGTCGTGAGAGTAGAATGCGGAATTTTTAGGAACCAAAACTGTTTTTTTCATCTCTTTAAGATCGTAATAAATTACATTTCTCCAAGAAAATGTGGCCTCCCTGTAAACATTAAAACATTTTAATTTTTTATCTAGGTACTTCCCCGCAATGGTCAGCGAAAACTCCGAAGACACCCTCATCACCTGGCTTTTAACAACAATCTGTTCATCGCAAATGATCAAAAACCCGTACCTAGTTGCCAAATTGGTCGAAGTTATTTTCGTGATAATGCCGGCGATTCAGCCTCGCTGCGAGTTGATTTACCTGAAGTTCATGAACCATCCCATTTCCGAATCCATGTTGCCGAGCGCTCTGATGAAGTTCTACACGGAGGTCGAAACTACCGGGTCGAGTTCCGAGTTTTACGACAAGTTCTCCATTAGGTATCACATCAGTTTAATCATCAAAGGTAAGTAAGATCGTAGCAAATCTAAGGTACACCCTATACATAATCAAATCGGGAAGATTATTATTTTGAGTACACTCCAAAAAGGTTCGATTTGACCAGGGTTGGAGAAAGTCGCTTTTTAAATTAATTTACTTTTTAATATAATTTACAAAATACAAACTTGAAAATTGTAAACGCCATACCACTCCTATTTGAAGTAGGTATCAAAAAAGATTTTGCGCCGATTGACAAATTGCTTACCGAGGAAGTTGCGACAATGTTTATTTATGGTAAAATAAATTTACTATAGGTTTTGAGTTATTATGAATTTAAGTTTGCCAAAAATTGTTATATTAACAATTTAAATAAGGCAGCTGAAGTTGACATGGTGGGCTGATAAGTTTTCTGTCAGTTTTGATGATTTTTTTTTAATTGTGGGTTGACTCTTCAGTTGCGATGCTATGGTAAACAATTTTATTCAGATTTTAATTTAAGCATATACAGGATGCAAAAGTAAGAAAAAGTTTTTTGACAAGCAATATCAATGGATGTCCTTTCCATTTGAAATTTTCTATCAGTTTTTAGAAGCGTAAAAAAATAGTCGTTTAAATTAATATTGTAAAATATGCACTAACATATGTTAATCAAAATTTTTTTTTGCCTTGACAAATACTTCTATTATTTATCGTGATCCATCAAATCTGTATGTGCAAAATACTTACATGTAGTGTAAAAAATATTCACTGTATATAAGTTTAAAATGTATTTTGATATTTTATCAGTTAAAAAAACGCACGGACACATTTTCGTATTAAATTTGCCACTTTTTATTGCGATATTAATTGATATTTTTGAAAAATCGAATTTATTTTCAAAATTTAATGTTTTCATAAAAACGGCCATGTTGGGCGATCCTAAAAACACCTAAAATGACACTGCAAAAAGATACACTATGAATGTATGTATGTACTATTGTTTATAAATGAGCAGAACGTAACCTCAGACAGAACGGAAGATTTTGCCGAATTTCATATTTTCCGTTCCGTTTCTTGCGTCTGGCCAATCAAAAGAGAGAATTCACAACAGGTTGTCTCACACTGCTGTTTTCTCGCACTCGTCCATTAGAAAACTCGCTGTAAATTTCAAATTTTTTCTTGCGAAAAAATGATGAATTTGTAGATTATCCAGCGCACAACCACGCAAGCCTAAAAATTCCGTTCCGTCGATTTATAACTTCAATAAAGCTGGATTTATAGTTGGACGTAAACGTAGAGTATACGCACTGGATACGTAAAAAACGGACTGTAAAAAAGTATTCAATTTATAAATCGACGGAACGGAATTTTTGGGAATGCGTAGTTTTGCGCTGGATAACCTACAAATTATACGTAATTTTTTTCGCACGAGGATAATTGTAATGGACGAGTGCGAGAAACCGTCTTATAAGATGAGTTCTTTGCAATATTCTTTCTATTTGCCAAAATTTTTGAATAATGTCGAAGTGACAAACCGCTGTGCACAGATAATTATCTCTTTTGATTGGCCAGACGCAAGAAACGGAACGGAAAAGATAAAAGTTGACCAACCCAACAAAATTTATAAATGAACGTAAACGCAGACTTAACGGAAGGGTTGGTCAACCGTCTACGTACAACTATAAATCCAGCTTTAAGTTTGTTACGTATCCAGTGCGTCTACGTTACGTCTACGTCCAGGTTAAAGCTGGATTTATAGTTTTAAAGGTAACGTTAGAGGCAGCGGTAAAGGTAGAGGTAAAGGTAGCGGTAGCGGTATCACTTTCTGCGATTTATAGTTCAGAAAGTAGCGGTAGCGGTACTGACGGCGCATGCGTACTTTAATGCAGATTGTAATTTTGTTTCTAAAATTTAATAGCAAAAGGTTAAGTTTTCTATGAAAACATGAATTGCGAGGACAATGCTGTGCTTCTGGGCCATATGGCGTTGTGCGAAATATTATATAATAAACCCTGCAACACAATATATTATATATGCAATATATTATGTTGTATTGCAGGGTTTCAAGTACGTTATGGGGGTCGTCAAGTACGTCGCTATAAAACGAGGGAATTAAATCGGGAACGAGCTAAGAAACGCCATTTCCAGTATTAAAATAAAATAAAATAAAATTGACCGATAAAGAGTGGTTCTTTAAATACACAAATGACGGTGCCCATTTTTGACAAATTATCAAGTCTGGTTGCCCCCCGCATAAAAACTAAACCTATAAGGCGAGGCTGCCAACTAAAAACTGCCGTGTGATTGGCTGGAGTAGCGGTTGAGGTAAGAAAAGTTGAAAGATGGTCATCTCTTGCCGCTACCTTCTTGCCTCTACCTCTCTTACCGCTACCTCTGACAACTATAAATTGTTTCGTACAATATTCAATGCCGAACTCGGCTACCGCTACCGCTACCTTTACCTCTACCTTTACCGCTGCCTCTACCGTTACCTTTAAAACTATAAATCCAGCTTAAGAAGTAACAAGTTTATGCGTTAAAACGTGTTTTTTAGTGTTTTTAAATTTTATTTTTAGGAATGTGGGGCTCGACCATACACCACCAGGAAATAATCAACGAATCCCGTACCGGCAAGCAGTTCGTCAAGTTCGTCAACATGCTCATGAACGACACGACCTTCCTATTGGACGAATCTCTCGAGTCGCTCAAGCGCATCCACGAGGTGCAAGACCTGATAAGCGACGATGCCAAATGGTCGAAGCTGCCCTCCGAGCAGCAGCAAAGTCGAATGCGCCAGCTGAGCGCGGACGAGCGGCAATGTCGCTCTTATCTGACGCTGGCGCGCGAGACCGTCGACATGTTCCACTATTTGACGGTGGACATCAAGGAGCCGTTTTTTGAGACCCGAGCTGGTGGACAGGTTGGCCAGCATGTTGAACTTTAACTTGCAACAGTTGTGCGGCAAGAAATGCAAGGATTTGAAGGTCAGGAACCCGGACAAGTACGGTTGGGAACCGAGGAGGTTGTTGAGCCAGTTGATTGATATTTATTTGCATTTGGATTGCGATAAGTTTGCTGAGGCGCTTGCTGGAGATGAGGTTAGTAACAGCAAACATTGTTTAAAAAATGATATGTAATACATACTATGTCAATTTTTTAACTTACAAAAAAATCTTTTTCTTTATTAAAAAACAGTCAAATTTTACAAGGATACTTTTTGGTACATTTTTTTCAGTTCCAATCTAGGTTCCAATTAAATCGGTGAGATCAAGAACAGTAAAAGTCCAAAATTTAATATTTTTACAAGTTATTTTATAAAATCATTTTTTTAGATTAAAATGAATTTTTTTAAGAATATTTCATAAAATATAATAACCATATCTCATCAATTCAATTAACGTTTTAAAACGGAAAAATTGGGTAAAAAATTTTTCCCGGGCCTTTGATAAAAAAAGAATTTTTTTAGAGATTTCAAAAATACACAAATTTTAATAAAAGAAGCATTTTTCTTGTTATTTATAAAGAAATATTTTATTATTACTTGCTTCATAACTTTTTTTCAATCCAATTTTTCCGAAAATAGACTTTTGGCACTTTGTGAAAAACAAAAAGTTTTTTCCGAGCTGCATCACAAGCATTTTCCGAAAAAAATATTTTTTTTTGGCACCTTGTGAAAAACAACAAAAATGTTTTTCCAAGCTTTTAAAACATCACAAGCAGTTTAAACGTAAAATTTGCAGGAACATTGGATTTTGCATTTTTTGTAAAGTTCTTGTGATTTTTAAAGATTTTTAAAAATACGAGCAAAAATGCGAGAATCTATTTTTTTGAAAATTAGTCCATTTTTTAACATTTTCCAATTTTTTCGTTTTTTTTCTAAAAAAAACCTTAATTTTCAAAAAAAAAAATTAATCATTAGTTCCAATATAATATTTTTAAAAATTGTCAGATTAAATTATTGGTAAAAATCTTTTAACTTTTTTTAAAATACAAAACTTGTAATAATAATAATTATAAAAAATAATAAAAATAATTACATATCTTATAATCTATACATTAATTTTGTTTAAGCTTTTAAAGTAGAAAATTTATTGTCCAGTAAATGGGGTTTAAAAGAGGATAAATGTACTAAAAATTGAAAAATAGGAAATAGTGCAATATTTTTCTTCATAAAAGTTTTTCAGTCCTTTAAATGTAATATTTATTATTTATTTATTTAGGTTTACATATTACTAATAGTAATTTACCTATAGCAAAATATTATACAGAGAGTTTAAAAATATTAATGAAAAATTTTATTTATCAATATCAATAAATAAAATTAATTAATTTAATTGCTGTCGAATTTAAATTTAATTTCATTTATTTTTTATTTTCTATAAAGTTGCACCTATTTTAGGTTTTTTATAAAAATAAAAAGTATTAAAAAAAATTGTATTGTAGAATAATTTTTTTGATTTGAGGCTTTGTTCTTGATATAAAAGCTTTATAAGACATTAAAAAAAATGTTGGACATTTTAGGTTTAAATAAAAAAATGTAATACGTTTATTTAACCAACCAATTAATATTACATATTTGATATTAACAAAAAAGATTTATTTCTATTAAAATTTTCTTATGATAAACGCTTAAATTGCGAAAAAAATACGGTTTTTGTTTGAAAATTAAAAAGTTTCTTATATTGATATATTTAAAAATATATCGAAAAATATATGAGTTGCCTAGTTCCAAAACCCTCTAAATCCACCTTAACATTTTATTGAGGAAACGCGAAAGTTTGCTGCTGATCATGAAATAAGGTTACTAGAATTTAACATAAAAATTGATAGGCAGTAGCATAATAAACAATAAAGCTTAAGTGAAAAAATTTCAATTTAATGGTTTTAGAAAATAGCTTTAGGTTAAGAGGATTTTGGTTTAAAATTTACATGCTCTTTTAAATTGAATCAGTGGAATTTCACTAATTTTCCTGTGGATCCCACTGGTTGTACAGTAAAATCTGAATTTCACTGATTGAATTAGTAAATATTAATGCATTACCATGGTAAATAAATACGATCAACTGGTTCAATCAGTAAAAAAAACCTAAAATTTCACTGGTTTAACAGTGAACTTTTTATTCACTGATCGAATCAGTAAAATTCCACTGATTCATTTTAAGAGAGTATGCTTTCGGAAGTTTAGAGTTTATTAGCGTAAAGACAATTTTATTGTTATCGAAACTCTAAAAAATTAAAACGTTAAAAAAAATCAAATTTAGGTTTTATTGTAAAAAATAATTTTATCCGAAGTCGGCAGTAAAGTACTCAACAATCGGCAGTAAAGTAAAAGAAATCGGCAGTAAAGTAGAACTTTACTGCCGATTTAATACGAGTTTTGTATGCAACCTATTATATATTTTAAGATGTGTCTACTGCTCCTCAGCAGCAACTAAATAATATTTAAAAAAAAGCATCGTCGCGGAGGTCGATTGTACTCTTTCATAAAATGTTGTTTAATAAAAATAATAAGTTAATTTTATTAATTAGATTTAAAAATTATATAATAACCGTCGCAACAAACAGTATACGTAGACACTTCCTACATTCAAATGACACTTGATTTGATCATCAAATGACATTTGATTTAATCATCAATATTAATTATTAGTATAATTAAATGTGATTTCGGATAAAATTTAATATGCCCCTCGGCATTAAAGTCATTTTTTATCACTCAATAATTTAAACATTCGTGATAAAAAAATAGGACCTGCCTTGATACATAAATAACTATTTGTAGAAAAAACACATTATACAACGCATTCCTGAAAGTCACATCCTCCTCTCCACTATTTTCATTTGCTACTGCTTCATTGACAATGTATTTTCTTGTTCACCTTTTTTTGCCAGTCATTTTCAAAAGGCGACAAAATGTATCCAATTGGATTTAGTGGGTTTTGTTTATGATTTTCTGTGTATATGTTTAATTTCATTTAGTAAGTTTTTGTTATTTAATGGATTTAGCGATGTTTGAATATCACTTACATATGTATTTAGGGAATTTTGAATCTAACCTTGGATTCCTACAGTGATTTAAATCAGGATTAAGCGGGTTTTATAACTTATTTATTATCTAAAAATGTAATTTAGACCTTCCGCATGTAAATGGCATAACAAGTTCGATTTTTAATAAAAATGGATTTAGTGGGTTTTGGAACTATAGGCGACGCATATATCGATATTTGTATATCAATATTAGGGTGGCCCAAAAAAAAAAGAATATTTTTTTTTCTCGTCTCTTGTAAAAATATGTTGGTTTGTAATGTTTTAAGAGCCCTGTCAAAAGATCAGCTCCATTAAAAAATTTTTAGGGGTCGCTCAAGATTTTAAAAAATTTCCAAAATCGTCAAAAATTGGATTTTTTTTTTATTTTATTTTTTTTCTCGTTCCTATATTATTTTTTAATTTAAAAATAATAATGATTCTGAAAATTTCAAATCGATATTTTGATTTCTAAAGGTCGCTCAAGATTTTTTTAACTTTCAAAGTAGAGTATTTTGAATGTTTTTGAGCGACCTCTGAATATAAATATCAACGAACTTTTAGCGACCTTTAGAAATCAAAATATTGATTTGAAATTTACAGAATTTTTATTATTTTCAACCAAAAAAATAATATCGAGACGAGAAAAAAAATAAAAATATAACAAAAATTCAATTTTTGACGATTTTGAAAATTTTAAAAAATCTTGAGCGACCCCTAAAATTTTTTTAATCGAGCTGATATTTTGACAGGGCTCTTAAAGCATGATAAACTAACATATTTTTATAAGAGAGGAGTAAAAAAAATATTCTTTTTTTTTGGGCCACCCTAATCAATATATTCCTAAATATATCGATATAAAAATATCTATATATCGTTGCCATCCCTGGTTCCAACCCCATTACAATCTAATTAACGACCTTTTAATTTTGCAGCGTTCCTTCCGTAAAGAGCTGTTCGACGACGCGGCGCTCAGGATAGAGCGCAACCTAATCAAAACGCCGGTGGAAATCGAACAGTTTCGCGCTCTGGCCAACAAGGCGCATCGCATCCTCGAAGACAACCGAAAGTCCGAGGATTGGCTGGCGGACGCGCCCGACGAGTTCAAGGACCCGCTGATGGACACGCTGATGACCGACCCGGTGCTGCTGCCCAGCGGCCTCGTGATGGACCGTTCCGTCATAATGAGGCATCTGCTCAACAGCAACACCGATCCGTTCAATAGGCAGCATTTGACCGAGGACATGTTGATTCCGGGTAAGACAGTTTGTGCTTTAAGCTTAATTTTCATGTATCCGTTTGTCCGTCATCAGTATGTCAGTCGGATGACGGACAAACGGATAAATTATACTATCGCTAACAAAAAAAACTCATACAGCTTAAAAATCTAGTGTTCCTGATTTTCTATCATTTCGTTGGAGTAATTATAGCTTTTAACATGATACGTCACATTTGAAAGGTCTAAAATGAAATACAAAGTTAGGTTAAAGTTTGAAAAAAAATAATATTTCGTCATCCCTCTGTTTTTGTCAATTACTGCCCGCAAACGGCAAAGCATGGAAGTCGCCGTCTTGCCGGAGTTCGTCTGCATTGTTTGGTTAAAAATGTTAAAAAAGTCATAATGGATGTGACAAAGCTCGATGTCAGCTTGACATTGACGGAAAAGTTTTATTCACACAGCCACAATATAGCTGTATGAGTTTTTTTTGTTAGCGATAGTAATTTTCATGCATACGTTTTTTAATGACGTTTAACGAATTGATTTTGCGACAAATAGAAATTAAGTGTCAGTATATTCACTTACTAAATTTACCTAATGCTTAATTGTCATAGTTACAATTATGTCAACAATTGTAACTTTAACAGTTAGCTGTCTAATAAATTTAAAGGTAGGTAAATATACCTTATAAAAAGAATATACTAGCCCTAATATACATTAAAATGTATAGTTTTAAAAAAGCAGGTCCTTTTAGTTCTAGTTTTAATTTTTTTTGTTTGTCCTTTCTTTTTTTCCGTTATTCTTATTAAATAAAAACTTAACAGTAAAACATTATTCACATAACGAACGTAATATTTCCGTTTTACAATCTACAAATATAAAAATATTTGAAAATTAATTATCTTAAAATAACGTTAGCCGTCAAAATCAGATGTAGTGACGGATGAGTTAAAATTATTTAACCTTTCTCTGTCAGACGTACGAAGTTGAAACTTGACGGACCGATAAAATGTCATAATTTTCGAATTATAATTGGACCAATAAGAGCGCTCCCGGATGAACGGACTGACGGACAAACGGATACATGAAAATTAAGCTTTAGTCGAATCTGTTCCTTCTATTTTTAAAGTCGGTTGCTTCGTTTTCGAGACATTTGAATAAAACTTTATTTTTTAATTTATAGAAGTTATTTGTTTAAATACCACTAAAAAAATAATTGTTTAGAATGTTTTAACTGGTTAAAAATGATTTTATATGCAAACAATTTTAGAGTCCCAGATAAATTATTTACCTCATCTTGTTGAGTATATACAGGCTGTCTCAAAAGTCAAGGACAGCAAAAAGGGGGAATAGAGGATGGGATTCTAAGTCGAATAGTCTATGCCGTTTTTTAGATCAGACGCACCATTTAAGTTAATAATAAAATAAAGTAGCCAATCACAGGCGTGCTCTAGCAGAATGATTAGAGGTGGGACAACACAAAATTTTGTAGAAATTCCATGGCTATAGCCATGTTTTGGTTTTTAGGTTCTGGAAAATTTTTTTTTGTATGGGACAAACCGATCTACCTTTTCTGTTTGCTATTTTTTTGCGACTTGCCACGTAATAAATAAGTTAATACAAGGTTGATGGTGATATACTTTACTTTACTTATTTTTAAATAAGTTAAAATAATTATTTTATTAATATTAATAATAATTAATTTAACATTATTATTACATTAGAGATATTTCGTATGCGAAAATATGAAAAGTTGTGGAAAATACGGCCCTTGCCCCGAAACTTTTTTTTAAGCGTTTGCGGTGAGCATGAAATATCAAAAACTGATCAACAGATCTTAATGAAAAAAAAACGATATTAGTAAATAGTGAACGAAGGATTTGCAAAAAAAAATGTTCCCGCAAATGGCGGTGATTTTCCCAAAAAATTTGATTTTCGACGGTGCAAAAATTTAGTTTTCCAGCTCTACGGTTTTCGTATTGTTAATCTTCTATGTGAGGAAGGAAGCAGGGCCTCCTAACCACAGAGCTAAATGGGCTATAGCCCCGGGGCGCAACCTTTTGAGGGCGGCAATTTTTATTGATGATATAGTTTTTGTTATTTTTATACATACTATTACATATACATATTATTATGTATACTATTTTTATTTAGAATCTTTTCAAGAACAAAATAAAGCTAAGAGTACTTATCGATTTACACTCTTGATTAGCCTTGTTTGTTCTTTACATAAAATGCTTCCTTTTGTCAGGTGGTTCATTCGCTAGGTATGCTGTCACTTATCACTTCTCACTTTATTACTACCGTTTAATTCACTGTAGATACATTGTAGTGTATTTGCACAACAGACTAAAATACTTTTAATGCACTATTTTATATATTTCAATTTTTAATAAGTACATGTATCCTTTTAAACCCTATAATATGAATTATAATATAATATCGTCCCCGTTCTGGCAAAAGTAATTAACTCCATTTTTGTCTAAAAGTAGTTGACTACCTTCGCGATCATAGAACAATTATATCTGTGGTCTAGAAGAACTTATTAAGTGCAGTATTGTATTTTTAGCATGCTAAAAATACAATACTGCACTTAATAAGTTTTTCTAGACCAAACATATAATTGTTCTATGATCGCGAAGGTAGTCAACTACTTTTAGACAAAAATGGAGTTAATGACTTTTGCCAGAACGGGGACGATATATTATGGGGTTTAAAAGCATACATGTACAAAACCTGTAATAATAATAATTATTATAAAAAATAATAAAGATAATTAATTACCTTGTAATCTTTACATTAATTTTCTTTAGGCTTTAAAGTAAAAATCAGTTTAATGTTCTACAAATATTTAATTGTCCAGTAGATATTATCTAATTATTTAAAACTTAAACAAAATTAATGTAAAGATTATAAGATAATAATCTTTATTATTTTTTATAATAATAATTATTATTATAAGTTTTGTGTTTCTTTGTTCTCAATGTAACTACTGTAATGTAATGTAATGTTTATAAATACATTAGAATTAAAATTAAGTCAAATTACTCACAATTCTCACAACAAACAACCCAGAAGACACTTATTTAGCGTTAGCGGTAACGCTGTCAACGCAGACTTTTGCGCCAATATTTGGAACTTTATTTGCGGATCAGCAGGTAAAAAAATCAGGAAAATGAGATAAAAAATAAAAAGTTATAAAACATTAAAACTTGGCCAACATTTTGGGGTGGCGGAATTTGGTGCTGGGGAGTGTAGTAATAATTTAAACATTTTGTCTTTTTTCAGTTAATGATCTGAAGGAAAGAATTCGAATATGGAAGACGGAAAAAACCCCTTCATCCTCAAATTAGGATTAAAATCTCTTAAAATTTAGTTTTTATTAATTAATGATTCATTTAAAAAATTCTGTATTACAAGTAATATTGCGTACTGTTTTGTACTTTTTATAAAATAAAAGACTTGAATTTTGAAATTCACAATGTTTAACACAATATTCTTAAGGCTGATAAATAAGGTATTAGATCTCATCAACATTATGATTTAATTTTTGCATTTTATTTCTTATTTTGTCAACTATTAAAAAATTAAAACTGCCATAAGAAAATTATTCTGTTCTTGCGATTAATCAGCTTTTTCCTTGTTTATTTTTGTTGCAATGCTTTTCTTTCCATAAAAATGGTAAATATAATAATATAATCCTGTCGGAGTTTTTGTAAATAGAAACTATTGTAGGAAACAGTGAGATGTATATTGTTTTAAAATATTGCTGGCAATTAGCAAACCGAACGGAACTTTTTGTTGACTTTTTAACAGAGCGCTCGATTCGGTTTGGTAAGAGATTTTTTATATGAAATTACAAATAGATTAGATTGTAACCTCTATGGAAATAAAGTTTATATAAAATGAAACGTTTATTTATTTAATATCTACACACTGAATTTCTCCGGGTTTAAAAACTTCTGCGAACCTATAACAGTGGGAGTTATTGCGCTTTTTCCAGGCACCCAGTTTACAGGGCACACATCACCATGCTCATCAGTAAATTGTATGGCCTGTACGAGTCTTAATGCTTCGTCTACAGACCTCCCCACAGACAAATCGTTTATGGTAACTTGTCGCAACATTCCTTTTGGGTCTATAATAAACAACCCTCTATATGCAACCCCTGTATCTTCATCTAAGACCCCATAATCTCTGGAAATCTTCATCGACTTATCAGACAGCAAGGGGAAATTCAACTTATCTACACCACCCTGTTGTCTTGGCGTATTGGTCCACGCTAAATGAGTAAACTCCGAATCCGTTGATATCCCAACAATTGATGTTTTAATCGACTTAAACTGGTCAGCGCGTTCGGAAAAAGCTATAATTTCAGTTGGGCACACAAAAGTAAAGTCCATAGGGTAAAAAATTAGAATCAAGTATTGCCCCCTGTAATCCGTTATAGAAATATTCTCGAAACTGTCATTTATTACTGCTGGGCCTTTGAAACCAGGCGCCAATTGGTTTAAAAGCGGGACAGGCATTTTTAGAGTTAATTATGGACTTTATTCGTAGACATTTCGTTAGTTTGACAGTGTCAGGTCAATACCTGATACAGGGGGTGGTCAAATCCTAGATATATAAAGTTTTTATTTTTATTTGATTATGTTGGTACTGTGAGTACTTTGGTATTTTTAATATTTAAAATTGGTACCTCTGTCCAAGGCCTTAATTTGACATACTTTGACATTTAATTGTCAGAATTATAATAAACAATTCCAAAGATAACAGAAAATTCTAAACGAAAAGAAATTTTTAAAACAAAACAACATTTTGATGAAATAATTTCCAATGGCACTGAGGAGGAAAATTTTTGGAGTAATATATTCCTTATTAATGAGCTACAAGCAAAGATAATAATGGGGTGTATTATCTTTGGCTACAAGTATTAACGTTTAGTGACATTCACCATTAATGGACAAAATTTAAGTACCTCTAGGTATATATTCACACAAATATTCAAATATTTTTTTTATTATTTCATATAAATTTCTGTATTCCAATGCCAATTATAAAAAAATCTATTTTTCAATCCACTTTTAAGTAACAACTTAATTTAAGTAACAATTGTTACTAAATTAAAACCCCAACTTTTGACACCCCCCCCCGTGCCTTAGCTCAAAATCGACCTTTGTAGGCCTACCCCAGTGACAAGCAGCCAAATTGACCATGGAGTCCATGGTCAATTTGGCTGCTGGTGGCATGGACTCAACTTTGACTATGAATAACTTATGAATAGTAATTTAATTGTAAATTGGTAAATAGTATATATTATATTATATTTATTATAATAATATATATTATTATACGAGAGATAATGCAGCCTGCACGAGGATGAGGTTTGCGTGTCGAGTCGCCAGACTATTGCTGTTCAAGGAAAAAAAATTAAATTAAAAAATACAAATACCATGTTGTTTAAAGGCGAAATGTATCGTGTTTTCGGCAAGGTTTAATATTATTAAGAAAATTTTTTGGTTTAATAACTTACGGGCGCCGTTGAAAAAAAATGGTAGGTAAATAACACATATATATGCCTTATAAGGCCAGGGCCGGATTTACGAATTTGCCGCCCATGGGCCCAACGCATCATTACCCCGAATAACGAATGACTCAGCGAATAAGCTAGAGTCGCGCCCTACTCGCCTCGTGTACATCGACTGCCGCCCTTCTACGCAGTGACGCACTACGCAGAATAATAGTGTAGTCTTATATAAAATTATCTAATGCATTAAAAAACTTCTCTTCCAACTTTTAATAGTTTTAATTAGTGTATAAATCTGAGTGAAAACAAAAATTCTGCATGATTCTCTCTCTCTTGATTTTTTAGCAAAATTTTAACTGGCCTTCAAAATTTGCCGCCCCTAAAAATTTGCCGCCCATGCCTAAATCCGGCCCTGCATAAGGCCCTCAATCTCTTCGAGTTTACATATTTATTATTCACTTATATTAACTTTTTATTTATTAACATATTCACATGTTTATGGGCGTTTCTCTATAAACTGGGCAACTCATTGTCTCAAGCTAATATGGTTTAGAAAAATAACAGATCATAAATATTTCGTAAATAACTTCAAAAGATAATAACCTAATCTACCTATGCTCGACGTTCAAAATCCAATAAAATAAACGTTAATGTATCAAAATCGTTTTTATAGTCCTTAAAAACCAGTCCCCTGACGTGTCACCAAAGCAAAATGGTCACTTCAGACTAAATTAATTATAAGACAGTAACTATTGGAATCAACCTAATTGTTTAATTATTCAACCAATATTGTTTGCTTGTTACTGTGACTTATTTATTTTTTTATAATTATTATTTTGTAATTCTAAAAAAGTCATCTAAACTTTGTCTCCGGATTTTATAAACAGTCCCCTGTATAGATTTTTCAGAAAATGCTCAATGTTTTCCAAAGTAATAGGAATATTTTTGGTTCATCTGCCGTATACTAATAAATAGACCGATATTTATTCCTCGAATAACATTTATTAAATACAACAAAAATATAACAAAAAACTTGCCTAGACAATTTCTTACTTCAAGTTGCCCAGTTTACAGAGAAACGCCCTTCCCAGGTAGCACAACGTGACGAAACCGTGCCGATTTGTGTCCATTGTGTCCAATTGGACAGAAATCGTCACGGTTTCGTCACGTTGTGCTACCTGGGTTATAAGTAAACTTTTTTGTATTATTTTGCATTAAATTTATTTATTCTTAAATTATTTTATTTCAACCTATTATTTTTAACCTTTTTACTGTTTAATCACTCAACGGTTTAATAATAATACCTACCTAATAATGAAGATTTCATATACAGGAGGGAATTAAACAATTTATTTATTATTATGCCTCCTGGGCTACAGTGGTGAAAGTCTATTTTTTGCAATAAAAAAATATCTATTTAAATCGTGTTTTAAGTTAACCTCTGTTAGTTAGTTAGTCTGCAAGAGGCGCTGTTTACAGCTGGTGTCTTATAAGTTATAACGTATAATGATAAATATATATTTCTTTTACCTAGAGGTATAAATGGATGTATAAAAACTTCTTTCATAAAATAAAATACTTTTTAATAAAACCAGATATTAAAACTAACAAAAATTTTCAAATGTGTATCACAAAAAATTGAGAACTTAAATTAATTTTACTTAACAAAACACAATGCAACTACATAAAAAGAGTATAAATAAATGTAAAGGAAGTAAATTGTTATTGTAACCTATTGCTATTGTTTTGGGGGGTATAAAAAACTTAGTTGGCCGATTTGAAGTACTCGAGACTGCCGTTAGGATCGGCCTTCATTGTTTTCTGTCCGGGTTTCCAGTTGGCTGGGCAAACTTCACCGTGCTCGTCAGTGAATTGGAAAGCTTCGACGAGTCGCAAAGTTTCATCGACTGACCTACCGACTGGCAAATCGTTAATGGTTACTTGTCTCAGTGTGCCTTTGGGGTCAATGATGAAAAGACCTCTGAATGGGATGCCGGATTCTTCATCCAGTACTCCGTAATCTCTGGCGATTTTGCATGACTTATCAGCCAATAGGGGAATCTTCATTTCGCCTAAACCTCCTTGTTTACGTGGGGTGTTAATCCAGGCCAAGTGACTGAATTGGGAGTCGGTAGAGCAGGCAATCACGTTGGTCTTGACTTTTTTGAAATCCTCCATGCGTTCGCTGAATGCGATAATTTCGGTTGGGCACACGAACGTGAAGTCCAGAGGGTAGAAGAATAGAACTAGATATTGTCCTTTGTAATCTGCGAGGGAGATTTCTTTGAATTGTCCGTTCACAACAGCTGTTCCCTTGAATGCAGGGGCTGGCTTGTTCAAGGCTGGTACAGGCATGATTGGTTGATAATCTATAATTAAAAATAACGTTTTATATTTCATACCCATAAAAATTTATTAAATTAATAATTATAATAAAACAATGCATTATAATATTTACATTTTATTGTCACGCAATTATAATAGCTTTATAATACATAAGATTATATAGGTACACGGTGCTGTTCTGAGAGGTGATTTTTGGACTTTCTGTGAAACCAAATTTTTTTTTATATTCTTGTTAATTAGGTCATAACTAAAATTTTAAGAGCAAAATAAAAAAAAATTGACGGTTAATTTTGTTTTAATTGGATGTTTATTAAAAATATGTATGCACACTTTCAATTCTCCAATTAAAACTTGCGATTTTATTTATATTTAATATTATCATAACTTTTTAAATCAGATTAAAGATTAGTTAATTTCCTTAAAAAAGGTCTATACATTTTTTATATCTTTTACTGTTTTGTTGTAATAAACGTTTAAAGTTTTAATTTAAGGTTAAATGTATAGTATACATTTATTAAACAATAATTCTAAGGGTGCCACATTTTATTTAGGGCCGATTTATTCATTTTTGATTTATTTGACGAATAATTTCTTTGGATACTAGATATTGCCAAGACATGAAAGTTATCGGCCCGATAAACTTTACTAAAGATGAATAAACCGGTCCTTAGTTAAATTTCATGAATTTCTTCATAACTTTTACTACAATTTTTCATTTTTGTTTATAAAAAACACTTTAAAAAACTAAACAAAAATTATAGAATACGTATACTGAAAATGACAATTCAAACGTCAAATAAATTTTTAATAGATCTAAGTTTCCTGGCAACCTTTAAGGATATATAAATTAAGGGGACATAAATGTATACGTCAAAGGTTAGATTAAAAGTTTGAACGTTTATTGCAACAAAACAGTAAAATATATAAAAAAAATTGTAAAAACCTTTTTTTTAGTTATGCAAATTTTAAATATTTAAATTAAATCGCTAGTTTTAATTGGATAATTGAAAGAGTGCATAATGTTTTTAATAAACAGCCAATTAAAACAATTCAAACCGTCAAATTTTTTTTATTTTGCTCTTAAAATTTTAGTTATGACCTAATTAACAAGAATATAAAAAAAAAATTAGGTTTCACAGAAAGTCCAAAAATCACCTCTCAGAACAGCATCGTGTATATCTCATCTATTTTCGGATATATTTCAAATTATTTTGTATAATATGTTTATCTTCAAGCGTTCTTTAATTGAGGGTTTATTATTGTCAACGTAATTAATTATCTCCTAGGCTGTAAAAATAAATTGGACCAATCAGGTAAAGTTTTTTACATCCTAGTCTGTAAAAATTCAAGAAAGGAGCAATAAAAAAAATTGATAACTGTTAACAGTTCTGAACTATCTAACTTCAATTTATACTTTTAATAATTGTTATTATAATTGAAATTGTTATTAATTATAATTGTACGTTTTATGTATCGTTTAATATATAAAACTGTGCTTTAAAGATAAAATGTTGAATGCCATACAGCTGAAACGTATTTTTGTGCTTTACTTAATTGTAGGCCTTCGCTAAGTTAGCCGAGGCGTATAGTATACACTATACCGAACTCCTCCGCTAACTATACACTGTACAACTAAATATGTTTTTAAAGTACTGTAAACACGGGTGACTTTGCACCCCGCGGGTGACTTTAACCCATTTATGAAAAATCGATTTTATTTTTATTGGTAATCCCTTGCAATAGATATATGTCGCTGCTAACACGTGTCTAATAAAAATAAAATATAATATTGAATTCATTTTATACGGAAAATACACTGTGAGACAAAGTAACCCGCAACCAGGGGGTAACTTTACACACCCAGTTTTTAATTTTTATTTTTGAAACACAGCCCTATGTAATATTATAACATAGTTATTATATATCATATCATATGAAAGAGCAACTCAAGACTCAAATTTTGGTATACAATATTTAATGTTTATAATTGCATGGCTCCCACAGCTAAATTAGAAATTTTATTTAGGAATTTAGGTTTTTTGTAAAATTATAGGATAAATAAAGTAAATGGACTTCTTTAATTAAATAAAAACAACTCCACCTATACTTAAATAATGAGAAAAAAATATAATTCTTTCTAAGAAAAATTTAAATATCAATTATTTTGTACAAATAAGTAACATGTTGAGTTTTTTAGCCAAATCACTCGACGGGTATTTTTGTAATAAAATTAAAAGTGAGGTAAAATTACTACTTTTGTATATTTTAATTTTATTTAAAAAACGCGTCGATAGATTTGGCTAAAAACCTAGGCCAAAATCAAATGATGTTAAATAAATTTTATATTTTAAGAAAAAAATCTTAACCGTTTAGTTAAAATAATTATACCTAACAATTATTGTAATGTGGATCTTAAATTAAGATTCCTAATACTCAAAAATCTCATAATAGATAATATATGGAGTTTGCAATATACAGGAAAACATTATTTAGATTGTGTACTATTTTAGCTGTCATTTAAAATAAAATTAAATATCCTTTTGTTTGTTATATAACACGGTACATTTTTGTCTCAAACAAACGAAATAAGGCTAAAAATTACAATTTTGTAGAAGTCTAAGAGCTATTACTTAGATTTTGCTTTTTAGGTATATTTCGTTGTTTTTTAAGAAAAATGTTGGTTGTGATATTATATCATTTTAAAAAGAATTTAATAAACTAGAATCTAAAAATTTATATTTTTAAATTACTTTTTAAAAAAGAAATTTTTTTAGTACCTACAACTACCTTAATTAAACGCAGTCAGGTTGGCCTATTTATATTTAATTTTTAGGAGTTTTAGGAGATTGATGGCAATTTTAGGAGAATTTTAGGAGTTTTCAAGATTTAAGCTAAATTTTAGGAATTTTATGAGTTTTAGGAGGTGTGGGAGCCCTGTAATTGTTAAAACCACAAAAATTTTAAGCTCAAGTTTGAAAGTGAGCTAAAGCCACCCGTGTTTACGGTACTCGTAAAGATTAGTTTTTGGGTGATTAAGTTTAAAAATAAAACACATCTAATATATTATATAATATATATATATATAATATACTATAGTACCATAAACATCTAACAATAGTACTATCATTGAGTAAAGAACTTCTTTACTCAATGGTACTATAGTATATTATTGTTAGATGTGGTTTATTTTTTAAACATAATTACCCAAAAACTAATGTTTACGAGTATTTTTGTATATTTAATACAATACATATTATTTATAAATTTATTAAATGTAATTTAAATGGGTAAGTACTTTTAGTATAGTAAACATACATAACATCTATGATGATAAAAAGATAAAGAAACTCTATGTCATAGGTCATAAATATAGCAACTTTAAAAAAATGAAATTTTACTGCTTCACTTGGGTAATGTTATTTAAAATATTTTGTATTTAACTATTTTAATTAGTATTACAATTTGTATTGGACAAAATTATACCAACTTTAACTTTAACACTGGTCAGATCATCTGTGCAAAAGCATATTGTACGTTTCGATTTTTAATAACTAATTAATTAATTAATACCTATTTTAATAATTGTAAATTTGAAAATAAAGTTGCTATAATTTTGTCCACTATAAAATTATTATAGTAACTTTTTATATGATACTATAAGACACATAACTTTGCATCTTACAAACAAAATAAAGGTGAGTTAATATATTAAATAAAAAATAACCATTACCTAACCATTTTGGAATGTTTAATTATTTGCAAATGTTGCTATAATTTTGGCCACTACTGTAATATAAAATCTTTAAAACAATAAGCTAGGTAGGTAAATCGCACAAAGCATAAGGTATGTATACCATATACCTACATTAGTGATGGGTCCAACACGCACCACAGCACAACATGTACAGCACAGTGCGTGTCGTACATTTGTGCTAGGTGGGGGTAAATGATGCAATTAAAAATTCAAATTGAAAATCTCACACTTTGTACATAAGCACAATGTGTGCGTGTCGTTTATTTTTTTCTATTAATTGGCGTAGGTACTAATATACATATATACGTTTTTAAATAAAAAGCGTTATTTATAAACTTTCGGTTGGCGTAAAATGTAAAACTATTGAAAATACATGCAGTTTATAAATCGCCCGTTCAGTGTTCAGCTGATGTGCGCTTAAAATATTACCAGGTGACGACAATCTATCGGTAAATCCAAGCGCGGTTTACCGAATATTATAGTGCCATCTACGTGTTCTGTGCTGAAACACAAACAAAGAGTCAAATTTGACTTAAGTCAGACGTAGAGATTCTCTACTAGAGAAAGAGCACTGCTCTGTCTCTAGTAGAGAAAAACCCTCCCCCTTCCCTTCCAGCGTCACGAGACTTATGGACGGCCTCCTATATGTATAAGGGATCATCTCTTATACATATAGGAGGCCGTCCATAAGTCTCGTGACGCTGGAAGGGAAGGGATGCGTCCCACATGTGCGAGTCATGCAAAATGTGCAGAGCTTAAGCTCTGCACATTTTGCTATCAGAGTAATACAATTGTATTACTCTGATAGCAAATTTAGAGAGAGGAGGATTTTTCAAAACGTCACGTGACAAAGTAAATTGCTTATTAGTCAGATTATTACAAAAATGATTCGAAAAAATGTTTTTAAGGGTTACAGGACTTTGATACCTAGTTCTTCAATTTGCCCTTCAGGGGGTCAATTTTAACCATTTTTGGCGTCACGAGATTTATGAACGTCCCCTAGATAATTTATCTAGCAAATTGCTCTACTAGGTACATAAAACCAGGATATTATTTTGATATTTACATATTTACCAATATTTTTTACATTTAGCCTAAAGAGAATATAAATAAATTTAGTTATTGAAATAAGGACAGCCATGATACACTTCTGCATTTTTTCCGGCTTGTTCTCAAGGCCTTGACCGTTATGTTTCTTTTGAAAAAAAAACGTTCACTTATAAATTATAACAAAGATGAAACAAGTAATATGATTAATAAAACACTTGTTGTATTATACCAATATCTATAAAATTTAATAAAGAATCATTTAAAATCATAGATACACAACATGGCACACCATTAAATAACAAATTAAGACAAAGATTAAACAAAAGGTCCGGTAAAAGTTTAAAATATCGTGGGAAACGTAGTCAAAACCACGAGATGACCTAAATAATAAATGCGAAAGGTAACAATAATGTACTTACACTTTAAACGGTAACTGAACTTCACTAAGACGCAGGTTATGTAGATATGTGGCAATTTTTAGCGGCCGGTTCTAGAAACCTTTGGAACAGCAGATTACAGAATCGCGTTTACGCATGACATGAATAAAGCTTTCCCTACACGCGACAACATTTTGCTCAACCAGCTCTTGTTTTTTAGAAAAAACATCGTAAAATCGAGAAAAAAAAATTACACATTTCTTAAGTTATAAGCTTTGAAAAAAAACACTTCTACACATATGTATGTACCGCTTATTCGATTGTTTTGATTGTATTGTATTGATTGTATTGATGAACTTGTTTCCTTTTTTGAGGGGAAAATTGTCGATTTGCCGTATCGGTTTATCTTATGCGCATAGTCAGTTCATAAGTGGGGATTTAAAATATATGATACCATAGACATAGTAATTGTGGAGCAAACATTCAAAAACCGATAAATCCGTTTTTACATTTTAACAGGATAGTACCGATTCTTACTAATTTTTACTACACTGCATTTTAAGGAAAAACCGAAACAGAGTCAAACAATAGTAGCAATAGGAGCCACATTCCCTTTTAATAGTTTTTAAATATTTGGGGGACTTGGCTGTACACATTTTTGGCCACTTCCTTACAAGTTATAATGGCTCTTGCATGTTTGCTCCATAATTATAATTATAATATATTGTCAACTAAATAAAATATTTATTAGACTGCCCAAATATGGTCAAAAATATATTTTTTTAACCGGCAATGAGATCACTTAGATAATTTTTAACTGAGACTGTTTCCTTTTCATGGGGTTAAATCATTTAATGATTTGTAGATGTGTAGAAGGATGTGGTGGGTAGGTATTGTAGGTATTTAAGGAGTATGATCGTACACGCGCCAGAAGCAGAAATTACCACCTTGACAGATAGCCATCTAAAATACCTAATTATTTGTTGGTTATTGAGGTGTATGGGCTACTTTATAAATTAAATTTCCAATAATTATAAATTCGAAAGGTATTAAAGGATAACAATTGTTTAAATTATTGTATAAGATTGAGCAACACTCATAAGAATAAAATGTGGACAAAATTAAATGACAAATCAAATGAGACAGCAATTTTTTCGAAAAATTTTGTTGTGCTTTGGTTAAAGGCTTTAACGTTATCTACCTACATTATGTAGGCTACATAATTATTGGTTTTAGGCGAACAGAAATAATAAGGACATTATTTGAGGCCCCTAGATAAATAATTTTCAGATCCGCCAAGTTTACAGATTTTTATATTCTTATTCATTAGGTAGGTAGGTACCACATAGGTATATCATGCTATAGTAAAGTTTCGCTTAAGTTTTGGCCACTATAGTATACTGGCCAAAACTTAAGCGAAACTTTACTAGCAAGATACATATAGGTATACCTACATATACATATAGGTATAGTGACTCTATATAGTATATACCTACCTTCAGGTTATAGAAACGTAATGACAACGTGCACGTTATACCATGGTATAAACGTGTCTGCAGACACGTTTATACATGTATACAATTAAAAAACGTTGTATATAATTAAAAAACGTTGTTGGAACGTAACTAACACTAAAAAAGTGATCACCATTTTAGTCACTACCACGTAATAGAACCGTATCTACCACGAGATTTTGGCTATACACTTTACAGTTCCAAGTATTTGTAAGTGGCCAATACGTTTTATCCACTAAAGATGCTGCAAGGTATATATGATATATATATAATATATCCATGGCACATATGTCTTGGTACCATTATCAATTGATATACCCCATGGTATACCTATAGGTACTAAGACATATGTCTTAGTACCATGGATATATCCATGGATATTTATATATATTAATATACTTTGGTATTTTTAATATTTTAAATTAAATTATGAATTTAGAGTCCCTAGAATTAGCCAACTAAACCCCCGAATTTTTGAATTTTTAAATTAAATTATGAATTTAGAGTCCCTATAATTAGCCAACTAAACCCCCGAATTTTTGACGTTTAATTCCGAAAAAAACCCTATAGGCCTATTATACCTGTATAATACCAGTATACCTTAAAATAGGTGTTATTTTTTTAATTTTACACCATAAATTTATCCACGTGAAAAATTTAAACAAATTATGATAGCAATCATCAAGGAAATCATAAAAAACAATGACAAGAAGTGTTAAATTAAAAAAAAAAACGGAATAACCACTTAATAATTTAATAATATATATATATTATTAAATTATTAAGTATTAGGTATATACCTATACGTATAACTTTATTATAATTTTAGGACAAACTACATTTCAAGGAATTTTTAATATTAATTAAAGTTAAAATTGATTTCAATGGATTTATTTAAAATTTGCATAAAATTGGGTAATATATTATACACGCGTAAAGTAGTAAAAAATTGTGAATAAAAAGGAGGTACCTACCTATTGTGTTGACAATTAAATTAAATTATATCTTATGCTTTCATTTTCATTTAAACTTGAAATCAGTGGCGGTTTAGGGGAGGCGATAGGGGCGATTGCCCCCTAAATATACAGGTTAGTTAATTTTATAACGTTTTCATAATATAATATAATCTTAGAGGCGATAAGTGATAGGTGATAATAATTAAATCAAATAGACCTATTGTTCAGTCAAGACTGCTGTACTGTCACAGTACTACTCATAATAACTACTATGACAGTTCAATTTTGTCTTTCGTGTGTAGTCCATCGCATTCTTAGCTCTGGGCCATCGCTCGATGAAAAAGTATGAAACATAGTTGACTTTGATTGGATTCCGGGTATAGAAATATACCTTTTAGCGAGGTATTTTGTGATTTGTACAAAAGATTTAGTGGATGTTCCAAGATTGGAAAATTCACGTGTCTATGGGTGGATGGCTTCGTGAAACGCTTGGACGTTAAAACTTGCTTCTGGTCAAAGTGGTACATTGAAACCCAGACCATTAAGGCCTTTGGCCACCAAGGAAGAAGAAGAAGAAGAACTAGTTCTAGTAGCTACTATCACAATCTACACAACCACAAATTGTGGTCCACAATCCATGTGGATTGTGACTACTATGACTGAACTCAGAGATAATAAAGGAGTGCACTGACACATAACACCACAGATTTTATTTTTTATTAAATAAAACTAAACTGGGTGAATAATGATAATAATGGTTTATTTCTCCAGGCGCTTTCTGACTCGTAAAAAGATTATGTTCGTACACACATGACTATAGTAGTGTGTGTACGAACATATCTTTTTACGAGTCAGAAAGCGCCTGGAGAAATAAACCTAATAATTAAAATCAAGGGCCTACCTTGATACGGAATTTTAGGCCTTAATCTGACAACACTGGTTGTGAACTACCTTAAATTTTATATATAGGCAACCAAGATTGCTTTTAATTTGATATTTGATCCAATGCAAATTTTATCCAATGAAAATTAACCTTACTTTTTGTTTGTTTATTTTTGCTGTGCTTGATTTCAACATGAAATTTTCATGTTTTTTTTATTATTTAACCCTTATTTTATGATTTTTGGAATAATTTTGGGGACAATATCGACAATTATCTGGGAATAAAATATTGTTATTTCAAGGTAAGGCGTAGTGGTTATAATTACATACTTTTTGGTCAGGTGTTAATTTAATTATTTTTTTAAGTGAACAATACACATTTTGCTTTTAAACAGTGTAAATAATGTTCTTGTGTAGCGTCAGTTGCTTAAAAAAAATAATAAAACAAAGTAAATTTTGTTGTAAGTATTTAGAAATTAAGGAAAACACATTTATCTCACAGTGAGAATATTATTATTAAACTGGGTACCGTACCTTTAACAAGTGTTAAATAAAAATGAATGAAAGTATGATACAAATGCTTACAAATCATTATTATTAAATTAAGACCTCTGACTTAAATAATACTTACCTAATATCCTAACTAGGCTTGCCATACAGTTTGTTTTTTGCATGGCATCTGTTTGTCCAGTCCCTTATTTTTGGATGAATTAAATACCTACCCAGGACTGTAAAAAACTGGAATTTCATATTCTCTGTCCGAAGATTATATATAATAATATTATTACATATACTTAATTATAGTTTATTATTATAAAAAAATTGTAGAGTTTATATTCAGTTTGCCTGCAGGCTAGGATTGAACCACCGGAGGCCAGAGAGGGGTAGGCTTGCTGTTTTTACAGTAAAATAATTTATTTAAATAAAAGTAAAGACATATCAATATTGTCATATTACAATAAAGTTAAAAGTAGGAAACAGTAGAAAAGTGTTATAATCAGAAAAATATGAATGGTCAAGGTCCTATATTTTCTACAAATAAATAGGAATTTACATCATTTATTTTGTGGTGGCTGGTGGATTTTGGTTATATCAATATCTCAGTTATTAAATATTGGGCCCACACCAAGTTTCCGAAAAAAAGTTAGTTTTTATTTTATTAAAATAAAGAAATTATTTAAAATGGTATAAAATCTGTAATATTTGGATTTTATAAATAAAATTTTAAATTTGTCAATAAATTATAGAAGATTATAAATGGCACCACTTTAATTAAATGATCTCAAATAGGGGGACAGGAGGCGGGTGAGGCGACACGAAAAACTAACTTTTTTCGCAAACTTCAATTTTAATTCTGTTTGCGCCGAACTTGTCTATTTAATGTCATTATAAACTATTTTAAATTCGGTTTGGATCCCATGTCTAATAACTGAGATATTGGTATACCCAAAATCCACCAGCCGCCACTGCTTTACCTCACGTTCTGAGTTCTGACTTCCTAACGCATGCAAGTGCCATTGCTTAATCGTGGGCGCACAGATATAATTGAGGTTAAAATTATTATTTGACACGGACGGTGCGCATGCCCGCGCCATGAGCTTAGGTGACACAAATGAGCAAAATGCATGAGAAATCACCGCGTTAGGTAAACTGAAAAACAAAGCAAAATTAGAAACATATATAATATATATGTTTTCTGATAACATAACCGAATGAATTTATGTTACTTATATCTCTAATATCCAGTATATAGGAAGTTTGAGATATAAGTAACATAACTTTAACATGTGGTTATGTTGTCAAAAAAACATAGGTATACAGTATACCCACAATCCACACAATTGGATTGTGAGTAGGTATACCTATATGTAAATTTAAACCTTTTTAGAAATAAGAAAGTGGGTAAAAATAACAAAATAAAAAAATGTTTATTGTTATAAGAGAATCAAGGCATAGTGATACACCAGCTATCTCTGAAGTTGTAAGAAATGCCTATACTTCTGGAGTTTTCAATGCATGGTTAAATGCCTTATTTCACGAGGTAAATTGTATGAAATAAAAACTGCTTTATTTGTATATTAATTTAATATTTTTTAAGGTAACCTTTCAAAGCATAATTCTTGTAGCTGCCTTACTTTTTATATTATTCTCAGTACCTTTATTTTACTGTATTGTGGCTGTTCCCATAGTGCTTGTAATGATTTTTGTTTGTATTTATGGATCATTGTTAATGAAAGTTGGACAGCTTTTGTATGAGAAAAAGGTGGAAAAATGTTGGGTAGCTGAAGTGTATGAACCTTTTTTTCACACTAAAAAACCAAAGAATTGTTGGTATAAATTTACTACAGAGGAAATGATTAAAACTGATGAAATACAAGTAAATGGGTTAAACAAAAAAGTAAGTGTTTTTTTATTAATTAAGTTTTTAATGGTTAATAAAAATGTGTTTTAGATTATTGGAACTGTGGCAGTTCAAAAACATAATCACTTGGATGCCTGTGGATGGCTTTTTAGATTGGCTGTTGATGAAAGGTTATAACCATTTTTTTCTGTTGATAATTTATAAATTATAATAGCAAAATTATTATACATAATAGCTATCTTGCATATTCACTATGTAACTGTTTTCTAACTATATTCTAACTAAATTTATTGTATATTTTCTAAACTAGATTTTATGTGTAATGGATATATTTTTTGTAAATATACAATGGATGGGCAATTAAAAAATATATAAATTTAGTTCAAATGTACACTGAGAAAAAAATGGGACAAATAAACTGTGTAGCTAATACTTTTATTAATAGTGAATATATTGTTTATTACCTCTAAATAGTCGAAATAATAACGATAAATATACTTTAGTAAAACTTTATGTGTCGGGAATAAAAATATATTTAGGATAAATAAACTGTACCCTTGTCCCATATTTAAATATTTTTTTATTTGGGAGCAATAAACTTTTTTCTCAGTGTATTATAAATATAAAAAAACCAAATTTTTCTTTAAAAAATTAGAAGTCAACTTCTAATAGGACAATAGGCATTTCTTTAATTTAATAACAAAAAATTGAATTATATTTATAGGTATAGAAGAAAAAGCGTGGCCTTAAAACTAGTGCAAACACTAAAAACATGGTGTCATGAAAATAGGTACAACTACATTGAATGTGTTATGTCTGAATGCCAGGAAGGGGCACGACAACTATTTAATGAGGCTGGGTAAATATACCTATTTAAATACAATTAAAAAACTATGAATAATCAAAATATTTTAGGTTTGATATTAAACAATTGTACCACAAACAATTATTCACAAACGCAATAAGCCTTCAAATGTTCCAATTAAGATGTGAAGTTAGACAAACATTTAATTAAATTGTTTTTTTTTTATCATTTATTTATTGACAATGTTATAAAATTGTATATAAACTGCTTTACTATTTAAAATGAAATATTTTTAAGACAAAATGTTTTTATACAGGAAAAATAGCGCACTAACAGCATATGCACGAAATATTTATTTTTGACATGAAGTTTTTGAGTTATTAGCATTTAAGTTTTAAAAACAGTGATATGTTTATTTCCAATGGATAAAGGTATTTCTATGATATTTCCTGAGCCAAAGCGGTTGTTAAGGAAAGAAAATAAACAATGACTTAAACTTTACATTTTAGAAAAAAGAATATAAACATCATGTTGAAAAAAAAACAAACATGATGGTTGACAGCATTTTAAGACAGTTTATGTATTTTTTATTAAAATCACCTGTATTGAGGCGAAAACAAAACAAAACAAAAATATTTAAATCGGTTGAGCCATTTCCGACTTTTTGCAGTACTAACGCAAGGCAATTCATTTGTATATACATAGATTATAGATAACATAACGCAACAATTGTGGGTTTATTATGTGTACGCAACTACGTGATTAAAACAATCTTTATTTTTCCCCTATTTGGCTACCTGGGCCAGTAGAGTAGGTACAGTACATACCTGCAAAAGTATCCTTCATCAAGATTAATCGAAAACAGACACTTTGGAATTATGTGTACTATTGTACTCTGTATCAAATGAGATATTATTAAATTAAAAATTCATCCCTCATTTTTACCGACTTTTGTATAGTTTTTTTGGCATAGGACCACTGTGCAGTAAGGAATGCCGTTAATGCGCTTTTTTCGGTAAACCATGTAGGTTCAATTTTTAAATTAATTTTACAAGGTGTCCTTAACATTTTGGGACGCGAGATTTAATCATCATATCTTTATATATACATACGTATATTTATTTAATATACTATTTTATGAATTTATTATAATCTTTAAACAAAAAAAAATAAAGAAATAATTTTGCTACAATTTATTTTTATCTTTTAACATAAAATGCTATTAATTATCCTTTTAAAATAAAAGTTACCAAAATGTTTGTGCAGGTAACTTTTTTGATTGTTAATTATATTCCCATTCACACAATCACATTTAATGTCCCATTATCACTTTTAAATACATCTCCCAAGTCATTATCAAAATTTACAAACTCAAAGCTATTTCTTATGCTTTTTACCACACTTTCACCAACATTTTCCAGTAAGTTACCGCTAAAATCAACTGAATTACCATTTTTAATATCGGAAAATATATTTTCCGACAGATTGCTGATCAAGTTATTACTTAGCTGAACATGTTTGATGTAGTAAACACCTCTGAAAGCCTTGGGGTTCAAAAAAGTCAACTGATTATGGCTTAAGTCAATGTTCGAATCTTCTCCTATAACATTCTGTATAAAAGCTGGCATAAAAAATAACTCCGGGACTTTTTTTATTTTATTGTGACTAAGGTTTAGTTTTCTTAGGTTGTTGGTGTGTATGAACATTTTTGGGTAAAGTTTTTCAATTTTATTTATGCTTAAATCTAGTTCTTGTAAGTATGTAAGGTATTGAAAGGTGGTTTCTTCTATAAAGTTTATATTGTTGCCTTTAAGATAAATTTTGGTTACTGGTAGTTGAAAAAATATACCTTCTGTTAAAGTCTCTATCTGATTAAAGTTAAAATTTAAAATTTTTAGACTTGGTAGGTTTATAAATGCCCCCTTTTCTATTTTTTGTGTTCTACTGTACTGTATTTTTATTCTTCTCAAATGTAATAAATTCGAAAATGTTCCCACGTATATTTTCGGTATTTTTTGCTCATCCGCAACAATATCAGTCGCATTTATTTCACTTAAAACTGAATCACACTGTATAACTTCAACCACGTGTTTTCCTCTGTGTATAACTAAGTTGATGTTGTCGAAAAATGTCATAGATACACTTGATTGTATTAGTGTTAAAAACGCGTAAAATAAAACCAAATACATTTTTGTAGAAAGCAATTTTACGATAGACTGGACATTAAATGCGATAAATGAAATGTTTTGTTAAAGATAAAGTCAATATAAATGAGGTCGGCAGTACAGCTGTATTTAGGAGATGACATAATTAGGTTTTTAATTAAATTGTATTGTATTGTTTACAAAAAAATGTTTAAACATTCTTTAAAATTAAAACATAACAGGAGGATTAATTTAAGTATAATATAAAAATAAATAAATAACATTTTATAAAAAATACAAAAGTTTTACTTTTTGAGTATAATAATAGTTTTTTTGGTTGTGGCAACATTTTAAGAAAATTGTTTAAAAGGCATTGAATTGGGCGCATCCTGACATCATACAATAAGATTTTTGTTTATGGAGTTGGTTTAAAACTTAAATATACGATATAATAATTATTGCATAAACTTAATTTCGCGTATTAATCCATATGTTTAAACAAATATTTTTAATGAAGAACACACATCGCTAACATTTGCCATCACCCGCGAACATCTGCTTTCATCCGCAAACGCCTGATTTTGTCCGGTTTTACCCGCAAACATCAGCTTTTATCCGCAAACATATGCTATACCCGCGAACATCTGCTTTCACACGGTTTCACCCGCAAACATATTCTTTTATCCGCGAACGCCTGATTTCATCCGGTTAGTGCACCCCCGCAATCATCCGTAATTATCTGCCTTTGACCGGCTCTACTGCGTTTAGTTTATATCTGCATTTGTCCGGTTTATCTGCAAACGTCTGCTTACGTCTGGTTTTATCCGCGATCATCTGCTTTTACACGTAAACGTCTGCCTTGTCCATCTGCTTTTATCCAGCGAACGTCTGCTTTATACCGTTTTACCCGCAAAAATATGCTTTTATTCGCAATCATCTGTTTTTGAACGTCTCTACTGAATTTCGTTAATATCTGCATTTGTCCGGGTTCATTTTCAAACGTCTGGTTTTATACACGATTACCTGAACTTTTTCTTCTGGTTTCATCTGCAAACGTCTATTTACGTCCGCGAATGTCTTCTTTCATCCGGTTTCCGGAAAGCAGATGTCTGCGGATAAAAGCATATGTTTTCGGATTAAAGCAGATGTAAGCGGATTAAAGTAGACTTTCGCAGATAAATGCAGATGTTTGCGGATAAAAGCGGATGTTTTGCGAATTAAAACAGATGTTGACGGATAAAAGCAGACGTTCACAAATAAAAGCAGATCTTCGAGGATAAAAGCATATGTTTCCAGGTGAAATCGGATGAAGCAGACTTTTGCGGATAAAACTAGATGTTTACGGATGAATGCAGATGTTTGCGGATGAAAGCAGGTGAAACCGGACGAAAGCAGATGTTTGGGGAAAAAAGCAAGTGTTTGCGGATAAAAGCAGATGTTTGCGGATTAAAACAGATGTTTGTGGATTAAAGTAGACGTTCGCAGATGACAGCAGATATTCGCGGATAAGAGCAGATGTTTGCAGGTGAAATTAAATGAAGCAGACTTTTGCGGATTAAAGTAGATGTTTACGGATGAATGCCAACGTTTGCAGATAAAAGTAGATCTTCGCGGATAAAAGCAGATGTTTGCAGGTGAAACAGGACGAAAGCAGATGTTTGCGGATAAAAACAAATGTTTGCGGACGTTTCCAGACGTTCGCGGATGAAAGTAGATCTTCTTTAATTTTCTTTAATGTATGGCAAGGTTTTCGAGATATGATTTATATATTTTTTTAATTTGATTTTGAAGGTAGCTGGTTGCAAATTATTAATTAAATTAAACATAATCGCCGACAAATATAATCTTAATATTTAATCAGTTGACTAAGACTTAAACTTTAAGTGCGGATAAAAACAAATGTTTGCGGACGTTTCCAGACGTTCGCGGATGAAAGTAGATCTTCTTCGTTCGCACATAAAACTGGACGAAAGTAGATGTCTGCGGATAAAAACATATGTTTGCGGATTAAAGTAGACATTCGCAGATAAATGCAGATGTTTGCGGATAAAAGCGGATGTTTTGCGAATTAAAACAGATGTTGACGGATAAAGGCAGACGTTCACAAATAAAAGCAGATCTTCGAGGAAAAAAGCAGATGTTTCCAGGTGAAATCGGATGAAGCAGACTTTTGCGGATAAAACTAGATGTTTACGGATGAATGCAGATGTTTGCGGATGAAAGCAGGTGAAACCGGACGAAAGCAGATGTTTGGGGAAAAAAGCAAGTGTTTGCGGATAAAAGCAGATGTTTGCGGATTAAAACAGATGTTTGTGGATTAAAGTAGACGTTCGCAGATGAAAGCAGATATTCGCGGATAAGAGCAGATGTTTGCAGGTAAAATTAAATGAAGCAGACTTTTGCGGATTAAAGTAGATGTTTACGGATGAATGCAAACGTTTGCAGATAAAAGTAGATCTTCGCGGATAAAAGCAGATGTTTGCAGGTGAAACAGGACGAAAGCAGATGTTTGCGGATAAAAACAAATGTTTGCGGACGTTTCCAGACGTTCGCGGATGAAAGTAGATCTTCTTTAATTTTCTTTAATGTATGGCAAGGTTTTCGAGATATGTTTTATATATTTTTTTAATTTGATTTTGAAGGTAGCTGGTTGCAAATTATTAATTAAATTAAACATAATCGCCGACAAATATAATCTTAATATTTAATCAGTTGACTAAGACTTAAACTTTAAGTGCAATGGGCATGCATATTTTTGGGCCGTATACACACCCTATTAAAAAAATTAACTTATTAAATAAACAACCTCCAAGTTTTTTGTGTACATTCTTCAAAGATTTGAAAGTTGAAAAAGTTTCAGTTTTACTAAAAAATTATCAACAGCACATTTCTGTTCCCTATCAAGCCGAATCTTTTTCTTCTCAGCACCCGATTTATGTTTGTATGTACCTACCTGACATTTTTTTATTCAGTTCTTCAAGATCTACATACCATAAATTATACAAACTTGGCCTAGAGGCGTTTGGCATAGAAAACCTCGGGAGAAAATGCGAAACCTTAGACAGGCAACCCAATATTTTTTAATGTGATCTTGGTTGCTACTCAAATTTGTGGAGGGTAAATGTATGCTATCAAGTAAAAAATGGTTGGGATGACGGGCTCCTGAACTCAATATCCCCATTTGGGGGCTTTGACTATAGCGCCACCTACTTTTTGGCTTTTTCATTCCAGAGCACCAACTGATATAAATCCCAGGGGACAATAGACCAGGGTCGATAATTTTTGAAACCAAAAAAATAACAGTAGGATGAAACCCATTGGAAAAGGAGAAGAATATAATAAAAATGAAATGAAAAATAAATTACGGGCGATCTGACTTCGGGAAGTGGGAGGGGGGTTTTAAGGGTAAAAAATGGTTTATCTCGATTTCCGGCAAAACTACAAGTCCTATGGAAAAAAGTTAAATGGCAAAGTTGTAGGTAATAAAAGGATCTACAACTTTTGTAATTACAATTTTTTTACATAACCTCAAAATTTATGTGAAAAATTCAAAAAACCAAGTTTTTGGTTTTTTATTTTTATCTTTTTCAAAAAAAAATTTTTTTTCACGAAATTTGGTGAAAACTTACCTTTTTATGTCCAAAATACACTGTAATTTATTTGATTTAAAATATTTATTATTTCGCCTTATTTTGACTTAATATCAAAAAAGCACCCTAATTTTCAATCGAAAATTCTCGCGTCAAAATATCAGCTTTTTTTCAAAAAGTCGGTGTGCTTTTTGTTCGTTGAAATCTCTACTTTCTGATGGTGTAAAAAAAATAAACATTACTATGGTAAATGTTCTCAGAAAATGCAAAAAATATTATAATGAATAACGAAAAAAACTCGAATTCGAAAATTTATTTTAATCATTATGTACAATTTCATCAAAAAAATGTGATTGTTGCAATTTTTTTTAGTTAAAAAGTTTATTTATTAAATTCTAATAACATTTATGTCAGAAAATCTCATAAAATATAAAAATACATGTAAATCATACTATTGAATTTAGATACTTCATTCTGATTACGTTATTCATTATAATATGTTTTGTATTTTCTGAGAACATTTACCATAGTAATGTATTTTTTTTACACCATCAGAAAGTAGAGAGTTTATCGAACAAAAAGCACACCGACTTTTTGAAAAAAGCTGATATTTTGACGCGAGAATTTTCGATTGAAAATTAGGATGCTTTTTTGATATTAAGTAAAAATAAGGCGAAATAATAAATATTTCAAATCAAATAAATTACAGTGTATTTGGGACATAAAAAGGTAAGTTTTCACCAAATTTCGTGGAAAAAATTTTTTTTTGAAAAAGATAAAAATAAAAAACCAAAAACTTGGTTTTTTGAATTTTTCACATAAATTTTGAGGTTATGTGAAAAAATTGTAAATACAAAAGTTGGTGATCTTTTTATTACCTACAACTTTGACATTTAACTTTTTTCCATAGTACTTGTAGTTTTGCCGGAAATCGAGATAAACCATTTTTTACCCTTAAAACCCCCCTCCCACTTCCCGAAGTCAGATCGCCCGTAATTTATTTTTCCTTTAATTTTTATTATATTCCCCTCCTTTTCCAATGGGTTTCATCCTACTGTTATTTTTTTTCTCTTTTTACCATTTTTAAAGGCACTGGTCTACAATGCACACTACATATTTTGTATTTTCAGTTTTGTTTTAATAAGGTAAGTGCGGGTAATAAGGCCCAGCAGGTTATAAGGCCCGGCAGCCATTTTACCTTCATTTTTTAAATTATAATACTGGGGCTGCCATTTTATGATTTTACTAGGTAATATTTGATATTCGATAGAGTTCCGCCTTAATAAGATGTCTTTTGCTGATAGTAAATACAACAAGTGTTTCGACAACAAGTTTCTTTCGTGAAATTATAAAAATTGTGGTATTTTCCTAGAGCTGTGCCTAAAAAGCATTTATTCAATTGCTGCGCCATTACAGGTATGTATCAATACACGTATTACCAATGTTTTCCTAGAAAATGATTGGTTTTGTACTATGCATGTCTGAGTTATAACCTTAAAACAAGGATCGTTACAAAGCAGTTAATAAGGCCCACCAAATAATGAAACTGGGAAGAAACCCCAAAAGGCCAGCGGCTCGGCAACAAAATGCAAGAAGAAAGTGAAGATCAGTCAAACGAAGGCCACTGTAGAACCATCGACCTCACAGAAAGCGCAGACGCCAACCCCAAGGAAGATTGGTTCTGCAAGCTTTGTGAACTGGATTTTAAGTCTGATATGCGTCAGTGTGCCATGTGCCTCACCTGGTTCATGAAGAATGTGTCGGACTGACGCCTGAGGATGAAGATGTGTTTATTTGTCCCAAATGTGCACCCTGAATGGATGGGCTTTATTATCTGTTGAGCATGAAATAAGGCCCATTAACGAGTTTTTTAAAAACCTAAGAATTTTTCTTTTTGTTTATTTTATTTGAGTTTATAAATGTTACAGTATATAGTTTAAAGTTAATATATGTTTATGAAATAAAAAAAATTTAAAAATGTGCACGTTTTCTTTGTTTTTTTAATATAATGCGTTAGGTGGGCCTTATTACCCGCACTTACCTTATACCGTTTTCGAAAAAGAAAAACTTTTTGAGTATTAATAAAAAACCCGTCGTGCTATACGGTCTATTGTAGAAAAAATGTTAATGTGAATTTTGTTGGTTGCTGCGTTAAAAAAAAATAGAGTGAAAAAGCGAATTTTCGTCCCAGAGGATCGACGCAATGACATAAATTGCAGGTGACATTTCGTCACCTGAGAATTATAGTGTTCTATCTACATTTTCTTTTTTTTATCCAGGTTAGTCTTGTTTTAAGTCTTAAAGATGATATTTATCTATCTATATATAATTGGGGTAGAAATTGTAAAGTTTAAGGCTTAAACTGTACAATTTCTACCCCAATTATATATAGATAGAACAATATGCATCTTTAATACTTAAAACACTATAATTCTCAGGTGACGATTTATTGTTTAGAATTTTTTTTTCTAAAATTAAAGTTAATCAAAACAAAAAATAAGTTTTAACCTTAATTCGCATGGGGTAGGATCATCATGCAAAAAAATGACCAGTCAATTTTTCAGCCTGATTTTAATTACCAAATTAAATTAAAAAATTTCATACAAATTATTTGGTTTTCTAAAAAAATTATAAATAAATAAAAAACACATGATTTTTTTAAATTATAATTTATAATTAGAATTATTAATAATAGCAGTCTTATAAATACAAACAGCATTTTTGTAATTACAAAAATATTTTAGCGAAAGAGCTGTTAAAAAAATATAATTATAACCAAGAAATTATGTTTTGCACTATCTAACACATTTTAATTATGCTGATAAAATTAGTATACCTACATTATTTAAAATAGTATACATACTGTATGTAGGTAACCTACAGATATTATATGGTATATTATATATCATATTGGTTAAAAATGTATAATTTGAAAGTTATTATCCATTTCCATAATCCATTATCCATTTCCTTGAAATATTTCAAATGCAAAACATATTTCCGTGACTGTAGGTACCTAATATCTTTCTTAAATTATATCAGCAGTACATGTTAAAAGTGGCGGCACTTTACATTCGCAATACACTTTTTTGACGAGCATTATGTCGCTCACTTCTTTTACAAAGTTTTGGCCAACTTTAAGTTTTCTACTACCAAATTGACAGGTCTTATCTAAAAAACAAATAGTGTGTTTAAACTTTTACACTATTGAATATCTTTTACCTGAGGTGGGGCGACCTTTAAATGACTCCTTGTTATTTGCTAAAAAAAAATAAATTAAAAATATATTATGTATTTTAAAATAAGAAAGTGACATTATGGGCTGCTACGTAAGTCAGAACATGTTTTCAGGACATTTTGGAAATCTGCCGGATGCTGTCATAAGCACTAAAGGTTTCAGTTTTTTTAAGGGACTGATTTCAGGGGAAATACAAATAAATCAATAAATTGTCTATTTTATCCCTTTTTTTGAATGTAAAAAAGTTAACATTTCTAGGTAGGTACTTACAGCAGACCCAATTATTTGGGCAACAATATGTGTTATCATTTCGGTATATTCTCTTATAATATACAGGGGCACAAGCTTGTTGAATTTTGTCTTGGTGTTTTATTTGGACGTTGCATGTGCGTCTTTTGCACATCGGCGCTTCAATTTTACCCGTCCAGTCGCTGTTGCAAACGCATCTCCAGCAGGAATCGCGCAACAAAATGTTTTCGCCTTCTTTGTACTCGTGTCCATCGTGCACGCATTTCGTCGAATTGTCGTAGGGAGCTAAAATTATAATAAGTTTTGTAGATTATTTATTAGTTATTTATTTCTCAATGACATTAAACAACCAGATCCGTAAAAGAGAGTCCAATTATTTAGATAATTAAAAAAAAATGCAAAATAGTTCAAAACAGCCTAATATAAAATTTAAAACTATAGTTGTCATTATTTTTTTTTACAATTATTGTTAAAATCAATACCCCGTTTCATAAAATAATATGCGGTGCATTTTCTAAACCTAACTGCCTAACAACCTTTTTTCAGATGACAAATCATCAGGGGCGTAGCTACCGCGATATCAGCCGTATCAATGATACGGGGCCCCCGGCTAGGGGGGTCCCCGATTGGCTTCGACACGCGTAAGCAAAAAACATACACAACCAGGGCCATGGTAGAACAGATTCTCTTGATTTGTATTTGGAAATGCATGGGAGACTATATTTTTGGAAGTCATAATTGATGAAAAGTTAACCTTTAAAAGTCACTGTGACTTTATAATAATAAAATTAAGTTCGGTTGTTTACATTTTTCAAAATCCAAGGTCTATACTATTACTTGGAACAGTTTATGAATTTATATCATGCCAAAGTTAGTTTCCGACTTTCTTATGGAATATGCTTTTGTGGATCTTTTACTTATTGTATTTGTACTCGTAAGTCAGAAAAAAATTGTACGATGTATTGCCAGAGTACCGCAAAGCTACTCGTGCAAGACTCTTTTTAAGCAGTATAGAGATAGAGATAGAGATAGAGAAATATTTAGCCTTCAAAATTTACAAAGCGTGTCAACAATGCAGAATGTAAAATATTACAACATAAAATATATAATAAATGTATAAAAAAAGAATATCAAAAATATATAGCCATTTTAAAAAACATATAAATAATAAATAAATAAAATTACAGCACATTAAAGATTTAAAAATTCATCTGTTGAATAGAGAACATTTTGTATTAAAAAATTTTTTACAGTCTTTTTAAAAAGTTTTGTATCCATTTTTCTGATATCTTCTGGAAGCTTATTTAAAAGTTGCATCCCCATATAAACGAAATTTTTCTGAGATTTCTGCAATCTAAACTTTGGTAGAACTATTTTGTCTCTATTTCGAGTTTCATAACAATTATTGTGAGTTTGTGCGTGTGTTAAGTATGTGGTCTGGTTTTGGTGTATGTAGCACAGACAGACCTGTAAGTATGTAGCAGCTTGGAATGGTAAGTATATTTAATTCTTTAATAGCATATTGCCATTGCCATATGGCAACACATATGTGTTGTATTGTGGGGTAAGAAGCAAAAGGGTAAAGTGCAAAAAATAGAAGTGGAGTTATTAACTTTTAAAGTTTTTGCTATATACAAAAATTTGTATACTGGTTTCAATATTGTTGTTTGCATTAATGAGAAATTAAAAAAAAGACTCTAAACTACCCAATTCTGCACTTGTACCCTTTTGCTTCTTACCTCCTACCTAATTTTATTTTTTCTATTTTTAGGTTATTAATTTTGTAAATACCGATTATTTGAACTAATAATCTTCATATAACTTGCCTGAGAAACATTGTATGTTACAATGTTACTTGTTACTTACGACATGACTCCCTTTCTGAACAGCAGGATTCCAAATTATACTTTCTATAGCACCCAGAATTTGTAGATTTTCTAGTCCATTCAGAACACTCTACAGAGGCACAGGAGAACTTCATACTAAAAAATATTTATTTTATACCTACCTAAAAACCGCTTGACACGACGCAAGTTTCAGGCAATGCAAGACACTCGCATAGGGCTTGCATTGCAAAAATCATACGCTTACACAATGCAAGTCTTGCAAGATTAGAACACGTTCTAATTATTTCGCCTTGTGAGCGACTTGCCTTGATGCATGCGTACGTGTAATGCGACTTTAACAAACTTAACATTATAATATTCCCCTTAAAACTTACGTATCGTTACTTTTTTGGCAATAACATCCCAAGTCGCACCCCGTTGCAGTTAGCTGGGTGTCCACTTGTTCGTCCACCCTGTACATTTTTTGTTTGAAATAACAGTGCTTGTTTGATCTCCTGATGCCCTTGCATTCGTACATAATGGGGCATGATTTTGGGTTGGCGTAAATGGGTTTGCAACCCATATCTTCGTATAAATGGATGCCTTTTTGGTCGCAGTTCTCGGCAACTAAAATGTTAAGAATGTTATAATTTTTTTTAGATTTAATAGGATATAAAAGAATAAAAAAATATTTTTTAACTTGGCAGCTTAAAAGCTTAATCCTATTTTATACAATATTTATTTTTTTACTTTTGATAGAACATCTTTACAATGTAATAATGATGAACTAAAAAAATGGCGAATTCGCCGGGGTAAAATTTTTGAATGTTATTATAAATTAAAAAAAAATATTTGATGCTTTAATTTTACGCTCCCTTTCCAGTCTCGATAAGGGACTTAAGTTTGATACCGACTGACGTCATGATTTTACGATTTCATGTAATTGTTACGATAAAACTAAAACAAACCAACCAACCCAACATTTTTCAACAAAGGTATATATAAATAATTAAAAATATTAATGTAAAATTAAATATCAATGCTTTTAAGGCCACATTGTAATATTTCGCTATGTAAATTCATAAAAAAAATTGTAAATGCACTAAGTATCGAACTCTTGCATGTGTCAAAGACGCAATACCAGACCAATCCAGCCGTTTCGAACTCATAAGACAGTATTGTTTGCTCTAACCAAGGAAAACTGGTTAATCTTCGCAAATGTGAATGAAAAAACCCTATGCGGATTAAATCATTGTATCAACTTTCGGAATTTGACAGGAAAACGGACCGAGACGAAGAAAAAGTACACAAGTTTGGGCCCCAACAGCATACTAACCAATCTATGAGCCCCAGTTAAATGTGTACTTAGTTTTGGGTCGATTTAATTCCCCAAACCAAAAGGTTTTCTCTCCTTGTCCCGAACTCCACTAGCTTAATCGGGCGTATAGCCCGGCCCGGCGTCAAAAATCCAGATATAAAGGTTGCAATTAAAATACAGTAATAGGTAAATAAGAAGGATCATTAATTCCTAAAAAAATATAAAATACCTTTTTTGTAAAGCGTAAAATTTCTTACAAAAATGTATTCTTATGTCATTAAAATGTCATTTAGGAATGGTTAAAGGACATTGGAATTTTTTTAAATTGATTTTAGACTGTCAACAAATAATTTATATGATGACCCAAGTAAAAAAAATCAACTTGGGAAATAAGGGACACCCTAATATACAATAATATACAATTTTTACAATATTACAATCTTTTGAATTTAATTCTTTTTATTTAGTAATTTGTCAAGACTTATATTATTATTAAAAGAAAATTGTAAAAAAATTGTAACAAAAATAAAAAACAAATGAATTTAAATGAATAACTAACAAAAAGATTTAATTTTTCATAAATATAAATTTATAATAAATTTTAAACAATTATTAAAGAAATAAATTAATATTCTGTAAAAATCTACAGTCATAATATTAAATATAAAATTTAACAATAAATCGGCAAAATCTCGCAAATTTAGCACCCCATGGGGTGCAACGATTTATAAAATACGTTTTATTAATTTATAATTATAAACTCTTATAAATCAGTGTATTCTTTTAAATTTGCAGTTTATTATTATAATGATTTACATTACTCACACATAAAAATATGTTGATTTATGAATCAATAAAATTATTATAAAGTCGATCATAAAGTACGTCTAACGCTTACATATAGGGGCAAGACTTTGTGACATCGTGTGGGGGGTTGGGGGTATGAAATCCCCTAAAAAGTTGGACGTAATTTATGGACCACTAGTGGAGCTCCTATTAATCTAAGGACACTTTAATAAAAATAAATATAATTTATAATATAATTCTTGTCTTGAACACAATTACAATGTTTTTATTACTAAGTATTTCAATTTTAAAAAAATCTTGTACTATTTTTGAATTTTGCATGTTGACACAAAAAATGTCTTGCTCCTCCACTATTTAAAAAAGCATTAAGTGCGTAATACGTAGTAAGTACATTTGTTATTTTTATTACTTTTTTCATTTATATAAATATGACTGGACTTAACTTGTTCGTTTAATTCCCAAAATAATTAAAAAAAAATACAGAAAATTGGGTCCCCCACGTATGCGGTCTTCCTAAATACACCAACATAACCAATTTCGTTAACTCATCAAACCCTTTTGCATGTTATAAACAGTGGCTTATTTGGTGTATGGGCTTATAAGGTTATAATCTAAAGAAAAAAGCAAAAATCTTTTAATAATGAAAAAAGGTCATACCTACCAAAGAATGAACAAATGCACAAATTAGTTTGACAAATTTGTCAATGAAAGTCATAATTAACGGATTTTGTAAAGTCACTGCAGTGCAGTGCACAGAAACAAACTTTATGCCATTTCTGTAGGTACATGAAAATAATTTTTTTTACACTTTTGTTTAAAGAAAAAATATTTTAGACAAAAATTATTCGAAATTTTATACAAAATAATTTTGCTTTTAACTTTTTATTGTGCAATACACGGGGACCGAGCTATTCGCTAAAAACTAACAAAATGTATTTTTGCGTCTCTTTGTAAAAAAGAATGGTCAGGTGATGCAAATTTGGATTTAAGCTTTTCAAATAACTACCTATCTATTCATGAAAAAAAACATTACTTGTAACATTTCTTGAAACGCAGCCACTTTTGTATAAGTTGTTTAATAAAGACCATTTAAATTAACTACAAAATAAAAATTGTTCTATAGAAATTTCTATTTACTTATCTTTTACTTTTAAATATCTTTTATTGAAATGAATTTTAAAAATTAAAAAAGAATGATTATTAAGATCCCACTATCGTAGGATGCTCAGAAATGTCGTCCGCCTTATAAGGAAGTGGCCTAGGTAATTAAAAAAATGAGACTTTTCTTGAAAAAATTACAAAATGCTGGTAAGGTCACTACGTGATAAGGCCGACGATGTGAAATGTACAAAAGTTTAAGACAAAAGTAGTTGATGCATACCGTATGCAGCATACCTATAGTTTATAAACTCATATTGAAAACATTTTTCTAAACTTTGAGGTTTAAAATTGTTTCAATAAAGTATGGACAAAAAAAATTAAAAACTAACTTAAAGGTCACTTTCAATGGTTACTAAAAAATTTTTAGTAAAAATATATGAAAATTTTTAGTAAAAATATATGAAAATATGGTTAAAAAAACTTTGTATTATAAATTCAAAAAATGCAATATTCAAACCTTGTTAAATGGACTACAAAAACATAATGAAAATTTTAAATTGATTGATTGAATGTGCCGCCTTAGGCCCGGACCTTGCCTAAAGTCTAAATCGAGCCCTGGGTCCTAGGTTTTTAATTGATATTTTTGTTGTCTGATTAGCGTGAATTGCTCTTAAACTAACTAATAAAATATGTTTACCTACGCATCCAGTAAAAACTAAGGCACCAATAATCACAACACCTCGGTTCATGATTGCTTGATTAGCCATCGTTACTTATAAGTACATAAATACACTACTGCAAATCTGCGATGATCTAAGGATTGATATACCTGTCGTATACTAACTGTATGCGGTCACATTTATTTTATTTTTCAAAGATCTATGTACATCCGAGTTAGATGTAGGCTTACTGTTTTCTGTCTTACTTATTTACCGACTTACTGTAAATATAATTTTTCTAGACAAGTAAGCAGAAAAATGGTTGCAAAAGAAGGTCGTTAACATGATGATGGCACTGGCGGTGCTAAATTATGATAATATTAAAAAAGTAAACAAATTTCGTGGTTAAGTAAAGATAAAAATTGAACTACCTTGTGGTATTATATCATGTTTTTAACGTATCCGATTTGCGATAAATTTGTGAGTATAATCAATTATTGTGGGAAGTCGTATTTATAGATCTTCTTTTGTTTTTAATTTGTCTGGGCGTACAATGTACGCCGTACATGGGCACTCGGTAATTTTAATTGGAATTAAACATCTTTTTTGAACCTCTCTATTTAAAGTTTTAATTAAAAAAAACACAACCATTTCTGAATGCTCATAAGACGCAGCTTGGTCATATTTTTAAAAATTTATAAAATAACTTAAAAATTGCGTCGTATGGCAACGTTATCGAAAAGTCATGTATCTAAAACAAGTTTTGGACATTTTTAGCCTAGGCTTGTTAAGTTTTGAGATAATTATTTTCAGACAAAGAAACAAAACTTTACATCAATAAATATAATCTAGAATTGTTATTTTGGATTAATTAAATAAGTGTCTAGAAAAATTATAAACAAGTTTCATACTATACCTTTTCTACGCCAAATACCTATTATTATCTAAAAATTATTTAAATTAAATATTTGTATAAAGAGACATCTACACAAATATAGAGTAACCGTAAGATACCAGTAAGATACAGATACCCAATTTGTAATACCGGCCGCAAATGTCGAATTTTCTGTGTAAAGTAAAATTTATCCCTTGAAAATCGATTAACAACCGTTTAAATCCGATGTAGAGGCATTTTTTTACAGTAAAAGTAAATAAAATGTTTTATGAGCACTCCACTGTGAAGTCTCCAAACGAATTTTTAATTCTTTATCTAGTTTACTGCCGGCCACAGTATTATATACTATATACCGGAATTCCGGGATTGGAAAAATTGCTAAGGATTGAAACCCCTACCGTGGTACCATGGTATAGAAGTAGAGTTTACTTACTAGACAGTCTTAAGATTCAAGAGCTAGATTGCTCTAAACTATTAGAGAAAAAACATGCAACACGATGCTCTAGTCTTTAGAGAAAATGAATAGAATGAAAAATAATACTGAACATGTAATTAGGTCTCAAGCTTGTAAGAAAGAATTCAAATTAATTTTTATTTAATTTTTTTGGTTTACGAATAAAACCTTAAAAAGATTTTTACGTTTACTTTATTTTATACTTTTTGCATTAGAAGTTGTTTAATACCCTCACTTGTGCATATTCATCTATTTAGTATTTAATTTCCTTTACTATGGCCATTTACATTTTAAGTAATATTAAGAGTAGCGATTAGAAATTAAAAAATTGGTTACAAAAAATTATTAGGATTCCGCAAATTCGACTATATATAGTCGAACTATAGTTAATAGGTGTGACCAAATGAACCGCTTGAGCATGTTTTTTAATCTTTATTGAAATTACAGTATATTTTATCTATTATTATATAATGGGGTTTCATATAATAAAAAAAGATTTCTTTTCCTTCCTTCATTCCTTCCTTCTGCTCTAGAGCATAGCTGTTGCATGCTTTCCCCTGTTAAGAGCAATATGGCTCTTGAATTATAAGACCATCTAACTAGAAAACCAAGTAGTTACGTACTACGATAGTACCATATGCTACAGTTAAAAAAATGAAAATATAGAAATTTTAAAGGAATTGATAGGAAAAGGTACATTTATCTTGGTAGCCAAGGGGCCCGCCAATTATCATGATAATTGGCAGTTTGGCACTTAAAACAGTCCTAAATGGAAGCGATATAGGATGCAGTTGTTTTTTAATATTTCTTAATTTATTTTCCTACTTTTTTAAAACGCGTACATGTTTTCAAGACAATAAGTGATCTTATAAATACACATTGACAAGCTATGGCTTTAGTAAGTAAATTCTACTTATGTACCATGGTACCACGGTAGGGTTTTTTTTTACAATCCCGAAATCCCGGGATCAGTTCCGAAAAAATATAAATCTGGAATTTTACAATAAATTTAAAATAAACGAACAAACTAACGAACATATAAATTTTAAATCAGTTTTACAAAATATAATTTAAAATAAACAAACAACAACATCTTTCGGACTTCACACTAGTTGGAGGAATGTTTTTCAGAAATTCGTACCCACGTTTACCCCCATTAACAAATAATTCCATTTCTTCCATCAATAGGGACTTGGTAAGTTCCAATTGAGGTTGTAAAACTTTTTATAAATAAAAATTTTTTTCAGAAGTTTTTAATTTTATCTAAGAAGTTTTTCCAATTCATGTTTAACTTTTGTGGCCGGCCTTTCCATTTTGTCCTTAGAATCCGCCGTAGTCACCCGTGAGACGTAAGTCTTTTGAAACCATATTTTCCATTTTGAATGTATACGATAGTTAAAAAAACACTGTCTAGTGCTTAGCGGTGTACAATAATTTGGTACAAAAGTATGTGTAAAAGAAACGAATATTTATAAACATTATATTTTAGGCCTTAATTGCAACCTGTTGTGCGGCATAATTCGGTAGATAATAAAATATTTAAAAATAAATGCCATTATAAAGTATTTATTTATTCTTTGTAACTTATTACGAAGGGATTGGGACTTTTTATCACAGCATTTTCGGGATCGGTTTTTACGGAATCCCGGGATTGACACCCCTATACCACGGTACCATATTATTACCATGGTCCGATATTAACATGGTAATTTTGTATAAATAAAATCCATAGAAGTCAAAATAGCTGTAAAAATTAAAATTAAAAAAAGCAGATATAATGAATCAATATAAAAAGTACTAGAAAATCATATAGAAATAAGAAACGGTAACAATAAAATATAAAAATTAGAAATATTAAAATAGTCTTGCGGTTCCAGTTTATATAATAGATGGTTTATATAATAGATGGAAAAATAAACAAATATTACTATATCATTTGCATTGTCACTAAATTTACAAAGGTATACCAAAATTTAGCTCAATCCGAGCCAGCAAGTGTTTGAAAATTGGGGAACAGAGAGACTTTCAAATAGAACGATAAAAAACAGAGCAACTTTGAGCGAAAAGTCAACCAATCGGGAGTTGCATCGTCACTACATTTACATAGGTATGCCGAATTTTAACCAGCAAGTGCTTAAAAATGGAAAGAGCAACATGAATGATTTTTTATATATATATATACTGGAAATAAGCCATATTTAAATAGTAATAGTAATAATTGTACGCTAATAACTTATTTAAATTAATATATAATTAATTGAAGAGTAAACCGTAACAAATGTAATGATCATAGTTTTCTGTGCGATGAATAGAACGCGAGATATGAGCGATTGAAAACGAAAAAACTAATCCAAGATAGCGGGGGAAGGGTTAATTTGGACAGTGCGTTAATTCAAGGTTAAGGTTTTCATCAAAGCCATTTTCGAATGAGCAACAAAGAAAAAAATGTACCCGAAACTTTTGCTTCAATTACTAAATGCACTGGACTAATCCTACGGATATCGTAAATACCTTGTTTTTTTAGGGGTAAATATGTTGTTTACAATAAATTCAATTTTTTTAAGGCACGATCTATGTGAAACTAAAGTAAATATAGTATACCTTTGGATTCCTTAACTTTTTCCTACCGATCCATGTAAAATTCCAATATGGCGGCTATAGGAAAAACAAAAGATGGTGTTGGAAACTTAAAATCTAGTAGGAAGAATTAAAATTTTTAACACCAAATATATAATTTTTATATTATAAAATAGAAAATATTCAGTTTTCATGATCTTAAATTACGTCGGCCCCTGAATGCTAAAAACTGCAATTAAATATTTTATAAATTTTAGTATTAAAATTTGGGAATCCTTTTACTTTAGTACAAAAATTGACACGTCAATGTTTCAATATTTTTATGCGTATTTCATATTTCTACGATTCCCATAACAATAAACACTTTAGAAAGCCCAAGAATTATAGCCAATATAGTCGGTGGAGATTTAAAGTTAATCAACAATATAATTGCCCAACAATTATAAAATAATCATTTTTATTTTTAGTATTGCATTTGTACAGCACATTCATTTTTTCAAGGTTTATCAAGTGAAAAATAAATCCTTTTACGGGCGATTTAATATTTATACAGGTTGACCAAAAACAGTACTAAAAAATAATAGTTATTTATTTTACAAGGGTTGAAAAGCGACTTTTTCATGCGAGTGTTAAAGTTGCTTACGAGGCCGTCAGGCCGAGCTTGAAGAAAGCTTTTCTCACAAGTGAAACAATGTTTTTTCTACGACCCTTTTATTTTTTATTATATTCAAATACAAAACAAAATAACCTAAAAACGTGTTTGACAGCTGTTAAAATTACTTTCATCTTATTCTTTTAATTTTTAAGGTATAAGTTACTTAAAATCAATAAACTTACCTTATCAATTTAAATAAAGGCACTAAAAATTAGAATTCATTATACAAACACAATTAATTGTGTCCTAAATGATATTTAGACATACATATACAAATGAAATATAAATTTTGAAACGAATGTCAAACGATGCTGTCAAATTCTTTTCACACAGACCTGTCACTTTTCACACAGAAATGTCACTTTACATTCGTGTTTTGCCTTGCCAATGAAAAGATTCATTTTCTAAGCAACGATGCCATTACGAAATGCGACTTTTACATAAGTGGTCGTAGAAAAAAAAATTTAATTATAAAGATAATTTTATGCTCTTAAACAACCTCATATCACTCTAAAAAAGTAAAAGTGCACCATGGTATTTTTTTATATATTAACATCTAACTCGCAGCAGAGCAGCAACAGCAGCCCAGCAGATAAGACCTGAAGATGGTACATGAGATTGTATATATATATATATATAAACTCTATGCATAAAGAAAATTTAAATTAGCGCTCACCTAAAAAAAATTAATAAAATTTAAAATTTGGCGATAAACTATGGTAAATAATAAATTGCACCAATTAAATTTATATTGTATTTATTGGGGGCGCCATGGGGCAGGTGCGGCCGGGCAAAAAGTTTTTTTCGCAAATTGAAATTCTGCTTGCGCAGAACTTGTTTATTTAATGTCATTATATACTCATATAAATTTGGGTCCCATATCTAATAATTGAGATATCGGTATACCCAAAAGCCGCCACTGAAGTAGGATCTTTTTTAAAAATCGAAAGTATTAAACTTGTATCTGTAAAGATGCACCAAAAGTCTATTTTATTTTTAAGATGTTTCTACACATGTTAGCAGAGGAGGTAAAGAACATTCGCATTTATAATAATTTTTAGTGCCATAATTAGCTTTGGATTTATTTATAAACTGTCCAGTTTTTAAGGTTGTGTTTCCAAAAGTACAAATATCATCTAAAAAATCAAGCTTTAAATTAAATGTTTGTAAGTATGTTTTTTTCATACCTCCATTTGATGACCCCAAAATTTTATCGCCTTCTTCAGCTGAAAATAAAAAATAAAAATACATAAAAAACTATAAAATCATAAAACAATCTTACGGCATAACCATGTGGATGGGCAACAAAGCGTATGGCCTATAGAATCTTTTTTTAAATATCCTGGTGCACAAGCTTGTTGAACTTCAGTTTGGTCACGCAATTGAACCCCACACCTTCTTCTTTGACAGAATGGGGCCTCGTTTACTCCCCTCCAACCTTTTTGACAAACACAATTCCAACAAGTATTTTTTGGAGTAAATTGTTGCCCCTCTTTGTAAATAACTCCATCTACTTTGCATTTAATATGACTAAATGGTGCTAAAAGAATATATACTTGGTTGGTTTTATATTATTGACAAATATTTAGATATATTTATACAAAACCCTGTTGTTTATTTTATATTTTAAAAACTAAAGATTATCTCTTTAAATCCGAGTTAAAAACAGGTACAAAAATCCAAAAAAATAACATTTTTGCAGAAAATTGAGGTAATTTCTTTAACTACTAAAATTCATACTTACGACAAATTTCCTTAAAATAACAACATTGGTTAAGGTCGCTAGCTTTATAACAACCAGGGGCTGAGGGTGTATCATTATAAACCTGAGGAGCACAATCCACTACAGGACAGGCAAACTCAAGGCGACTAAAAAATTATAACATTAATATAACATAATAATATAACATTAATTTAACATAATAATATAACATTAATATAACATAATAATATAACATTAATATAACATAATAATTAGGTTTTAGGAACAATCATTGTTAAGGGTGTACCAACATGAATTTAAACGTTTTTTTTTCAAAATGTTTCAGTTTTCAAGTGCTAATGCTGTCTAAAAATTATAAAACCTGAAATTAGATATTAATAATCTAAAAACTGAGTATGAAAAAACGTCAGCAGCTAAAGAAGGAAAACTGTTAGCAGTTAAAGAAGACCTTAAAAATATGAATTTTGAAATAAAACACCAGGGCTCCTCGAAAGAGAAAAAAGGGCGGTAAATGTAATTATTTTTTTAATGGACCAGTCTAAACCAACAAAGAAAAAACAATGCCAACAAGCTCATCGTGAACGACACATTAAAGAAATTGACACGGAGCATAGATGCCGAGAACCTCAGTTTCGCCCGTTGAGCAAAAAGTCCATCAAAGAAGAAGCCATGCAGATAATACGCATAAAAAACATCTTGAACAATGGTAAAATGTATATAAAATGCGACCCAAATAAAAATCAGCGAGAGTATCTTAGGTAGTTATTGAGCAAGCTTGAAAGAAGAAAAAGTAATGAGGAAGATAAAATAAAAATTAAATACATAAACAATTTACCTAAAATTGGGTCCTTCACATCTCAAAAGTACTTAAACTTAAAAAACTAAGAACGCCATTAGTTAAAATCCCTTTCTACACAAATATAAACTCAATAAAAACAAACACATATAGATGAGTGGAAGCGAGCACCCAGAAACTTAAACCAAATAATATTTTACTTACCTAGACTGATTGCACGATTCTAGACAGCTTAAATCAAATCCAAATCCATATACAAAAACGATAAAAATGAAAGGGGTTGGTGTTTGCATACTGGTGCAAAACGCTTATTCAATTGCAAATAATCAAGTCCATCTACAAGAATCGATTTAATCTCTATAGATAAACATGAAAATTGCAGACATCTAAAGACCCAAGCATATTTCAACTGAAGACAATCTCCAATTAAAAAAGTGGATATGTAGTTCAAATAATCCCATACATATACGGCGATTTCAGCTATACAGACATTTACTAGAACTCCCTTATTGTTAAGTTAACAATGTTAACCAAACCAATTTATGATGCACAGATTAAAGAATACAAAGAAACAAATTCGTTTTAGATGATCTCTTTTCCAACAAGATACAGGTATAATAAACAGCTTTCATTGCTTGATCTCTTGCTGGTACTTATATTTGACATAATATCATATCATCATAAATATTGTTTTGTATATGAGATAAAATAAATAAGTTTGAAGGAAAAATTATTAGGTACTCCAGTTTCATTTTTGTTAACTCTACTTTTCATGTTTGGTAAAGGGCCCCCCATCAACTGGTCTCAGGTCCCACACCAACCCAAATAAGGCCCTGTTTTTTTTTACTGAACATTTCAAAAAATTGCAACAAAGCAGAAACTTTCCTTTAATTTTACATTATTTATTTATAAAAAACCTATTGAAAAAATACTTACTCCTTAAGACAAAAGCACCCAAAACTACATGGGGGCCCGTATGTTGTGTTTGCGGGTTCCTCTAAAACACATTGGTTTCTGTAATAACAACATTTTTTCGTTGGTTTAATGCCTTGGCAGGAATATAAAGCAGGGCAAGCAGTTTTCCCGTAATATATGGGTTTACAATCCATGTCTTGGTAAAGTAAAACACCCATTTTATCGCAGTTACTTGCTATAAAAAAGATTAATAGAAATAATATTGCAAATTATATTTTCTTTTTGTGTAAGACAATTTATAACCAATGCTTACGAGTTTGGCAGTAAAATTATAAATTGTATATTTACCTATCGCAGTGCTAATGTAAAGGAACAATAAATAAACCCACATTGTATTTGTGGTGCACTAACTCTCAGACCTAAATGCAAATGTGAATTATTATAATACCTATAAACTTAAGTGTTAAAAATAAAAACACCGGCTATCTTGGTTTGTATGTTAATAATTTACAGTAAATGCTTCTATTAAAGATATTTCCAAGCGATTTATTCAAGGTTTTATGAAGTTTACTTCATATCTTTATTTTATTAAGCGCAGGTGAAATACGTTGGTGGGAATTACCTACCTACTTTTTATTGGTTATGTTTGAATTTTAACTATGATTCCGCAGAAATTTTAAAATGGTCGTTTTTATGTCATTGACCCTTAAATGTATTTACAATTTTTTTCAAACCACAGCCATTCCACGCTACTCGGGAATTTGTATAGCGTCCGTTACAATCAAAAATTGTGATTAAAAGCTACCGTAATTAAATTAAATACTGTTACAATAGTTAATATTGCAGACATGTTTATTATGCTTGTAATAATTTGGCTTAAACTTATAAGCATAATAATTACGGTAGTTTTACACACAATTTTTAATTGTAAGTTACAATTTGTAACGGACGCTCCAAAAATTCCCGAATAGCGTGGAATGGCTGACCAAATATTTTAAATATGGCCAATTTGTTTTTAACTTACAAATGCAAAAATTAAAAAAATTTAAGGCGTATTTATATTCAAAATCAAAATCTAAATCAATATATTTAAGTATCATTAAATGTACATTATATAAAAGAAAAACATATATTATATAAGGCCGCAATATTGTGATGGTGTTGGCTGTAAAAAGGCGCGTGGTTATGAGATTCTTAGTCCCTTATACACAAGGGCTTCTTTTAATAGTCATGGAGCAGTTCTGGCCTTTTCTCGTATAGCAAATGTAAGGCCAACTTAATCCAGGTAATAGATTAAAATCTTGAAAGTTGGAAAGTAAAATTAATGTTGAATAAAGTCAAACGTTAAAGAATATTTTAGGGGAAAATGAAAATCAAAAACCCCCAAGTTCATAATCAATAGTTTTTTTATGTAACTTTAAACAACACATATTGCAAAAATCCTATTTAAAAGTAAACAAAATTAATTATAAACTAATATAATAAAAATACCATAATTTGGATTAAATTTTAAACAAAATTAGTTCATCATTCAAGGCCAACATCATTTTAAGATACCGAAAATATACTTTATTGTACTAAAATTATGATTTTAAAACAAACACTGAGTTATAAAAACTAATAATATAGTATATTTTTAAAATCATAACAGGTTTCCACATGTATATCCATGTATATCCAATATTATCCATATATTGATAAGTTATAAGTTGTTTACACTACAGTAAATAATTAATATTATACAATAATATTATTTTATATTATATTATATTAAGTCATTAGAATATTTTGTTGACGGCGTCTATATAATAGATAACTGACAATCCATAACATAACCATAAATTATTTTTTTTATGATTAATTAGGGGGGCTAATCTCGAAAAGTCTGTCCCAGTCTAAAAAAATAAAGCTGACATTTTTTGTTGAGGAAGAGGCATTTGGAGTTGTGGGCCTCCGAAAGTATGCAAAAAAATAAGCGTACCTAGGTACATTTTATTAAAGCATGGCAATGTCATATCTACTCGTATATAGCCAACTTTTAATAATACTTACATCTACAGGTGTATGTATATTGCCCACACCCAGACCCCTACTAAGTTAGTAGGCAGTTCTGTGCAACCGTGGGCTGTTGTAAGGGGCATTTAGGACCAAAAAGCTTTATCAAAAAACGTGTATAGGTACTGATTAAAAAAAAAAGGTTTTTATCCTCGAGGTCCACGAAAACTTTAGGATCAAAGAGCTTTACAAAAACTTGTAAATACTGGTTCAAGTAAAAATACTTGTTCCTCCTTCAGGGATATAAAAAAAAAATATTATTACTACCTTGTAAAACTTTCTTTTTAAATAATTTAAATTAAATTAAAACTTTCAATCTTTAAAACAGTACCAAATCAACACTCCTACGGTCGAGACTTAATAGATTCTCCGCTCTGAACTATAAACAATTATACAGTGCATAGTCAGTGCATTTAAAACTTAATCTAAAAGTTTAAAAGCGCAAAGTGAACTGCCACCCCACCTGTCGAAGTCACGGAACCACCCACCTGAAAGAAACCAATTAAAAGGGGAGAAGGAGCCATATTCAGATAAGTTTTTAATATTTGTACTTCGCTATTTGCATAAATATGGAAGTCACGGAACCACCCACCTGAAAGAAACCAATTAAAAGGGGAGAAGGAGCCATATTCAGATAAGTTTTTAATATTTGTACTTCGCTATTTGCATAAATATGGATTCACCGAGCCTACGGGTGTGTTTATACCTTCCAAAGTGAAAAATCCGTAGAAATCAACAAGAAAGAATAAAAGAGTTGAATAGGGTTAACGAACCCCTACATTAAATAGACCAAAGATACCGAATGCACAGGCGCTATAGGACGTGACAGGTAGTACTTAATAATAATAATATTAATAATAACAACATATAAATCTTATGTAAGTAATCAAACCATTTTCTAATCTTTGCCTTAATAAACAAACTGGGAGACCTTCTCGAGTATAAAAATAAGTAAATAGCAGAAGCAGTAAAAATAAATATAAATGCAATTTCTTAATTGTTAATTAAGAAAAGAAAACGTAAACACAATTTCTACCACAACAAGAAAACAACGAATACATAGTCGTTTTCAATAAACAGTTCCTGCTACTTAATAGTTAAATTAAAAATTATAGGGATTGCTTAGGTGAGTAAACAAAAACTATTCTAAAAAACTAACTAACCTAACCCAATAATGACTGTTGCATTCGGTAAAACTTGTCTAATCATTAGCGACTGCCTTTCCTCTGGGACAAAGAGTCAATAACTCATAACGAGTCATTTTATGTGTCTCTAAGAGTGTGGGAAAAGTAAAAACAACACCCCAATGGAGCGAGAAACTGCGTGCAGCAGATTTTGAATTACAGCAGACCGGGCATAGACCCGGTTGAAATACAAGACCAGTAAAGATGTCCAAGTAACGTACTAATAACCCATGCCTCATTCATGAATCCCAATTGAATGGGGTCATTACTAATACCCTGGTCGAGGGGTAGTCCGGATTGTAGTTAGTTTTGGGTCAGTTGGTTTAGATTAAATCGGGCGCATGGTCAGCCCGGCGACAAAATTCCGGGAATGGCATCACCATCGACAATCTCATCCACGACCTCCTAGGAAAGATTACCTACCGGGGTGAAAATTCGGATCCACCAAACACAGGTAACGCTGTGCAGTGGCGGGATACGTATAGAACCGAAAGGAGGTAAAATAACCCTATAAGATCAGTGTAAGGCGTAGCCGATGGGGCCTGCCATACGTTCTTATACTCATACTCATTAAAACTTTTAATCTTTAAAAGTCTCTGTAAAATTGTTAAATATAAGACCTTATGTGATAATTGGAACGATATGTGGTTTTTAAGGTAGTATCTTCATTTAAAGAGTTTCTATAAAATGTCTTCAAAATTTAATAAATGATTTTGTGAGGCATTTGACACATTCACAAATAATTTCAGATATAGCACAGATTTCATTTGTTTTTATACGCCACAGTATTCTGTAGCATAAGAGCTCGCTCATGATATGTTCCTTAAAAATAACCAATTGTTAAGCTATTAACAGGACAAAATATATTTTGTTTCCCGAGTTTGGAAACTAATTTTTAAACTAATCGATATGAAATAACTTGAAAATTGTAATTTTAAATTTTGTGGTGCCAACTAAAGAAACACAAAAATATGACAGTTTTAAATCTTGCCATTATAATAACAGTTTAATAATTCATATTGTTACTTATTTACTTTTTATGTTGCTTTTAGTTTTTAATAATACCTACTTTAATTTGTAATAAAGTTGTATTTTGTTAATTAAAATACGTTTAATTTTTACTACATTGGCAATTTGCTGTCAACTAGTATTTATTTATTAAATTAAGATACTCCCTAAACCTTAAAGATAAAGAGCGTTATGAATAATAAAAAATTGATAATGAGTAGTTGGAAATCTTTGCCTACCCCAACAGGAACTGGCCAATGTGCTTGAAGTGACGTATCTTATTTAGAAGACTTAGCCGGTTCAGATTTCTCCAACATCATATGGCGCATTCCAAAACCTACATGATTTCATCGAGCCAAAACCACCAAAATTGTGTTGATCTGATTTGATATAAATATATAAATGTGCTAAGTAGATTATTTTGTAGATAAAATTGTATTTGTTTTTAAATATATTTTAAAAAGACTAATTATAACAAGAGAATTAATTTTGCAGTAGTAATGTAATAACAAAAATGAATATACATATTAAAATTTACAGGAAAATAATACATAACACAATGCACGTATTATTGAAAACAATATTTTTTTCCAATACAAAAATATCTGACAAAATCCCCTTATGTACCGTAAAGTATGTAGGTTCATTAGTGATATCTATTATAATTAGAAATGGGTTTAATTTTTGTCCAAAATATTTGCTACAAAAATTGCTGACCTTAAGGACGCAATAAAATATGTTTTAATATTAGTCATACTTAATATAAAAAGTCGTGCTCTGAGATAACTTAATTGATTTGGTAATTAATTTTATGTTTATTTGAATAAACAATCGCGCAGATATGATTTTTGTATTCCACATAATTAAAAGAGATGAAGTCAAGGTTGTATATTTAATTTAGTTAAGTGGTGTAATAGCAGTCAACAGAGCTACTAACCAGAAAAATGTTGTGCAGAATAATATTATTGGCGATTTTTTACAATATTTTTGCCTCCTCAGCCGGTAAGTACACTGATTGTGTGTATATATTTGCTATTGATAGTTATTTTTTAACATTTCATATTTGAGGCCATTATTCGCAAAACTCTCTAATCGACAAAATAATCAAAATTCACTTTTTTCGATCATTTCATTAGATTTTTGATAAGAAATGCATTGTCACCTTTAAAACGTATAAAAACTACTTCTTTGCTATATAAAATCGGTTAAAGATTTATCGGTTATTTGCAAAACTCTTTACATCCATTTAGCTAGTTGTGCCGCTAAGAAGAAACTTAAAGGGGATAATTACTGATTAAACATTATGGTAAAGATTGGATAAAACTACCAGAATTAGCCTTTTAAAAAATTATTCAAGATTAAACTGCTAAAAGTAAAGATGATCAAGACGTGTGTCAAAACGTAAACAACACTGAAATAATTTAAAAATTTTTGTTTACATTCTAATTTTTGTCTGTTTAACTTCACTGTGTTTATCTTTTTCTTTTCAAAACTCTCTATTTGCAAAAGAACAATATTTTTTGCTGAATAACTATATGAGTTTCATATTTACGATTATCATATTTATTAGTCATGCCTATTAATGTATTGAACAAAAAATAAATTGATCCAAAAAAATAATTTGTGTTCAAGCTAAAAAGTTTTTTGTTGCTCCTGAAAAGTAAACGAAATAGCAAAGAGAGAGTTTTGCAAATAATGACCTCATTTGTAGTGATGCCGCCGATACGAGAGATTCTCGCCTCTCGTCTCGTCTCGTCTCGTCTCGACGAGACGAGAGGGCGATTTTCTCTCGAAAAAAGGCTCGAGACGAGACGAGAGAATTCCCTCTCTCGCTCGAGAATTTCTCGTTTCTCTCGATCTCTCTCGTTCTCTCGATTATAAAAAACAATTTTTTTTTACATAAAAATTATAATTTTACACATAAATGACGATATTTATTTGGACCAATGAGAACATTATTCGCATTTCATAATAAACAAAATTTGTTCCTGGTTAACGTTGTATTATTTTATAACACAACTTAACGTTAACCAAGAAAAAATTACTTATAAAATAATAATAATTTTTAAAATTTACCCTGTATAAGCACATCTATGGCACTCCTTATACTATTACAAAAATCCGTAGGCTTAATAAGCATTTCTTATTCAATAAACTTATCAACAACATGTGGTTTTTGATATCCATTTTTTTTTAAATAAAATGGCTGATCCAATATGACGAAAATTCGTCGTTCGGCTTTAATGGTTTGGGTAAAATTTAGTATTCAGATATTTATGGGGTCCCTGATTCAGAATTTGATATCCATTAAAAAAAACAAAATTGCGGATTCAAAATGACTGACATGCGCAGTAGGTACAAGATGGTCGGATCTATGTGGAGTAGTTACATCATATATGCGCAGTAGTTTTCAGATGGATGGATCAAATGATTTGATCCATTAAAAACTACTGCGCCGATAGGACGACATTTCGAACATTTGTTATAAATTGTTTTCAGAGCCGACTATTGTTGATTTAATGTTCATTTTTGTTTTTCAAACGTTTTAAATAATACATTTTACAGGGAAACCCATTTTTCTTAAATTTTGAATTACAGCGCCATCTGTTCATTTTTTTATGTACTACCAAAATCTGTAAAAAAATGGTTATCCCATTTGACTCTCCAAAGTTACCGCCCGTTTCACCCTTAAGGAGGGGTAGGGGGTGGCTAGCGGTAGCACCAAATAATGTCCCCTTTGGTCACATTAACCTTTTATTTAAAACATTGTTCCGTGAAATGCGTATTTCTCGAGATATTGAGCTGTCTCAAGTTAAAAGAAACACCTATTATAGGTGTATAATACTAGATGTAACTACTCCACATAGATCCAACCATTTGATTCAAATGCGCAACATTTTCGGCGTAAAAAGTCTTACTTTATTAGTGTGGTCTTGGCACACATTTTTTTTTATTTCCAGTTTAAATTTCTATATAATAGTATATTTTTCAGACTATACTTTTTCTACGTTTCCAAAAAATACCATAAAAAAATAATTTAATTGGAAGAAAGTGAGGTTGGATCGGTCTAAAGTTTGTTAGATATTAAAAACAGAGATGTCGCCACGAGTGTTTATTTTGTCATCCGATGATAGAATATTTCATTCTGTAACACTTTACGGAATATATGTCATTCCATAGATAAAAGTGATATTAGAACGGTCAAATTCCGTAATAGGAGTAGAAAAAAAAAAATAAACGAATTCGTATTTCATTCCAAATAATTTTTGTATTCATACTTAGGTACTTTTACCACGAGAGAAACGAGACGAGACGAGAGAAAGGCACTCTCGAGCGAGAAAAGAGTATTCTCGACGAGACGAGAGACCCATTTTCTCTCGCTGCACGAGACGAGACGAGAGAAGGACTATTCTCGTCTCGTCTCGTCTCGCGGCATCACTACTCATTTGACATAATGTTATTTTATAGTCGACCAAAAAATATTAATTTTCTAGCGGTAAATTCGGGATTAACTTAAATTCAGGAGACAATACATAATTCTTTCATCAAAAGCAAAAGAAATTGTTTCATGTAGCATGAGTAGCGCTGACCCTAAAACTACAGCAAGGGAAAATAAAAAGAGACGGCAAAAGAACACAAAAAACAGTTAAAAAATAAATATGCAGAAAGGGAGAGTGAAAATACGTCTGAAACAAGTATATTCAAGCTTGGTTTATGTAAAATATTGAAATGTAGCTCTACTTGAAATTAGACCTTCCTATAACATTATTCAGCCCTTGGATATTCTGAAAAGTTATCAAAACACTCAATAGATTTGTAATTTTTGACGTATATGTCCTTATTAATGAAGAAAAATGCAAAATTGAAAAAATCCTGAAAGAACAACCTCAGAGTTGGTTTTCTTAGAATTTCGTGAAAAGTGTTGTAATATGAAAGTTGGTAATGATACTGCCAAAGAGGGAATCAGTCTTATTCAAAAATAAGAGTCATAGAAAAAAGTTATGGAGACAAAATATTTAAAAAATTTAGACAACCCATTCAGTACATATACTAATCTATAGTAAGAAAAAACATGTGTGATGTTTGTTGGTTGACTGAAAAGTGCGTAAATTGCTCTTTAAATTCACACAATTTTGTGATAAAATAAAAACCACATTTAGTTTTGTCCCTGTTGTATCATTATTAAAATTAAAATCCAATAGATTCTTTTCCAAATTTAATAGACGTTTAAAATAATTAATTTTTTTGTAATTTTTTAAAATTATTATTTATTTGTTTAGGTCAAAACTGTGATAACGCCCATTTCTATGAAGACATAGGATGTAGCCCTTCGAATGAAAAAAACGGCGAGTGTCCTGCGGAATATTTTTGCGGCAGTTTTAAACCATCCAAAGATGGTTGTTTATTTAAAAACAAAACTTTAAAATATGGTGAAACAATCGACGACAACTTGATTTATCCCGCCTGTCGAATCAATTGCCGTTGCCAAGAACAAAGTACAAAGTAAGATAAGTATTAAATTATATAAATATTAAGCAATGTCTTGAATATATCACAGGTTTTAAAAAAGGCAGTTTTAAACGGGATTCTGAACAAAATATAAAAAAGTGTTTAAATAGAATTCTTAAAAATTTGTCCTTGTGGTCAAGTAATTGTAAGTAAGAGTCTATGTCAATAAAAATTTTAAAAGTTCTGTTAATAATAATTTAATAATACCTTTTAATATTTTAAAGGTTATTTTTATCTTTTCTCCTTGTTCCTACTGGACTTTTTAACCTTGGAGGATATTCTTTTCTTGACAGTTTTAAAGGCCCAAAATATAGTTTTTTATTAAAAAAAACGTAAAAAATGATAAAAAAATTAGTTACCATTGCCGACAACAAAGTACAACGTAAGATAAGTAAATAAGTACAACGTAAGACAAGTTTACTAAGAAAAAATTGAACCTACACCTCGCCAAAGTTTTTTGTTTTGAATGCGTTCCACCAACTTCAAATACCGACAGACAGCTGTTTCGACCTTTATTGGGTCTCATCAGTGTCGGGCAATTTGGTGTAGTGGAACACAATCAAAACAAATTACTCCCTGAGCCTATATGCTCAGTTGTTAAGTCAACAGAGGCGAGATGTAAGAACATCAGGTGATCCATACCGTCAAACGACGTGGCCTTTGCCGCAATCGGTACATACTATGCAACCGGGACTGCACACAGCAATTGTATCACAGATACTAATATGGCCTAAAGGAATCTAGAATTAACCCAACCGGGCTAAACTTTAAGGTAAACATTCAATTTTCTTAGTTTCTTTAAGAAACTTTCTTGGACCATCACTGGTAATATTCATAAGAAAAAATTGAACCTACACCTCGCTTATGAATATTACCAGTGATGGTCCAAGAAAGTTTCTTAAAGAAACTAAGAAAATTGAATGTTTACCTTAAAGTTTAGCCCGGTTGGGTTAATTCTAGATTCCTTTAGGCCATATTAGTATCTGTGATACAATTGCTGTGTGCAGTCCCGGTTGCATAGTATGTACAGATTGCGGCAAAGGCCACGTCGTTTGACGGTGTGGATCACCTGATGTTCTTACATCTCGCCTCTGTTGACTTAACAACTGAGCATATAGGCTCAGGGAGTAATTTGTTTTGATTGTGTTCCACTACACCAAGTTGCCCGACACTGATGAGACCCAATAAAGGTCGAAACAGCTGTCTGTCGGTATTTGAAGTTGGTGGAACGCATTCAAAACAAAAAACTTTGGCGAGGTGTAGGTTCAATTTTTTCTTATGAATATTACCAGTGATGGTCCAAGAAAGTTTCTTAAAGAAACTAAGAAAATTGAATGTTTACAAGTTTACTAAATTTTATAATGATTATCAAGGTCAATTTATAAACGGTGCTCCAAAAAGAAGAATCATTGTTTAAATAGAATTTTACAATTTTTTCTGTCGTTGAAAATTATCTTTTATTTTTTATTCTTTTTTTTTTAATCTGAAATAATAATCATGTTCCGAGGGTATCTATATGGTTTTTTATCTGCTCCTACTGGCAGGGACATATGAATTTCGAGAGCTACACTGTTCAAAATTTCATGACCATTTTAACACCAAATTAACACCATATTTGGTCTATATCGATATAAACCAAAATGGTGTTAAATAGGGTTCGTTGGTCCGGTGTTAATTTAAATACTAAAATGGCGTAAATTTAACTTTCACACAGTATTAAAATAAATTTTACCTGGTGTAAATTGAACTCCTTTTCAGTGTTAAATATTATGTGTTCCTTGACGCATTACTAGTACATTACCAGTGGTATTATTCCTGAAAATGGAACCTTCAACTCGCTAGAGATAATGTTTTTACTTCGTTCTACTAACTTAAAATACTTCAAGTATTAACAGCTGTTTCCACCTATTTAAGGTCTAGTATCGAACAACTTGTAGTGTCACACCAAAGCAAAGGACAACATGAGCTTATATATTCTTCATGTAAGTCAACAGAGGCGAGATTTAAGAACATTACGTGATCCACAAAAAAATAAATACTTATGGGTCAACTAAATTAATATAGTTAAATAAACTATTTCTTTTTTTCTGTGTAGGTGCACTTCTCAAATATTTTTAGATAAACACCGTTTTGGTGTTCATTTTCAACCATAATTCATTGTGTTATATTAACACCACTTGGTGTTGGATTTTGACACCATTTTAGGATTACTTTTTACACCACAGATATTTTAAACAGTGTAGGCGAATATGATCGGCCGCTCCAGTCACCGATAGCAAAAGTGTAAACAATATAAATTACAACTTAAAATTTAACTCACTTTATCATATTATTACATTATAAATTAATTAAAGTAACGTGAATAAAAAAAATCACGACAATAGTAAATTTAATAGATTTTTTAAATATTATTTGCAAAATTGTAGTTCAATGATTTTGTCAAATCTGCGAGAACACATGTAATTTTTTTAACTTTAATAAAAGTCTATAGACTGAAAATAATTTTTACCAATTGGTAAAGTTTTTACCTCCTAGCCTGTAAAAATCGTTTTGAGCAATTAAAAAATACGACTACTGTCATTTCTAATCCAACTTTCTACTTTCAATTATTTTAATTGAACGTTTTATGTATTGTTTAATTATGCCTTGCAGATATAATGTTGTATGTCAAACGGCTGAGAAGTGTCTTTTTGCGCTTTGGTTAATTGTAGGCCTCTGCTACGTGTCGGCATTCAAACTTTGAGTTCACCACAAAACAAATTTTACTTTTTAGCCCTATAACTCAGCGGTTCCATTTAAAAATGCTCTAAGGTAGAAAGAGCTCTTAAAAGGTAGACCAAGACCTCCCTTGGGAAGCATTTTTGAATAAGAAGATTTTTGTTAATCGATCTAAATTTACCTCTACAATAAATCTTTTTTATTGTACGATTATTTTCTGGGCACCCTGTATACTGTTATAACATTTTTTTTTTAATTTTAGGCCTTTTACATGTGCAATTCTGGATTGTCCCGAATGGCTCGGTTCCCCTTTAAAAGTAGGTTGTCACAGAAGGTATGAAGTTAATAAATGCTGTTCTGTAGGACAAGTTTGTCGTAAGTTTAACCACAAATTACATAAAAAATGTTTTTTCCATGTCGTTGAACTTTGCCTAGTACCATAATTTAGGAAGGTTAAGTTAGTTGTCGTGCTATAAGCATACCATCAGAAAATTTTGAATTTTTGTATACTTATTAAGGACATGACAATACATATATCCTTAAAATTTGAAGTCGATTGACCGTCTATAACCCGAGATAAATTCAATTAAAAATTGGATAATTAACATGGATTGTATAGGCTTTCTGTAGTTCTGTACCAGTTTCTTAGTTATACAGAAAAAACTAACTGTCAGAAGCTTTCAAAAAACTAACATTGTTTTAATGTATTTTTGCTGAGTTTAAAAAAAAATAATTAAAAATTTTTGACCGTCCAATTGTTTATAAATAACCGTTTAAAGTTCAACAATTTGTAAAAAGTATACATCACTAGTGTCAGATAAAAACAACTTGGCAAGGCTGTACGCGAGTATAGATATAATTTCCGCAGTAAATTCAAACGTCTGATTCAGTCTCCAATATATCTATTGGTTGAGCATAAGCGACGTTGCCGGATTAAAACTTATGAAAATATTTGAAAGTATTACGTAAAAATAACGTCTCCAGGGTACAGTCTTGCGAACAAATTATGAATCACTTAGCTACCAGCTCGTATACTTTTACGGTGCGTATAATCTAAAAATTTTTGACAATATTGTACCACGACAACTACCTTAAACGCACATTTTTTTACATATAATTAAGATGATACACAAGTAAAAGAAGTCAACTTGGAATAATGGACCCTAATAATTATAATTATATAATACTATATAAATATATTACCTATTAGCTTACACTGTTCAAAATTTCATGACCATTTTAACAACAAATTAACACCATACGTGGTCTATATCGATACAAACCAAAATGGTGTTAAATAAGGTTCGTTGGTCCGGTGTAAATTCAAATACTAAAATGGTGTAAATTTAACTTTCACACAGTGTTAAAATAAATTTTACCTGGTGTAAATTGAACCAATTTTCAGTGTGTTTTGGCCAAATTAAATCATACTACACAGAAAAAAAGGAAACAGGAAGTTCCTTGACGCAGTACAAGTATATTACCAGTATTACCAGGTATTATTCCAAACAATTGAACCTTCAACTCGCTAGAGATAATGTTTTTAGTGCGTTCCACCAACTTAAAATACTTCAAGTATTGACAGCTGTTTCCACCTATTTAAGGTATCTTTAGTTTCGAACAACTTGTAGTGTCACACCAAAGCAAAGGACTACCTGAGCTTATATACTCTTCATGTAAGTCAACAGAGGCGAGATTTAAGAACATCACGTGATACACACCGTATTTGCCGCGATCGGTACACACTATGTAACCAGGAATGCACGGCAAATTGTTTTAATCGTTTTAACAGAGTGCTTTAGGTTGAAGTAACTCTTATTTTACAAACAACATATTTAGTATACTGAACCATAAAGCGGGTTGGTTTCACTAAAGTTTTCTGGGTTAATTTAACCAATTTAAAAAAATAAAATAACTATCTGGTTTAGTACCGTCAAACTAATCTTTGTTTATATTAATCTTCCCACAGTTGATTTAAATAAATACTTATGGGTCAACTAAATTAATATAGTTAAATGAACTAACTATTCCTTTTTTTCTGTGTAGGTGCACTTCTCAAATATTTTTAGATAAACACCGTTTTGGTGTTTGCTGTATAAAACATTTTCAATCATAATTCATGGTGTTATATTAACACCACTTCGTGTTGGATTTTGACACCATTTTAAGATTACTTTTTACACCACATATATTTTAAACAGTGTATGCACTGATTTATTTTTGGCCAATTTAAGCATTGTGGTATATTAAAAAAACATTTTATCCGAAATCGGCAGTAAAGTAGTCAACAATCGGCAGTAAAGTAAAAGAAATCGGCGGTGAAGTAGAACTTTACTGCCGATTTAATACGAATATTGTATTTACATTTTAAGATGTGTCTACTGCTCCTTAGCAGCAACTAAATAATATTTTAAAAAAAGCACTGTCGAGGAGGCCGATTGGACCCTTTCATAAAATGTTGTTTAATAAAAATAATACTTAAGTTAATTTTATTAATTAGATTAAAAAATCACCGCGGCGCACAGTGGTTATAAATTCCAAAAAGCTGGCCAAAACCCAAAAATCAAAATTTACCTTTCAGGGTAAATCTTAACAAAATCTCGAATAGATGGTGTTAGAGTAGTTAAATCCAAAGGGACAGAGCATAAGATCGCCTTTTAGACTGTAGGTGTTCTTTCAAAGTTCGCCCTTTTAACGAACACCTGTCACTCTGGCGTTTATTCACTTTTATGCGTCGCGGCAAAAAACGGAATTTTAAGGTGTAAAAGTGTTGCGAAGAGATCGGAAAAAATGGGAGATGTTCCTGAAGGTTTGTACATTATTTACAAATGTTTCATCATGAGTTTTTTAATTATTTTAATTTGCGGCAGAACTTTTAAATTTGACATGTTTAAATTTCTGTATTTCCATACGGAGCATGAATAAATGCAACGAAATAGTAGTGATCCGGCGAGATCCGGAACAGTTGCAAACTGTTTCATGTGTTAAAAAGTATAAACAATTAAATGACGCAGACGGAACTTCCACCTTTGTCCACCTTTTAGTGAAAAAAATTATTTATTGCAATAGCGCAGGAGGAAGTAAAGCTTGCGAGCGTCGAAAAACCGAGCTCCCTGAACGTAACAATAGGTAGTTTCTTAATCAAAATAGTATATACTGAGTGTTCATTTTAAACATCATTTGATCTTCATCAATGGTGACGATTTTCAATGCATGTTCGGGTCATTTTTAAGTCTTTTATTAAAATCTTGAACGAATGTATTAACGATTTTTCAAAATGTATTCATGATTTACTTTCAGTTTTAAATTTAAACATGAAGATGGGTTTTTATTTTATTTTAGTTATTATTAACATGTTAATAAAATTTGTTTCATGGATACCGTATGAAAGCCGCTTTTCTTTCATGATTTTTTTTCCAAGGAACCCTTTAAACCCCCAAAAAAACCCTGACCTACTTTTTTGTTCAATAAAAATCATGAAACAGCTCCGCCTTTTTTTGTTTACAAAACTAATATTAAATTCGTAATCAGCAATTACGAGAACCCCCAAATTAGTAGTTTTGATAAAATGAAATCATTCTTCCATTTTGTATCCGCCATTGTTTTTTTTAAACTAACATCAGATTCGTAATCAGCGACCGAAAAAACCCCCGAACTATTATTTTCGTTTGAAAAAAATCATAACTCATGAAACAACTCCGCCATTTTGTATCCGCCATTTTGTTTTTTAAAAACTAACATAAAATTCGTAATCAGCGACCCCAAAAACCCTGGTATAAGGAAATTTCACGCAAAATTACAACATTTTCGAGTTTTGACCAGCTTTTTGGGATTTCGGACCACTGTGCGGCGGGCAAATATATAATAACCGTCGCAACAAACAGTATACGTAGACAGTTTCTACATTCAAATGACATTTGATTTAATCATCAATATTAATTATTAGTATTATTAAATGTAATTTCGGATAAAATTTAATATGCACCTCGGCATTAAAATCATTTTTTATCACTCACGTGGTTATTTGCCTCGGCTTTCGCGTCGGTAAATAATTTTCACATTCGTGATAAACAATACAACTTTACTGCCTTGATACATAAATAACTATTAGGTATTTGCTTTTTACAAATACTGCATTTTTCAGTTATGCTACTTTTTGCCAGATGCGATAAAATGTATTTTATTAACTTTTAACTTTGATGAAAATAAACTTCGTGTTGGAGATTGCATTCAAAGCAAAAAAAATTTTGTTACCGATCGGCATTTTTTTTTCAAGATATATACAGGGTGTCCGGGAAAATGTGCGAAATATCTCGGAATCAGATATAACATGAAAAATAAGATGCCACGTTGCTATAAATTTTTTTCCTACTGGCCCTCCTTACGGAGATATGGGCCCCAAAAGGACTCCCCTGCAAATTGGTTTTTCTTGAATAACTTTTAAAGTACTGAATATAATTTAATAAAAATTTAATATGATGGACCCTGGTAAGGATCTCTTAAAATAGTGGCATTGAAACATGTTTTGTTTTTTTTGTTTACCAGGGGTGGACTAAGTTTTACTTCTTATTGCTTAAATTTTGAACACCCTGTATGACAAAGACTTAAATAACTAAATCTGTATAGCTTGAACCTTAAACTAAAATAAAGATACTCTTGTTTATTGTCAATAAAATGAACCGTTTTCGAGAAAAAGATTAATAAACGAATTCATGTTTTATTTTTAATAAAAAGGACCATAAAAAATAATATAACGTATTGTTGAAGGACGATAATTCGAAACAATTAATTAAAAACTTTATAAGAGGGTTCAGCATGGGCTCCGTGAACTACATTCGCGGCACGACGAATTGAGGACTGCTGTACCCGCCACAATAACCCAGAATTGTTTCTTATCATATCACAATGAAACGTGATTATCTGTAGAAGTTCCTTCATAGTATCGATAGGAGTGGAATACACCAAGTTTTTTAGGTGTCGGGAGATCGAGGAGGCCAGTCAATAGGTCCTCCTCTACCTATCCAACGGTTTGGATAAACGTTATTCAAATGCTCCAGCATAGCAACGCTGAAATGAGGTGGTGCCCTGAATAGTGCTAATGAAGTTTACATTATTTTGTTGCTGATCCAATAGCCAGTGTGCAAACTGCATTCTACGAGGAAAATCTTCAGAAATAAGTTGATGCATTTTTGAATATGATATGGTTTTAACAGCTGTTCTTAAAGAACATCATGCACTTTTGTTTTTGACGTATTACCTTGTGCTGATAATTTTCGAGTGCTCGTTGAAGGAGTGTCATCTACAGCATTTAAAATATTTTTCTCCAACTGCGGCGTACGTACTGTCCTTCCCACGCCAGCATCAATAGATTTTAACAAACGTACCTAAAATTATGAAGAAAGTAAATAATATTACTTTAATAACTGAAATTGTCTACCATTCTCTCTAAGACGTTGGTCAATTCGTTGAAATGTCTTTTGATTTGTAAAGAAAGTATTTTGTTCACGGATGAAGCAGGATTTACCAAAAAAGGTATCACGAATTTACATAACACACATGTATGGGCTGATGAAAATCCTCATTCCACTATTGTTTAGCATTATCAACATCAGTTCCAACCAATTAATATGTAGGCAGGAATCATTAGCAACATTTTGATTGGACCATTCGTATTGCCGGCACAATTGAATGGACAACTTTATTTTGAGTTTCTCCAGAACGCCATTCGGGATTTAATAGAGCCCTTACCATTTGAAATCCGCCTAAACATGTACTTCTTGTTTATCCAAACCGTTGGATAGGTAGAGAAGGACCTATTGACTGGCGTCCTCGATCTCCCAACCTTACGATGATGGATTTTTTCCTGTGGGGACACCTAAAAAACTTGGTGTATTCCACTCCGATCGATACTAGGGGGGAACTTCTACAGATAATCACGTTTTATTGTAATATGATCAGAAACCATGCTGGGTTATTGTGGGTAATGTATCAGAGTTCACGAAGCCCATGTTGAACCCTCTTATAAAGTTTTTAATTCATTGTTTCGAATTATCATCCTTTAATTTAAGGTTTGCAACAATACGTTATAATATTTTTATTGACAATAAACAAGAGTACCTTTATTTTAGTTTAAGGTTCAAGCTATGCAGATTTAGTTTTTTTAAGTCTTTGTCATACTGGGTGTTCAAAATTTAAGCATTAAGGTGTAAAACTTAGTCCGGCCCTGGTAAACAAAAAAAGCAAAAAATGTTTCAAGGACACTATTTTAAGAGATCCTTACCAGGGTCCATCATATTAAATTTTTATTAAATTATATTCAGTACTTTAAAAGTTATTCAAGGAAAACCAACCCTTTCGGGGCCCATGTCTCCGTAAGGAGGGCCAGTAGGAAAAAAATTTATAGCAACGTGTCATCTTATTTTTTCATGTTCTATCTGAATACGAGATATTTCCCACATTTTCCCGGACACCCTGTATAAGCATGATGTTTTCTAAATTAATTGCTTTAAAACACAAGTTGTTGATAGTTGGCTCTTAATCTAGAGAAAATTCACACTGAGGAGCATTTACAAGACAGTATTATAAATGCTTTACTTAAAATTCAAAATTAACAAGATTTTGCTTGAGTTTACATTAAGTGATTTCATGTAGCTAGGACTTTTTGAATATGAGTTGTAAGTTAAAGTAATCGTTTTTCTTTCTGTGTAACTCTTTATTTTAATTATATATGGCCTACTATTAGTTTTTTGTTAAATTCTTATTATATCTTTTAAAAGTTTAAAAGTTTTCCAGATCAAAGTCTGATTTTTTGCTAAGAATCAAACCTGGAATACCAAAATTTTATTTTTTTCCTCCTGGTATAAATATTAAAAGGTTTAAATTGAACTTTGTTAAATGTTATATTTTTGTTTAATTCTTTTTAGTACCCATGAATGAAAATATTAAGTGCGAAGTTGGTGGTAAAACTTACGTTGAAGGTGAGCGTTTTGTACCCGAAGACAGTTGTTTAAAATGCGTGTGTTCCGAAGGCTATGAGGGAAAAAACACTGAAAAATTCTGCTCTAAACAAAAATGCGTTGATCAAATTCAAAACCCCGAAGAAGTCGCAAATAATTGTGCTCCAGTATATTTCGAAAAAGAGCGCTGTTGCCCATACGGTTGGGTTTGTCGTAAGCATATTTTTCTTCTTAAACATTTTGACTTTAAAAACTATTTTTTTAGCTAAGCCAGAGGACAAAATTGAAGTCATTAATGCCAATGCCAAATCAAATAATCTTAAATGAACGATAAAACTTTGAAACTTGGAGAAGGAGTAAAAACAATGTACGATCGCTTTGGTACTCAACAAATGGTGACTTGTGAATGCAAGATACCGCCATTCCTTACCTGTATTGGATAAATATTTTATTTATCGCGAATCATAATTTAAACACAAATAAGAAAAAATATTTACAATTTTACTACCTATGAATATAAACAATGGATTTACTTGTGATTTTATTATACATTTTTACTTGTTATAATAATATTGTAACTAATAGGGTTAGGGGGGGGGCATGTTAATAATTAGAAACGAATATTAAAACAACAAAAAACTACCTTTGGCTAAAATTAATTTAGGACCCATTTTTGTTGTGAATACGGTTCTGGATACATCAGTACGTACTTGAGCAATTGAAAAGATATTTAAAAAACTAAAGAAGAAGTAATACAATAAAAATAAGTTTATTAATAAAGGCAATTAATACAAAAGTAAATATTATTGCTATATACTGTACATTAACAATATAAAAAACATTTATATTTAAAAAGTAACATTGATTTAAGTTAATAAGGTAAAACTTTAAGAACCCACATATACAATCCAGACATGCATATGCATATGCATTGCATATGTGTTGCACATCAAGTAATCAATATGAATATAATCAATTACATTATTATATTGCTAAGATTATTCACTTACATAAATAATAGGCTCGGACTGTATAGAAAAGCAAATACAAATTGATATACTAATTTTAGGCTGGTTCAAAAAAATCGACTATTTTTTTTTCTGAAATTTCGCACTGAAATATTTTCACGGTACCAAAAGAGACACCTATAAAACCGTAAAAAAATTTAATATTTAGAGGTCTCGCATCGAGAATTTCTATTTCCCATTTAAAAATAACATGAGAAATATTTGTTTATTTTTTTATAATTTTCTAGTTCACAAACTAATTAACAGATTTTTATGCGCGATTTATATTTTTGTCATGTCTCATCATTTTTCGATTAACTAACGAGTTCAAAAGTTATTCAAAGTCGAAGTTAAATTTATGTCATAATTGCATTTTTTACTTAAATTTTAGGCAAATTTATTAGAGTTATTAGGTATTAAATATAAAAAAAAAACATTAAAAAAATCAAAATTATTATGACCAATAAGCCTTTTTAATTAATTCCACTGAAACACCTATTTCTATAAAGAAAAGTATTTTCCGCACTCGACTGATGACCTCAGTCGAGTGCGGAAAAGTAGCACTTTCCGCACTAGCTATAGTGGTTTATATTACGTTTTAGTTTAAGATTAATTTTGTTTTTTAAATATAAAATATTGTAAATCTTAGTAAATATTTGGTTTTTATAAAAATTAATTACCTAATCCTGGTTTATCGGGGTCTCGGTTAACTAAATAACCGAATAATCGGTTTTTGATTAACAAGTAGTTCCATCCTGCCCCCTGGTTAAGTTCCGCCTAGATAAGCAGCGTACAAATTGTTAAGGAACTAAAGATTCATCACCAAATGGTTTTAAACCATTTACAGAGCTGTATGTTTGTGAGGCATATAAATTAATAGTGACACTATAATGGACTAAATTTCAATATTTTAGTCTTAAACATTGAGGGAGCATGTGAGGTTGGTTAAGACGCCTGTGAAAATAACTTGATTTAATTTTTCAAATGTCCCTAATAAATGGATTATTTTTTTTTTCGTATTATATCTTTTTACTTTTTTTATTTGCCCTCCATGTATAAACGATGGAAAAACAATTAAGCATTTTGTTTAATTTAAATTAAGACCACTTTCTCATAACAAAACATATTTCATTTGTTTTTAAACTTCCTTATATTATGCTTTCATATTTTCCTTTATTGACCATCTGTCATTGTTAAAATACAGTTTTTTTGAACTTGATAAAAGATTATTTTGTATTATGTTAATGTGTATTTATTTACATTATTATATACTTAATTATGGTCTGTTAAACCTAAAACCTAAAATAGTTTATTATGTATCAAGTTTTATAAACGCCATTTTAGTTACGAGTTTTATTAGGCACGAGCGAAGCTTGCGAGTGAGTGTCTAGAAAAGTTTATAAAACGAGTTGCATACTATACTTTATTTACGACACACACAAAGAAGAATTTAAAGCCAATTTTATTTGTTACAGGTTTTACATCTGTGAAATTTTAACGGATTAAGTTACTTACTTTTCCCTATTTCATACAAAAGCTTCAGCCCGGGACTTAAATGCCCAAAAGCATATATTGCTAACTTCAGCCTGTGACTAAAATGCCATAAAGTCACAGCTCGTCATTGCAGGAGTAGATAATAGTATATTGGGTATTAAGTTTGATAAACTCCATTTTAGTCAAGAATTTAATTTAGGCATGAGCGAGCTTGCGAGAGAGTGCTTAAATTAATGAGTGTATAGAAAAGTTTATAAACGAGGTGCATACTATATATACTTTTTCTACGACAAATACTTATTATTATCTTAAAATGATTTAAATTAAATATTTATATAGTCAAATGTTAAATTTTTATATTTTATAAACACAGATTATAAAGGTTATAAATCGAAATGTATTCCTTGAAAATGGACAGTTTTTCACAGTGAAAGTAAAGAAAATGTTTTATGAGTCAGTGCCCGAATTTAAGTTATAGTTTACTACCGGCGAAATTAAAAGGTCAGTACAATGTTTATATAAATTTTTCAAATATTGGCGTTGAGAAACTATTTAATACTTTGGTATTTTTGTATTGAGATAATAAAATAATTTTCACATTTAGTATTATTTTACAAGAAAGGCACTTTATTTTAGTGATTGTATGACATTTGACAACTGTCAACTAACTTAAAACTAACTTCAGCCCGTGACTAAAGCGCCATAAAGCCACAACTTGTCAATGTGTATTTAAAAGGTCACTTAGTGTCATGGAAACATGTACCATAAAGGGCGTTTTAAAGGTGGAAATAGAAAATAGTATATTATGTATCAAGTCTGTGGGTAAAAGGCATAAGGGGATAAGTCAAAACAATCAATTTTTTAGTAGTGCCTTAAACGTGTTCGCATTAATTTAGGAAATACATTTATGGTTAGCGGGTGTATCCTTTTGCCAGCACATGTCATATGCTAGCAAAAGGGTATACTCGCTAACCATAAATATATTTCCTGAATTAATGCGAACACGTTTAAGTCTCTACCGAAAAATTGCTTTTTTTGACTTATCCCCTTATGCCTTTTACCCACAGAAGTTTAATAAACGACATTTTATACACGAATTTAATTTAGTTAATGAGTGTATAGAAAAGTTTATAAACGAGGTGCATACTATACTTTTTCTACGACAAATACTTATTATTATCTTAAAATGATTTAAATAAAAAATTTGTATAGATCCCCATCTATGGAACAATAGGGGAATCTGTGTGTCACATTTTTCTATTTTATAAACACAGATTATAAAGGTTATAAATCGAAATGTATATTGAAAATTGACAGTTTTTTACAGTGAAAGTAAAGGAAATGTTTTATGAGGACTTTACAGTAGAGTCCGTGCCCGAATTTAAGTTATAGTTTATTGCCGACGAAATTAAAAGGTCAGTACAATGTTCATATATATAAACTTTTCAAATATTGGCGTTGAGAAACTATTTAATATTTTTGTATTTTTTTGTATTGAGATAATAAAATAATTTTCACATTTAGTATTATTTTACAATAAAGGCACTTTATTTTAACGATTGTATGACATTTGACAACTGTCAAGTAACTTAAAACTAACTTCAGCCCGTGACTAAAAACCTGTTGCTATCTTCAGCCCGTGACTAAAGCGCCGTAAAGTCACAACTTGTCAATGTGTATTTAAAAGGTCACTTAGTCTCATGGAAACATGTACGATAAAGGGCGTTTTAAAGGTGGGAGTAGAAAAATATATTTAAGCATATTTTGTTTAGACTCTTTTCGTCAGGAATTTTATTTCCAACAATATTTAAGCTTAAAACAGGTTCTCAGGGCGTGAAATAATTTGATTTTCGGTCAAAATAAGCTCCTTTCTCGGATTACGTATTCAAAATGTATCCTTGTATCTTGAAAAGTTTAACAGAGTAGCAAATTATGGAAATTATAATCTTAAGAGAAAAACTAATACTTTCTTAAGGAAAATTTGGAAGGTGCACAACCATTTTTTTTATATATATACTCTAGGTTGTCCGTTATTTTGGTCCATAACTATTGAAAAATAACATTGAAAATGCATTGTATTTTACAATAATTTTTAATTATTTTTTTCTTAGTTAAAAGCGGTTAAAAATATCCTGTGAGAATTAAATGTAGAAAAATCCTAAAAAGTTTTGATGATTATATAAAATAGTACATTATCTAACAGACAAAGAAAGCGCTTGTAGTATAGCCCAGACTGGTCGAAAAGAGCTGTTTTTGTCCAAAAACCTCTTAATGGTTTAAACTGACAACAATTTTTAAAGCTATATGCATATGGGGGTGCTAAATCTAATGGAAAAGTTGACAATTTGATATTATTAATATTTTCTTAAATATATAATATTTTATTCAATTTTAAACAATTTTTAATACATAACAAGGAGTTTATTATAAATAACTAATATTTTTAAAGATTTTCGAGTGATTTCTAGTACATAACATGTGCAAAAATTATTTAGAGAAATAACAACTCGAGTGAATTAAACTTATGGTATTTTAAATCAACTTGGCTGGTGGATTTTGGGCACACCCATATCTCAGTTATTAGACCCACATAAAATTTATATGAGTTTATAATAACACTATACAAGTTCTGCGCAAGCAGAATTTAAATTGAAGTTTGCGAAAAAAGTTAGTTTTTAAGTGTGCCCCCCCAGCCTCCTGCCCACAATATTAAGATAATTCAAATTAAAGTGGTACAATATTTAATTCACTGAAGTTTATCGACAAATTTAAAATTTTATTAAAAAAATTCAAGTATAACAGATAACGTATGTCATTTTAGAGTTTTATCAATCCTGCATACAAATATTTTTATATTATAAGAAAAAAAATCCTTCCAAGTTTGATTCTAATCCCCACATTACATTTTACTATAATTATTTAAAAAAAATATTTTAATTTAAATTCCAAGTAATTTTTTTTATCTTTTACCATATTATAAATAAAAAATTATTAGGTATATTGTACACTCATTACCATGGGAGGAAAATAGTGCTTTTCCTCCCGCGAATAGTTTGATGCCCGACGCGAAGCGAAGGGCATTAAATATTCAAGGGAGGAAACGCATTTTCCTCCTGAGGTATGTATATGTTTTTTCTACTACTTTTAAACGGTTTTAAGACATTTTAAGCGTTCCGGTTCCTTTTACTAACCCGGTATGGGGCTATAAAATAATGACAAAATATTAAGTAGGTGTTGCGGCGCCGACGTTATGTTAACAACGCTCTGTTGCTATGGTATTTTTGGTAATACAAACGTAACAGTTGTTATAAGCTGTCAGAATGTTTATCATAAATTTGAAATTCTTCCTACGTTTTGAAAATGAGTTCTAGCAAAGAAGACCTGCCGCAAGATCTTGCTGAAGAGGCAAAAATAGTTGCAATTAATTTCCTTCCTTAAAAATCGAAAGAGCGATATGAAAATGAATATAGTTTGTTCAAAAAATGATTGGACAAGCGCGGAGTAAATCTTTTTCCTACAAAATCAAATAGGGCTAGACAAGGTACAAAAACTCTTGCTAATGCAAAATTGTTAAAAAAAAGAGGGGGAGGAAAAGAGGCATTTTCCTCCCTCGCTCGGGGGTGGAAAATTAAGTTTTCCAGTAAGGTAGTAGAAAAAATATTAATTTAATATGACATATTGTAATGTAATATAAAATTCTTTAAACATTTTCCAAACTGAAAATCAGATAATGATCAAAACGCAATATTACAAGAAATTTATAAATATTTAAAGTTATAAAATATAAATAACATAAAAACATACAATTATTTTTTTTTAAATAATTACTGAAGTAAGAGTAATTTATGCAATTTTTGGAAATTATTATGAAATGGAATAAATATTTAGCTAATATTGTACATTATTAAAAAATATGTATACATATATATGTAAAGATATAAATAGAAAGTAGATCGATATATTTGAATAAATTAATTATTACGCATAGTAAGTACCTAATAAATTTAATTAAATAAATACTAATTATTTCTGGGCATACCCATATGCTATTGCATATAAAGTTTTATTTTGTTTCTATGGGATAACATTAGGCGGGTTAAAAGAAAGTATAACAAAAAAAAATCTTTTTTAAAATTTAATTGTTAAGTAAACATTCTGGAAAATGTTTTTATTGTAATACATGATCTAGATGTAAACCATTACGTTTTAAAAGTGGACTAAAAACTTGAGGTTTAGTTTGAAGTTTGTTTACAATGGTTCACATGATGTGGATTATTTGTATTATTAAATTCCCGAATATTAACTTTAATATTATAAACAAGATAGGATTTATAGCCTTTTTGTTATAATTTGTTTAATACCGCTTAACATTTTACGGAATATTTAATAAATAAATCATTAAAGATAGAACAATAAAACTTTTTATTTATATTTTAATTAAAATATTATTAAATATATTATAAGCTGTCAGAATAAATAATAAATTATTAAAAGATAAACTTTTTTAAAGTTATTATTTATTAGTAATAATTATTTTGTTTTCATACAATGCTGTCGTGCATTACACTTAAAATATATAAATATATATTTTTGAAAGATATTCAAGGCCTGACTAAAATTTTGCAACCAACAGCAAAATCTGCCATTTTAATAAAAAATAAATAAAACATAAAACACAATATCTTTTTGAGTAACCAATATTTGTAATTAAACATTTATAATAATGGCTAAAATTACCCATGTAGGTACTTTAATACTTTTCTTCAAATCATCAAAACCAGCAATTTTTATGCAAGCAATAAATATAGAAATTAAAATTATTTCTAATGCTTCGATGTTAGATACTATCAACCTTTTTCATTTTGGTAAACGTTTAAAATACAGTTAGGTATTAAGGGGTTTTTAAATAAAAATACCAGTTTTTGTTTTTCTATCTATTATCATGGAATTCTGCTGGTATTACAGAATCAGCGAAATCCAAAAAATTGCGCACTCTTGTAAAAACTGTGGTTTTCTTATCACCGCTTACTGTTCTTCCAAACGAAACCAATCCAACTAATTTACCGTTAACCGTAAGAGGACCTCCTGAATCACCCTAAAAATAAATTTATAAAATAAGATTTTTTGATACATAAGAAATAAAAATTGCCTGGTTAAAAATAATAAAAATATCTACTCAAAAAATAATCTGATCATGCAGTGGGGTTTTAAACAGGATGGAAAAAAGATTTTTATGAAATTTCTTCCTGCCCAATGTTTTTTCTGAAAAACATGCCCCAAGTGATTTTTTAGAGATTAAAATTACCATCAACTTTCATTTAAAACTTTATTATTTATTGAAGTAATGAAATTACAGCAAAAATCTGGTATTTTTTTTAAGTTCTCATAGTTTGTGTTTAATAAAAAAATTACTGGTAAGGTACTAAAATTAGATCACGGGAGGAAATCCATCAGACCGGTTCAAAATGCGCATAGCAAAACCATAAATAGGTATAATAAATACCAATTGAATAACAGTAATTAAATTGTTAAATGAAAGAAAAAGTTCAAAGCAAGAAAGTGTAAACAAGTGGCTAATGTTATGTATCATGGCAAAGGTGCCACCAACTTACTAATATTTACTAAAAGTAGTTATTTTAGTGAAAACAACAGCAAATTGACATTGATCTTTGAAAAATTAACAATGAAGGTTTTTACGAATGGAAAATTTAAAAGTTAAAAAGAATTTAGGAAAAAGTTTAAATCCAAAATAAAATTAATAATCAATAGTTTTATTAACATATTTTAGGTAAGGCTCTAAGGACTCTATTTGTAATTATTAAGGATTAAGGACTAATAATAATATTAGCATTATATTATTAAGCATTTAAAAATTTTGTTTTATTATTAAGACTATAATTTACAAGGTGTGTTCAGAAAATATCGGGAATTGTTAAATTTCGCGGGTTCGGAGGGTCCGGTTGTCATAAAATTTTCTTTATTATGTTGGTATACATGCCCCCGAAGTATGATAAAAACTTTAGCTGTTTTCATTGTTTACTTTGTCTGTGGCAGCCGCTAAGGTTAGACGTGTTTTATGAGCTCGGCGATTTTCGTTCCTTAAAAGAAATTGATCAAAGAATTTGTATCCAATTTTGCTTAAAAAATGAAATAAATTCTGTGAAATGTTACCAAAGGCCTATAGTGAGTCTGCTATAAGTAAAACAAGAGTTTACAAGTGGTATAAGAGTTTCCAAGATGGCCGTCAAGACGTTGAAGATGACGAACGCCCCGAACGCACAAGCACATTAACAACCGATAAAAACATGGAAAAAGTGGAAGAAATGGTTATAAACCATCAGAGAAGTCGCTGATGATGTTGGTATATCGATTGGCTCATCCCATGAAATTTTTTCAAATGTTTTGGGTATGAAACGCGTGCAGGAAAATTTATTCCAAAATTGTTAAATTTTGAACAAAATTTTCGGCCAAAAACAATACTGTAATGATGCCCCAGCCTCCATATTCGCCAGACATGCCTCTGTCTGACTTTTTCCTATTCCCAAAAATAAAGAGAACCTTAAAGCGCCGTCGTTTTGCAAGCATAGATGGCATTAAAAGCGCATCGCTGAAAGAACTAAAGGCTATCTCAAAGATCGAGTTTTAGGAGTGTTTCGAGTATTGGAAGAAGAGCTGGCAAATGTGCATAATATCCAATGGGGACTATCTTGAAGGCGACAATATTAATGTACACAAATAAATATATTGAATATTTGTTTCAAAAAACTAAAATTCCCGATATTTTCTGAACACACCTCGTAGTTATTGATGCAAATAAACTTAAAAAACCGATTATGGGTTAACACAGATACATTATTAATTTATAAGTGTGGTATGTATAGGAAAGTGTTATTATCCAAAAAACAGTTAAATAATTATTATAATTGATTATTCAATAATTCAATAATTTAATATTAATTGTTTAGAAAACAATAATTTATTCTAAATAATAAAGACTTTTCATTTAGGTATTACTACTAAACAAAACATTTTGTTTTTGTTTTTGCTTAACAACTTACATAATACGTTGTTTTCCTGTCTGGTTTCACGCACACGTGGTTCTTGGTAATTTTTGGATGAAATGCTTTCGGGAAGTAGTTTTGGCATTTTGAGTGTCTCTCTATCGATAAGTCTACTGATCTCAAGTTCTTCGAAGGGAATCCGTATTCAGTAAGGCCATATCCTAAAACAATATTTTAGGAATAAAAGTACATATTAGTTTACATCTTTTACAGGTTTGGTTAGTTCGTGAAAATAGTGATTACAATTATACCAATATGATTTTAATATTTTTATTTTCAATAACATTTAAATTAATAAATGGGCATCTAGAGAAATACATTTTGTATCAATTTTACTTTTTAAATTGATACTAGATTAACAATTGACAATTATGTCTTAACATAAGATGCATTTTTTGGATAAAATCAAGAATACATGTAATTATTAGTAGTAGTAATTATTAGTTAGTAGTAATTAGTAGTAATGCTATTTTGCAAAATAGCATTACTACTAATATTGTAATGGTTTACTACATAAATGTAGTTTATATTTTTAAAATGTTATAAAAATTTTTATTTGATTTCTAAACTATATTATTATAAAAATCTTTAATATGCAAAGAACCGAATTTTTGTCAATATCCAAACTGGCCATGTTTTTAATAGCAGGTAAAACTTATACCTATTTTCCAAAAATGCCTAAAATACAAAAATAAATGTAATTTCTGATCTTTTTCCTGTATATAGCTGTATATAGGTACTTAAAAGGACTTTTTATGTTAGTTTATTGACAATAGCTGTGGCAAAAAACACCTAAGAAGGAAGAAATAAAATATTATAATAATATCATCAAAATGTATTTTTGAATTTTTTTAGTACCTTTCTTGTCATAACTTACTATAGTTCCCAAGCAAATAATTTAATTTTTCGCTCTGCGTTATCGTATCGGTTCTTTGACCGGCCTGCTGCCATCTAGTGTATAATCGTTGAAGCTTCTAGGTTTGCGCCAAGGTCGAAAACCATTACAGGCTTCGCATTGGCGTGTTGGGATCACTTGATTAAATTATATTTAATATTATTGGTTTCATATGATCGGAAGTAAATGCAACATTTTGTTTACTTTGTTTCGGGTCTCAGTGAATCTTTATATTTTAAACATTATAATTAATTGTGTACGTTTTTGCGGTGCTTTCGAACTCGCATTAAAAGGACATGATAAATTACCTGATTTTAACCAAAAGGAAAACTTTTTATTTTGCTGCTGCAAAAGATCGGCGAATGGATTTCTTCTTTAAATAAGCATGTTGGTAAGCTTAATTTTTTATAAATTTAAAACCCCAGTATAATGCCATATTTCAAATTGTATATTTTTGTGACGCAATTTTTATTTTTCTTGGCTTTGCACATCTCTCGTAATATCTACACCTACATAAGTATGCAACCCCAGATTTTTTTCGTCACGAGCCGCCACTGGACAATCGATATATTAAATTTCTTATTATTAACCTTTGGTGTGTATATATATATATTTGTACAAATACTGCGTACCATGACTCCAAAATAAAAAAGGAAAAATTAGTGCGATTTTTTAACATATATTTTATGAAATATACATTTTATTCAACAAGAATATGCATAATAATTAATAATATTAGAGAAGATCTTTGCAGACATGTTTTTATATTTCAGATAGTTTTAATTGTATTAATTAAAGATATTTTTTACTTATTATGTTTGTCATAAGATACAAAATAAATAACGGCCATCTGAAATTTGCATCTATTTTAGAAAATGTTGGGTTTGGAACAGGAACGGATTTTTTATGCAACGTACCTTTCCCAAAAAATACTGATTTGTATTATATATCTTGTATTATAATTATATATCTTAAATCAATCTAACTATGCTAAATTCGATCGCATACGAGGTGTGTTCAGAAAATATCGAGAATTTTCGTTTTTTTTTTAATATTTATTTAAATTTATTTATATAAAACTCGATCTTTGGGATAGACTTTAGTTCTTTCAGCGATGCGCTTTTAATGTCATCTATGCTTGCAAAACGACGGCCCTTTAAGGTTCTCTTTATTTTTGGGAATAGGAAAAAGTCAGACAGAGGCATGTCTGGCGAATATGGAGGCTGGGGCATCATTACAGTATTGTTTTTGAATAAAAATTTTGTTTAAAATTTAACAATTTTGGAACAAATTTTTCTGCCACGCGTTTCGGACCCAAAACATTCGAAAAAATTTCATGAGATGACCCAATCGATATAGCAACATCATCAGCGACTTCTTTGATCGGTTGTTAATGTGCTTGGGCGTTCGGGGCGTTCGTCATCTTCAACGTCTTCACGGCCATCCTGGAAATTCGTATACCACTTGTAAACTCTAGTTTTACTTATAGCAGAGTCACTATAGGCCTTTGTTAACATTTCACAAAATTTACTTCATTTTGTAAGCAAAATTGGATACAAATTTCTTTGATCCATTTCTTTCAACGAACGAAAATCGCCGAGCTCATTAAACAATTCTAACCTTAGCTGCTGCCACAGACAAAGTAAACGATGAAAACAGCTAAAGTTTTTATGATACTTCGGGGGCATGTATACCAACATAATAAAGAAAATTTTATGACAACCGGACCCTCCGAACCCGCGAAATTTAACAATTCCCGTTATTTTCTGAACACACCTCGTATATCTCATAATGTGTGAATTAAATAATGCATTGTGGGATCAAACTGACCCCATTTCATATTTTTTTGTAAAATTTGTAAATTGGCCAAATTATTACTTTTACAGTTGGAAGAATATACGAGAGCATATTAAATAAAATTATTGTAAAATTACGTCGCAAAAACATGGATGAGGATCATATTGACCCCAATAATGCACTCCAAATGTTAATTATTTTTTGAGTTGCGATGTATCTTTTAAAATCAGTAGCCAAATTTTTAAAACAACACTACCGATACGGATTTTAAGAAAGAATATAAAAAACTGTTGGGCTATATATTTATGCAAAAAAGTCAAAAAAATCTTCTTAAAACTAATACATATCAATGGTTTTTAAACAATTCAACGTATCCTACATTTTTTAAATCAAATATTTTAAGTTGTGTCTTTAAGTTAAAAACAATAGTTGTGACAGGTCGATATAAAATACCATGTTTCTACAAGAAAAGATGGCTGAGGGAGCATAACATTTGTATATTTTGGGTTTTTGAAGATACGTGGAATTGAATTTACACCATCGGAATGATTTATTTTTCAAAGTAAAGTTTTAATACCCAAATTTGCATTTTTCGATATTTTGGTCAATTTGCGGTTTGCAACAAAAAATTTCTCTTTATGATTGGTTTTACTTATTTTCTACATTACGATAAAATTTCTTATATAATTTTTGTGGGTTTCTAAAATTAAAACATTTAATTACTTCTTTCTTGATAACTACTATAGTACCTTTACTTTATGTTACTAAAGATGTAAAATTGTTTGCTCGAATACCAGATCCCCGGCAAGATTTGAATCTGATCACCAGGATATTGACAAATTTATTTTTATTTATTGTCGTGTTGTTTGATTTTTTTGGGTTGGTAAAAATCAATTGAAAAATGTCAACGGTATTTTGATTTTATTTAGTTTAAAATAAACAGTATATATTGTGGTTTTATTTGCAGTTAATTTCATAATTTTTTTTAATATCCGGTCAAATATTGACTTACTATTTTGTATCTGGATAGTTACTGGATATCTGGATATACGTTTCATCTCTACATATTCCTTAAACCAACATTTTAATACAATTAAGCTTAAAAATATTTAACTCTACAACAAATTATAAACATACCTTTAAAGATATCTTTAAAAGTAATAAAAATCCTTAGTACGAGGGTCGTTCAAAAAGTTTTCGACCTAAAGCATAGAGTCGCTGGTGTATACAGGAAAATACTAGTTATTGGAAAGTGTGAGTCAACTAACTGTTTTTGATAGTGAAATTATAAATAATTTGCATTTTTATCCATGTTAACAAAAATGTTTTACTTAACCATACTGATGCAATAAATCTACCAAACGCAAAAGTCTGAATCTTTGCACAGGGGCTGTCCATAAAACTCGTGACTCGACATTATAATCTAACTTAACAATTAACAAATAAGCTATTTGTTCAATTAACTTTATCACGTGACGTTTAAAAAAAACCTCCCCCTCGGGCGTAAAAAACCCTTAAAACCCTTCCTTCTCCCTTTCAGGCTTACCAGATTTATCAATGGCCCACCCAATAGTTTTTACTTTTATAATATAATAACATTGTTACACAAGCGACATATATGCTTCAGGCCGAGAACTTTTCGAAGGACCTTCGTACCCACCTGAAGCAGTAGCCCTGGTACCCTCCATATGATCATGCAACGAAATAGGAATATTCTGCACCCTCTCTGTATACTCCACGGGTTTCTTTAGCAAGACCACGGAAAAATCATGATCGAAATTATTATAACCAAAAGCAGGATGTTTGATAACTTTCTGTATTTTATGCTCAGTACCCCTAGAACAAAACAGAAAAAGTTATTTACCTAAGTATTGCGGAAAAGACACTTTTCGCGGGTATTTACAATATTTTTTCCAGAACTAAGTGAATTTCGAATCTCATTGCAAAAAAAATAAGTATTTACAAGCGTGCGGAAAGTTGCTACTTTCCGCACGCATTTACTTGCTGCAGTTTCAAGCGGAAAGAAGCGTGCAAAATGTGCAACTTTACTTACGGTTATGTTATGTTTGTAAAAAAATACTTTATTTTACAAATTAATAGTATAATATTATACAAAAGATAATGCAGGATGAGGTATGCGTTAGGGTTGGGACAGTTGAAATTTTCAAATGAAAATTTCAACTTTGAAAGTTTCAAACTTTAAATATTTCATTTAGTTGGAAAAGTGAAATTTTTAAAAATTTCAAATGAAATTTTCAATCCGAAAATTTCAACATTGCCTGTGAATGTTTCAGAAATTTCATTGAAAGTTTCGCAATTTACTGAAAATTTCGCATAAATTTCACAGCGGCCTCCCCTGGGACCTTTAATAATAATTTACAACAGATTCCGAATCGACCAATAAGAACGAGTTATCAAGCGTCTGGGCGATTTTGTTTAGTTCGGCTTGGATTTGAATACACTATAAGTAATTATTGTTACTTATATGCATAAATTAATTTAAATAATTTAATTCAGTTACCAATTTAATTTCTAAATTAAATCAGAATTACAATTTTTTTTTTAAAGTCATGATTAATTTAAACTTTTACTTTTGCTATAATTGCATCGGAAAACGGATAAAAAATGCCTTTGGCTCATAAAATTTTGATGAAGTTTCTTCAGTTTTCGTAAAATTTTAATAAAATATTTAAAAATAATAAATATATATAAATATAAAACAATGAAAGTGGCACAATCTCATTAGCTTACCAAAAAGTGCTATATCTCTTTTAGTTTTAGTAAAAATATTTTAAAAGGAAATCTCAAGAGATTTGTGGTAAACATAGGTATTTACTATTTATATTATTAGTGCAGGGGCCCACAGAGGGGTAGGAGGTAAGAGAGGCAATTTGCCATGGTCCCCGAGTGGGCTTATTTCAATATTAATATATTACACTTAAAGTGATTGAAATTTATAGAAAGTGTCAATAAATTTCAATAAATTTCATAAATTTCATGAAATTTCAGAAATTTTAGTAAATTTTAATAAATTTCATAAATATCATGAAAATTTCAAGTGAAATTTCAAGTACAAGCAAAAAGTGAAATTTTCCCAACCCTAGTATGCGTCTCAAGGCGTCAGAGAGAGGTAAATCAACCGAGTAAATATTGCGCCTTATCTAGAGTGAAAAACTATCCTTTTTATACTCCAAGTAAGTAATTTTTATAGTAACAAAATTTATTATAAGTTCCCTTTCTCCGATTTTAAAGATTATTATAGTCGCCCCTCGTATATTTAAAAAAATCTGACACCTGTTCCAACCTTAATTTTTCCTAATTTAATACCCGATTGTTTTATATTACAGGAAAAACCCAAATAATGTCAATAAAATGCCCTAGAAACAACAATATTTACAATATTAATTTTTAATAGAAAATAAAAATTAAAAATAGGAGGTAGCGTTAAACATATACAATATTTTTTGAAAAATGTTTTAAATTGATTAATAAAAGGAAATAAATATAAAAAAATAGTGTTTGTTTAAAGGTTGTAGAAAATGATGTTTGTTGATTAAAAGAAAGGTTTTGGACTTCCATTGCCTTAATAGTATTTTTAATTTCGATTTTCTACTAGTAAGTATCTCCAGTCATCTTCAGGTAAATACAGTCCAAAACCTTTCCTTCATTTATAAAAATTAGGTCACCTGGGATCATTTAACGAATTTGCTCCAATTAAAACCGATAAATTCTCTCGGGGTCTAGCATGCGGGATCACATGGGTACAATGGGCCGCCGTGAAGACGACGCGTGGTTTCACCAAGGCACCTCCGCAGATTATTTTGCTCCTGCTTTGTTTCCTTGCAATCAGCGCCACCTGGTGGGGATGGTCTTCTATGTCGGTGACGTCTCCGTGGATTATCCTGCTCATTGCTACATTGCTGCGGGTACTGTACTCCTCTCTCCCAGCTGAAAAATATAAATTTGTGAATTAAAAATGAAATTATACTAATATTTATATTAACAAAGTGGAAACAGTTGGTTCTTAGTGGTTTAGGAAATTTGCTCCAAGAGGAATAAACAAATGTATTTATATTAACAAAGTGGATGGTTGTTTGATAAATTTAATATTTGATTTTTTTTAAGATCATTAAGAAATCTATAAAATGTGTATATTATTTAATCTAATTACATATGCCGATTTTTTAAACTTAAATGCCTGTTGAAAAAATATATTGCTTTTGTATTTTTTTTGGCACTGTTGATTTAAGTATGGAATCGGTTTTTGGATGAAGTAAAATAAATAATAATAATTCCATATTTATATAAGTTTACTATAGTGTGGCCAAAAAAAAAGAATAATTTTTTTTCTCCTCTCTTGTGAAAATATGTTGGTTTGTTATGTTTTAAGAGCCCTTAAAAATAAATTTAAATAAATTTTTTAGGGGTCGCTCAAGATTTTTAAAAATTTCCAAAATCGTCAAAAATTGAATTTTTTTTTATTTTAATTTTTTTTTCTCGTTCCGATATTATTTTTTAATTTAAAAATAATAATGATTCTAAAAATTTGCTCCAAGAGGAATAAACAAATGTATTTATATCTATATAACCAAAAATTTCAAATCGATATTTTGATTTCTAAAGGTCGCCCAAGATTTTTTTAACTTTCAAAGTAGAGAACTTTTAGCGACCTTTAGAAATCAAAATATTGATTTGAAATTTACAGAATTTTTATTATTTTCAACCAAAAAAATAATATCGAGACGAGAAAAAAAATTAAAATAAAACAAAAATTCAATTTTGAAAATATTAAAAAATCTTGAGCGACCCCTAAAAATTTTTTAATTGAGCTGATATTTTGACAGGGCTCTTACAGCATGATAAACTAACATATTTTTACTAGAGACAAGAAAAAAAATATTCTTTTTTTTTGGGCCACCCTAAAGTTTACATTATATTTTTTTATAACTATTATTACATATTCATATGTATAACTAAAGTCATTAGTATTTGAAGGATTTCCGTGGGAGTTCATATTTAATATTAATTACCATATGGTTGGTCTTTATTTCTCCCAAAAAAAGAAATATAAATTGTTATCTAGGTTTCGGCTACCATTTTTGCCATCATCAGGCATTAAACATATTAGAATTTAATAAAACTAAAACTAAACCTAAAGGGCGATATTACAAATTTAAAAAACATTATCTTACACAATTTTACATTTTATTACTATTGACAAAAAAACAGATTTTTTTCCGTAATTTTTATATATATTTTTTTGGATTACAAAAATAAAAATCCAACTTTTTGTCTCTTAAATTTTGTTCGTATTTAGGTTAGTTTTCAAGAAAAAAAAATAAAATCTACTTAATTGCATATCTTGGATATTTTATTTTTTTTCTCGAACTTAATACTGTACTTAACAAATGTAATCAAGTTAGAGCTAAATTAGCCCCTTAACACTAAAAATAACACTAAAATTAAAAGAAAATGGGTAAAGGATATTTAAGATATTTATTAAAAACAAATTTAAAAAAACAAAGCATTTGCGAACCCATGTCTTAAAAAAACTTAAAGAATCGTCTGTTAAATTTATTGTACATACTTAAGTAACACCCTGTATAGAAAGACTTCATATTAATACTAGTCAAAAGTCAAATAATAATTATAATAATTATTATTAAAATCCGTACAGAAATAAAGCTAAAATGTCATCATGTCAGTTAAACCTAACCTAAAAATGATATGACAGAATCTTAAGAATTAATTTAATTAAATGCTTGAAAAATAGTACATAAAACTCGACGGCAAAAGCTTATTAGTTGCACAAAATCTACTGTTTCTGCTGTCGCCTCGGCAGTGAAATTTATGCTCGGCGATAATTTGCGCTTTCTCTGCCTGGTCTATAATGTACTATTTTTGTTACATATTTACAATGCGAAAATAGCCGAAAACGATAAAACGATATATTTAAGATTAGAAAAAAATCTGAGGGTGATTGCGGAATTTCAACCCTACTTTTTTTGTAGGGTTGTGTTATTTTCTTTGAAAATTTCCGTTGCGCTTGTTATGAAAAATGGTGTACTTTTCTCGTGACGAAAGCCGGCGATTTATAAAGAGTGTGTTTCTACACTTGCTTCGCTCCTGCAGCACACTTCACACTCTTTCGAAATCGCCGCCTTTTGCCACTTAATATGTAATGTAATATTTTAGCAATATTGATTGTATGAAAATATGTTACTCGCGTTTTTTATTCAGACATGCAAATACGCGTGGAAATCGACAATAGCACAACATCCAAGACGACGGACACATCATAATTAGTTTATGAAGAAAAACATGATTTCTTTATCTCCATCGCGATGGATAACTAACTGGGTCAAAAGTTTTACCTTGTAAATTAATTTTATGAAAAAAAATATAAAATAATTTGGCCATTTAAGCATACTCTATAATTTATAAATCCAATTAATACAACAATTAATATAACTGGAATTGTTATTACTAAAATCATAAAAACCATAATTTTAAATTTTGATTTACAGATTCATAAAATGAAATAATAACCTATAATTAGCACAAAACACTTAAATTTTCATCGTAAAGTAGCAATATTAAAAAATATGATTTTATATGTATGTTTTAATTGAAACCATAACATTATAAGCGTTTTGACCATTTAATTTTCTTATTTTATGTCACATAATCGCCTTTTGATGATAATTGCCACTTCCTACCTATACGGAAATAATATCTTCGTCGAATAAATACGTATTAGGTCATAGACATTTAAAGACAACAGTGTAACAGATTCTTTAAGATGGTCAATTTTATTGTATAGCAAATTGGATAATGTTTTTTCACAGATCTAAAGATGGACTTCCTTAATTTATTTATCAATATGCTCTTAGTCTAGTTTTATGTATATTTTTTATATTTATTGTAAGTATTGCGTTATTTAAATTTTACTTCCTTGCTTCATATGTAACTATTAATTTTAAAATTATTTTTGTTGTATCGCATATTAAAAATATTAACACATGTGTGGATTATCGTTTAATAGCATGTACTTCCTTATTATACATATTTATTTTTTTATACATACCGCCACAACACGCAATTATTTTAAGTATTTAATTAAGCATGAAATATTATTTTTCTGAAAAGTAGTAAAAAATAAATATTAGGTTTAAAAAATTTAATAGCGAAAATGACCTTATAATGTTTTATAACCTGTGAAGATCTCTAAAATCTAGTATTAGATGCGTATAAGAGCTATATAAACAATGTCGAAACAAATATTTCAAATGACCCTTAGAATTGTAAAAGAGGATCATATAATCTGCCTAAAATTTTTGTTTGACTTTTTGTAGAGTTAATAAAAGACTTATTAACTCTACAAAAAGTCAAACAAAAATTTTAGGCAGATTATATGATCCTCTTTTATTGATGAAGTAATCAAGATTTTGAAACTGGTCATATTAACATTTGTTAATTAAAGATGTCCACTCTCGATACAACTTCCCTTGGACAGTCAGCGTACTTCAAACAATATGGTCTCGTGCTTACTGCCAAGCTCTTTGCACGGGTTCTAAAATAATTATTTAGTTTGTGTCACGTGCTTTGATTAAGTTAACAATCTTTACAGCATTTTAAAGAGTGACATTTTCTATAGATTCCACAGTGTGTCCATTTTGGTCCTAAAAAATGACCAGTCATTGCTCTGGCACCATCAATGCATATTCCCAAACGAAGGTTGGGGTGCAAGTGTGATAGATATATAGATATATATGTTTACACAAAATTTTAATTTATCTAATTTTTATTTAACAATTTAAATTATGTGTACAAATATAAAAACCATTTTAATAAACTAAGATGCATTTGCAGTATTAAGTAAAAAAAATATGTTAAAATAAAAATGTGTCACAAAAATATTGCACACAAAAAAATTGCATTAAAAACTAATATCACATCTTTTATAAACATATTAAAAAAATAACTATTTGATATGTAAATGTAATTCTAATTAATGTATTATATTGGAGGTACCTATCATTTCGAAGTGGAAATTAATTTTTTAAGAATTTATGTTCAACTTAATATTTAACTTAATATTTTATATATGATTAAAATCCTAGAATACTAAACAAAACATTAAATACCACTTTTTAACGTACAAAAAATTGAAATTTTTTAAAAATGGTCTCGTACTGTCAAAAGATCACTTTTTCGGGTCATGTTTAGGGTTGCTACTGGCAAGTTGCCAGGTTATGTCAAAAAATAAAGGGCATTTTGTAAGAATTTACCCCAATTACAAAAATGACACAATCAAAAATAAAATAACGTCAAACTTTCAATTTGCATTGTTTTATTGTGTCATTTTTGTAATTAGGGTAAATTCTTACAAAATATAGTTTATTTAAATATTTAAAAATTTTAGAAATTTAGAATTCTAGTTTTTACCTTACCTATGGATGTAAAACAACTAAATGACGTCCTACTGCTAAAAGGTCATAAATATAAAGTAGGTAGTGGGACATATCATTTTAAAGGTCTTTAGAAGCTGATTAAATGTAATTACCTACTATAATAATAATAATAATAATAATAATAATAATTGGTTCTTTAAAAGTTCTCATTATAAAATAACACGTTAATTATATGTTGTTAATTTTTTACAAATCCTGTATAAAATCTGAAAAATGGGTGGTTTGTTATAATCAGTTTGCAAAGACATTTTTAATAATGTATCACATAACCCCACTTCTCATAAATTACCTTTTGAAAGTACAACATTTTTAAAAATTGTTCAAAACTTTTTTTACAGTCAAAAGTGGTAATAGGGCCTTTCCATCTAAAATCGAAAAAGATACCCCTTCGTTGTTTTTACCGAAATTTTGTTTACAGTTTCTGTACCGAAATCGATGAGACCTAATTTTTTCTTTTTGCTTTAATTTGTTTTGTTTTCCCGTAGGAAATTTTTGAAAAATGGACATTTGTTAATGAAAATACGATTACTTGGACAAAAATGTTTCGATCGTTACAATTTTTTTTAAATTGTATGTAAATGTTTACCACATAAGTACCAAAAAAAATAAGTAAATTAACTTAATTTTTTTTATTTCTTTCTAAAAAAGGCAACAAAAAGGTCAAAATTTTGACATTGCCAGGTTTTTTTACTTCATATTTTTTTCATTTGAAGTTGATAATATGAACAACTTTTACCAGAAAAAACAATTAAAAAAAATTGCGTGAATTTACTAATTTTTTTATATATATTTTTTGTTTATGGTAAACATTTAACTACAATCAAAAAAATTGTAACGATCAAAACGTTTTTGGCCAAGTTATCGCATTTTCAAGAAAAACTGTCACTCGTAAAAAGAGAAAAATCGAAATTTTTGTCCATTTTTCAATAATTTCCTACGGGTGAACAAAACAAATTTAAGCAAAAAGAAAAAATACGGGTCTCATCGATTTAGGTAGAAAAACTGTAAAAAAAATCTTAAAAAAATAACGACTTTCCCCTTTTTGCTAGGTCAATTTGAGATGGAAAGCCCAATAATAATTAAATTTAATGTCTTGTTTGACAATCTAAAATTTCGACTTTCCAAATTCAGCTGTTTCAAAAATAAAAGTGGGAGGGAATTTTTACGGCTCACAATATGTATGCACCAAAGTATATATTTTTATCTTTAGCGTTTAAGCGTTTCACAATTTAAGCTTTGTTTTTGACAACAAAGTATTCGATTATCTCCTAGGCTGTACAAATTATTTAGACCAAGTAAAATCCTAGCCTGTAAAACAATTCGATAACTGCTCACAGTTCTGAAGCTTTCCAACCTCACTTTGTGCTTTAACTAATTGTTATAATAATTTTAAGTACGTTTTATATATTGTTTAACAAATAAATAAATTTTTTTGTACGATCAATTGTAAGACTCACTAATACGACGGCCTTTAAACTTTAAGCTCACCACAAAAAAACTCACTTCTCAGCTCATAACAGCTCATAACATAAATATTTATTATCTTTAATTAAAAAAATAATTTAGACCAATCGCACAAAGATTTTTACCTACTAGTCTGTAAAAACACGTTTGGAACAATCAAAAAATTCGACTACTGTCAGATCTAATCTAACCTTCTACTTTTAATAATAATTATAATTGTACGTTTGATGTTAAGAAGTGTCTTTTTGGGCTTTGCTTAAACTTTGAGGTTAGCATAAAAAGATTCACTTCCCAGCCTCATGGCATAAATACAAAGTATTTTAAAGAAATAAAAAAGTATTATACTACTATAGTACTACTATAGTACTACTGCAGAAAAAGTTGTCGTTATTCAAGACGTCCCAAAAATTTAGAACTTCATCCTAAATTATCATCCTGTATTTTTTTTTAACATTTTCTATTTATAATTGTTTTGTTTGAAAAAAAATATTATTATTTTAATAAATTATTAATAAATGGCTTAGTATAAATCAAGTAAGCCATAAACAAATTAGTAAATTACTTGTTTAAAATAAAACAAAAAAATATTTTATATATTGATTTACTAAATTAATCTAAAAAAACCTGTGTTTTATAATTATTATTTTATCTCCATAATGTTTAAAAAATAATGTATGTTTTTTGTAATTGTTGAAACAATACTATTTATTAGATTTTAACCATTTTTTGTAACAAATCAATAAATATTTTTTATAAAATTTTAACAATGTTTCAAAAAAATTAAAAATAACAAACATGTAATATTTGTTTAAATTTAAAACCAAACCACAAATTTTTTTATCCAATAACAGCCACTATAATCACTAACACGAAAAACAAACACAGTAGGTGACAGACGAGAACCTTGCGGCACCCCCACCCCAACGTACTTACATTTGACAATGCAAATTAAAATACAAAAGCACAAGTATTTTAACATCTCATCAACAGCACTGAGAACGGTGTGCAGTGTGCCAGCGACTTTTATATAGTTACGGATGACAGAAGTCAATTGTTTTGCTCCTTCCACGGCACCCTTCGATATCCGATCGTTTGTCGGATAATTTGCGGCATTAATGCAAAGTGTGCTCTGGCCTAAGCCTAGTATAATGTTTGATAACCGTTTTATTATGGTTTGTATGGTAGAAAGCTTATATTAGATAATCGTAAACAAAAATGGAAAATAAGTAAAATTCTAAAGGTGTAAATTTAATTTGTATAGTAAAATGTGATCTACATTCTTTCAATTTTAATTCAAATATAAATTATTTACATGCAGATATTTTTATGTTTCGGTAAAAAAGTACTTGGGTATATCTTTTAATGTGCTTACACGTACACCAAATTTTTCATTCAAACTAGATTTTAGTTATGTTTATTTCTCACTGTTTATTATTTATTTGGTCTTTGACATATTTGATTAAGTTGGTTTGTTTAATTTTTTTTTTAATATTTTGACAGTAGGTTGTTTTGTATTACCCATTTATTATAAACTATAATAGTTTATTGCTCTATAGGCATCGGTAATTGGCCGAGTTTAATATTCACTGTGATTTGAACCAAACGAGTTTTAAATATGAAGGAGGCAAGCATAATAATATTTAGGTATCATTGGTAGAAAGTAAGGTGAACCAACTGACAATCGTCATAATTTTTTTAAATTATTTAAATACCTACTAATAATTACAATTATTGAAGTCGATAAAGTACCCCTATATATGTGCATTATTCACTCGGATGATTTGCGTCTCTCGTCTTGCGACTCGAGACGCAAACCTTATTCTTGTGAATAATAGCCTGCATTATGTTTTGTATAATAATATACTATTACAGTTTAAATAAAAAAATAACATAATTTATAAAAAAAATAGTTAAATTAGTCTACTCTCAAATAGGTTTTTACATTTTATTTATTATTTTATTTATTTTTTAGTGCTCATAATAATTTTGTTGTTCACCATTGTTTTATACTTTTTATTATATTTTATGTTCTAATTTAATTTACTAAAACATTTTTTTAAAATAACCATGTCTAAGAAAAATAATACTCTTACTATATTACTATTTATTTTATGATCTTTTAAATATTTTTAAAAATATAGCATTCATTTAAAAAAGTATATATATATTTTTTGAAAATCATAAAAATACTTTCTATTTTCTAGGCGAAGCCTTTGAGATTCGGATTTTAGCTTAAAAATTTATAAAAACTAAAATGTCTTTTTTATTATATTTTTTTAGCAAAAAAAAAATTAATTTAAAACAATAATAAACTGGCATTTTCCAAATAATAAATTATTTTATTTAATTTTTTTTTTCATATTTTATTTATAATAATTAATAATATAAAAAATTTTAAAATCAACTAAAAGTAATAAAATAAAACATTTTCACATGTTTATCACCTGTTATCATAAAATATTTAGAAAGGTTTTATTATTGCTTTCGCTGATCAAATAAAAAACGAAACTTATGATTTTAGCTGTGCCACAACTGTTCTTTTGTTTATAAAAATCACAGCTCTCCAACTAAAAAATTAACGTATAAATGACGAAAGTAATCAAAAACATTTTTATTTAATTGTCTACAATGTAGAACAAAAATGGTTTATTTATAAATTTACGATTTTGGTAAAATACACTGAAGTAATTGCTTGATAATAATAATAAATAATAGATCAAATATATAGAATATATAGAATTGGGTCAATAAAAATAAAATAATTGGTAATCTTTTAAAAAAATTAAAGGGGGCAAATTATATGTACATACAGGGTGCAATAAATGTTCCCAAAATTTCGCATCACAATTTAGCTGCATAAACTTTATTAAAAACTTTTATATTTAATTAAAATTTAACATCTGTTTTTCAAAATGTGCTCTATGTACTAAGCTTCGTATAAAGAATTCAGTCAAATAACTGAGGTTTAACCTTTGTTCCGGCTTATTTTATAATAATAATACTATACATGTGTCATTTGTGTCTAATTTATAACACAAAAATAAAATGTATTTCATATATTCCCCAAAATTGATCACACTTAATAGTCAATAGGGTTCAAATCAGTGCACATATTTTACCCAGACCATCACAGAACCTGCAAAATGGCTGCAAGTGACACTTTTTGCTACAGTGGTCTTTTTCTAACCTTTCTGAGTAATTGCAAATATATGAAGATAAATCTGATGTAAATTTTTAATTAAAAAATGTTACTGTTTCAATAAAGTCCTTCATCTTGTAAAAAAACCGTTTTTATTCACTAATAGAGCAATGTTGTATATGTTAAAGCTAAAATTTTATACAACATCCCGGGAACTTCTATCGTACCCTGTACAGTGTTAAATAGTTTCATTAATGCATTTATTAATTAAATTAAATTTAAACTATGATTTTAATTTGAACTTCTAGGATTATTTACAGAAAAAAACCCACATAAGTCTAAGTAGAAACTTCCACTATTTTAAATTTAAATCTTAGTTTATTAACTTGCAAACTTTTAAAAACATTCCTTAAAATCACAGTAAAATCATTATAATAACAGTTTTAACTTTTTTGAATACTTGGGGAAAATTCAAATTTTTATTGTTTACAGTTAGTTTACATCTTGAATAATTCCTTAAAAACTTTATTTGAATTATTTTATTGCTTTATGAAATAATTTTAAAGTAATTACAATATTCTTTTTGTTTAAGGGTTTATTTCCGGTTAGTTTTAACGCCTTAAATAATTATTTGAAAACTTTATTTGACTAATTATTTTATTTCTTTATAAAATACTAATTACTATATTTTTTTGTTAGATTGTTAATTATTGTTTTTAACATTAAAAATTGTTAAACAATGGTTTATGTGCATCCATCCATTGTTTGTTTTTATTTTTAAAACATAAAGATTTTAAAATAAGGTATTTGAATTTATAATCGTTTAACTTTATACAGTTTATACAATTTTAAATAAAAATAACAACAAATTTAAATGTTTGCACAATTAACTATTGTAATGTACATACATAATAAAAAAATATAAGAAATTCAATAATAATATTTTTACAGACAAATTACCCACTTTCTTTGGAAAACTAAAGAGTATTGACATGGGTTTTACTTTCAGTTAGTAAGTACTTATTTTTAATAATGCACTTTTCCTACATGAGTCACATATGCGATTTATTTATAAAAGTAAATAATTTAAAATTGATTTCAAATACATATTTTAAATGCAACAAATAATATGCCCACGTGTAAAGCCATATGTGCACTATATGATAAGTACTTATGTATTATACCATTTATAATAAATTTGTTGAATAGAGAAACTTACAAGAAAGAAGAAACCATTTCAAAAGATGTTATTAAAAAAATACTATTAATACTTATTGTTAGATACATCTATTATTATTTTGGAAAACAAATAAAAGATACAAGATTACCTTTTTGTTTCAAAATATTTTTTCTATTATTGACCAGACTTTTAGACACTAAAATACAAAAAGATCCCAATAAAATTAATTAAAATCTGCAGTCAAAATAGAAGATATACGGCATTAAAAAGCAAATAAAAGGGAAATAAACTTTTCAAGTTATCATATATTATAAACCCATTCTGCAGCCTAATAAAATGGCTATTTAAAAAAAATAAAAACACTTTTTATGAAAAGTAAAAATAAACTTTAGTTAAATCGAACTTATAATAATCAATACATATTTTTTACTAAGAAATTTTAAATATTACATTATAATAGTATATTATGGTGATTCTACAAAAGTTGGACAACTTGATGTCATCAGTCAATAGAGTAGGTATTTTAATATTTTTTGTAAATATTTTAGTATATTATAAAAGATCCAGTTTTTTTAACTTGTCCACCCAATTTTAATGTATTTTTTCAAAAGCACGTTGGTAGAAAAACATAATAAATATTTAAAATAATTAATTGTTTCGACTTTTACTTGATGAAACTCCATGTTAATATTGTTTTATTTTAATATAAACTACACTGTTTAAAAGTTTCACTATTTTATTTAAATATGACAATTGCTTCGCTACACAGTAGCATCTTCAGATCGTGATCGCGATCTGAAGATGCTACTATGTAGCGAAACAATTGTCATATTTAAATAAAATAGTGAAACTTTTAAACAGTGTAGTTTATATTAAAATAAAACAATATTAAATATTTAAAACATCAGTACCTTGGTTTGAATAAAATATTTGAGTGATTTTATTTTAAAATATATTCAATTTATCTTAAATTTTTCAATTTCAATACGAACTATAAAACATTAAATAATGTCACAGTCACACCTCCATTTATTAAATAATGTATTTTTCATATTTTATCATAGATTCGAATAATAGCAATTTTTTAAAAAAGTTCTGTGTCCAATGTTAAAATTCAAAATTCCTGCGAAATATTGAAGTTTAAACGTCAAGTCCTCGTTTTAACTCAAGTGTTGGTAAAAAATTACCTACAGAGCCCTCCCTTTGCACGACAGTCATCTTGAAAACAATGCAAGCGGCGAAGTTGTGGTGAATGCACATATAGTGCCAGTCAAAATTTCAGTACCGTGGTGAGTAGATATTTTCTTACGTATATATATATTTCATTGTAATTTATATAAGGCTATATGTGATTTGTTGATAAGTAGCATCAACTAATAAACAATATCAGTAAAATACTTAATTCCTAATTATAATCTCAAATTTGTATCCCATTCATCAGTACCGTTTCGTCAGATCCATGTTCGATCTTTCGGTTATCTTTTTTCGCAAACTTCAATTTAAATTCTGCCTGCGCAGAACTTATAAACATTATAAACTCATATAAATTTGGTGTGGGTCCCATATCTAATAATTGAGATATCGCTATACCCAAAATCCACCAGCCGCCACTGATGTGTGGTATTATTTGATTTTAAGATATTTAATGTATAATATTCTCAAAGTTGCAATAAATCTTATATTTTCCAATAAATTATGTATTTAATTAGTACCCTGGTATACTCGTCACTTCCCTTGCATTCAAATTTAGAAAACACAGATGTTTCAGAAACTGTTTGAAAAAGTGACTGGCCCGGTCTGGAAACAGTATATTTATTATATTATCTATGTTCTCATAACAAAATACTGTTTAATTTTCTCCGAAAACTATATAAACAAAATGAGGTCAAAAGTTGCCCAACTTTTGTAGAATCACCCATTACGTATCAAGCCATTTTAGACCTGAATTTAATTTAGGCAAGAGCAAGCTTGCAGGCGAGTGCTTAATTAAATGAATGTATAGAAAAGTTTATAAACGAGTTGCATTTCTAAGACAAATACTTTTTATTATTTATATCTATAAAATGATGTAAATTAAATATTTGTATAAAGCAACATCTATAAAAAATAGAGTAACCAAGGCAGCTACACCATTTAAAATAATCTTAAAAAATACTTTTACACAGTAAAAAATTAAGCTACAAATATTTTTATAAAATTTAGAAAATTAAAAAGTATGCATATGTATAGATTATGCATATAAAATTGTATTTTGGGATAAGCTGTGGTTTGGATTCTATAGAATCTAATAGCCATTTCGATTTTTTTAACATACCTACCAAATTTAAGAAAAAATCATTTTAATTTTGTAACCCAGTATTTTAATAAAAAAATACATAATTTTTTTAATTTTATTTAATAGGCGTTTAATTTTTACAAAAAACATTTATAAATTTTCTATACTAAAAAGTTGTTAAAGGGTGAAAGCTTGGGTCCAAATTTTAAAAGGGTTAAAGCTTGGGTCCCTTAGAGGTACAATATTTTTAAATTTAAACAAAATTGTACCACTTTTATTTTTTTGTTGCCTGCTTGGTATATAGGGTGTCACGAAAATATCACATTAACGCCATTATGGCGTCGCATACTACTAAGGAATGTTCTCTTAAGTATAATAAATATATTTTTTTCGACAAGCAGTTTTTAAGTTTTTAAGAATTTAACAAAATAATGCAATGCAAAAATGCAAAGTAGTAATTTGACAAAAATTGGAGAAACGTAAAAAAGAAAAAAAAATTGTTGGTTAATTGCTCCAAAAGTTTTCAAAACACCTCAAATAATTTTGTTTTAATTTGGAATAATTAGTGCATATCTGTTCTTTTTATTATTTTCGCAATAAATTGGTGCTAATTAAGTAAAACATTTACATAAAATTTTATTATTATAGAATGTTTTGGTTTAAATTATATAATATTATAACAATTTGATTATTTAACAGGTGCGTAAATTGACAATGCGTGTGAATTTGGAATGCTCCACTTATTTATTTATAGATTTTATCATCATTTTCTATCAATTTAATACTTAAATATTATAATTATGTTATTACCTAAGAAATAAATTATAATAATTATAATAAGTATTTATAATATGAAAATTATTGTACGCTTAAAAAATAGTAGATTATGTCATAAGGAGTAGAAGTGACTCTTTTTGTGGTGAGTACAGAGATTGACGGCCGAAGCGTAGCTGAGGCAGGCAACTGTACGAAGCACAAAAAGAGCTTCTACTCCAAATAACATATACAATTTTTTTTTCAAGGGGGTAATATAAATAGGATAAGCAATAGAATTATTTTATTTACTCATAACTCATGTGGTATAAAATTTTGGCTAAAAGCATTAGAAATTATTGATAAAAACTAAAAAAAACTTATAACCCTTACTTACAATGCCGATAAATATCCTAAACTAAAAATAAACACTGCTTTTAAAATGCTGCGCTTGAATTAATTTTGACGTACTGACATTTGTTTGGAGTTCCGACATTGGCGACTCGTCTATTATCATAATATTTTACTAATAAACTAGTTGTTCTTTATTTCGTTCAATTAAAATTTAATAAATAATCACTAAATATTCCGTGCGATTATAATTAATATAATTAATACATCGTGATTGCTTTGTATGAAATACTAAATTAATTTTATTATTTGAAGTCTATTGAGACACCTATGAATTTACTTCTATCCCTAGGCTTTTTTGAGTTTTTTGTCTGCCGCTAATGAAAAAGACGCACTTCAACTATCTCTATACAGGCATATAAGGTTGTATATCATGGCCGCTTGAAAAAAAATGTTTTTTTTTGCAAAATTTGTTATTTAATATCTTATTTTTAGAAACTTTTTGCCTATCATGCATATTTAAGCTTTGCAAAATGCTTTATGGACATATTTAAAAGTGAAATGTAATTTTTGTTCCACAGTGATTTCCAACACGTTGCGAAATGGTAATTTAGGTATATATTTTTTGGGTAATTAGTCACACTTAATTTATTTATATTTATATATGTTAAATTAGATTTACATAATAATACACACAGGAAACAAATATTAATTTCCTTATAATTTTGACACCGGGATTTCGGACATTAACAAAGAAATTTAATGATATCATTAACATTGTATATAGGCTATTCAAAGAATAAGTACACCTTGTGAAAAAATCCGTTGTGCATTATCAGAGCATAATGAAATAGAAAGTAGTAGCAGATTAAGTAATACTCACCTATTCAGATATTTGTGCAGTGCAGTATAAGCCTAATTTGGATGTCTAAAAATTAAAAGACAGGGTGTTTCATAACTCAGGGATGTATAGATGGATTATGTTAAGAATTTCCTAGAAAGAGAAATAAACAATGTTAAAGAAAATGTAGAAATTATCAATGTAAAAACAGTTTTATAATTTTATAATCTGTCGGATGACAGATATCCAATTGTGTTATTGGATAATATTTTTGTGTGTGTTTGTGCTACTTGTTAATGTTTAGATTACATTTATTTTTAAAGGATGTTTATTTAAAAAAATTCAAATGTATACAAATACATACTAAAAATGTATTAAATTAAATTAAATAACTTTTTGTATTGTAGTAATTAAACTAAAAGTTTGTTAATTTTGTCAATAATTAAAAAACAAAAAAATGGTAGTTAAACAATTGTCTAAAGAAGTTTATAAAACACGACAAACACAAAAATAAAATAATTTTAAAAAATAAATAAAATCTGACATCCTTAATCTTTATGCTATTTTATCTATTTTGCAAAAATTCAATAAAAAAATATAATATTATACCTTAAATTTAATTTGGTCGAATTTTACTTTAGTTAGTTGGTATCACAGTCATTGGTTTAAAGGGTTAATGTCAAAATCGATTCGCCATGCCGTCCTTAATTTACTTATTTACAATAAGCGGCTGTTAATGTTAAAGAAGAAAAAAAGGGTTTTTTTGGTGTTAACCAAAATTATTGCCAGAAAAGTCTCGTCCCTAATAACACGTGACTAAAATGACGTGTATCAAACTTGATACATATTATGTATTACATAATATGATATTACTACCTAATAAATTAAACTTTAATGTGTATTGGCAATTTAAATGCAAAAATGCAAATTAAGTAATAATTAACTTTTAGATTAATTAATAAAACAATTTAGTAAACCTAAGCTAGGTTGCTAAGCTTATTAAATTTGCCAAAATGTAAAAATTTATTAAACTAGATAATTTTATAATTAACACTTGTAATAATTATTTAAAATTAATTAATTTTATAATCATATCACTTAAAATTAATTTATTTCCTATAATTAAAACTGATTAAACTAAATTATGTTATGGTAGAGTAGTTAACAATTTAAGTTACTATTATGGAAAGTCAGATGATGTTTGATGACCTAAAAAAATAAATGACAAAAAAAACTAATTTAGCAAAATATTTTAAGTAAAGGTTTGGTGCTTATTTGAACTAAATATATTTAGTTCAAATCAGTGTATTTATTTATTTTAGTGAGCGGAAGCACAATCCACACAATAAGGTCTGTTCTATCTCATGCTTTTATTTTTAATACTAAAAATCACTGCAACACTGCACAGAGTTTAACGGCGGCCATTTTTGTTGTTTACAATTCATGTGCTTTGGGTTTGTGCTGTTTAATAATTGTTTTAAACGTTGGGTTTCTTACAGGCACTTTCAAGCCTCAAATAAGGCCTTTAAGTGCTAAGGACAACCATTTTACTCCTCTTTTATAATAAATATGCCTTATTCTATCAAATGACAATTTGAAGGTTAATTTGTGGGTTATAATTTAACCTTAAAATTGACATTTGACAGTTTTATGACAGCCCTGATAGAATAAAGTTTATTTTTTACAATAGATGAGTAAAATGGTTGTTCTTAGCACTTTAAGGCCTCTTTTAAGGCTTACTATGAGAAACACAACGTTTAAAACGATTATTAATCTGTATAAACATAGCTCAAACCCAAAGCACAAAAATTGTAAACAACAAAAATGGCCGCCGTTAAACTATGCAGTGTTGCAGTGATTTTTTGTATTTTTAGTACGAGATAGAACAGACCTTGTTGTGTGGATTGTGAGCGGAACTATGGTTCGATGCTACAGTAGGAGCGGTGGTTAGCGCTTCGGTGTGTCTGCACGTCTTGCGATTTAGCTTAGTATTTTGCTGCGTGCAATTTGCACTACATTTTTTAACAGCAAATCAAAATAGACGATAGGCATTTCGCCTAGAATCCGGTCTCTAGAGATAAGGAAGTAAGATAAGTTAAAGCTTATTTAAAAAGTAATTGAACTTATGCTGGATTTATGCAGCACAAATTAACATTAAGTTAACATTAAGATTAAGATTAACAGTTAAGTTAAATGAATAATCCATTGGAAGCTTTTATGCAACACATTAACATTAACTTTAGCATTAACCCTTAACTACTGACACGGAGTCTGACAGACTCCGCGTCGAATATTTTATAGTAATACTTCCACCACAAATTTTATTGGCGCTTGCCGTTCACAGTAGCTTCCTAGTTTGGAGTGTTATTTGAGGTAGCGAAGGGACAAGTATATGACATTATTATTTATTTAATTATACGCGCCTCGGAGTCTCCCAGACTCAATGTCAGTATGAACGTCACAAAAGTTGAAAATCATTATGGCTAGTTCCCGTACGAATATTCGCTTTAACGACCCAGATTTTGAAGAAATAGCAACGCAATGGTTTAACATAGGTTAGAAACCAAAATCAGCAGGGAACTAAAAAGTTCAATCCGTCGAATTTTAAAATTGCCAGAAGAGCTACAATGCCAAGAGGTACTTGTACTTGAGACACGAAAATATTGTTACATATGTCCTTCCAAAATTCGAAGAAAGACATGTATAAAATGCCAAAAACCAATATGTCTTCAATGTTCACGCAAATGTTGCACAAACAGTTGTGATAACTTGGAATAATAAAATATTTTATTTTGATATTATGGTGTTTATATTCCATGGACAGAATCGTTACCATTAAACTTAAAAATTTTGTTTGCATTTTTTTTTATGTTATAACCTTTGTGTTTACTATATTCTTTGTAAAAAAAAAAAAAAATCAATATTTTTTGTGATATTATTATATTTTGTTTACGTGTTTTTTAAAGGCAAAAAAAAATTGGTTTTCTTTTGTTGTTTGTTTTTCATATTTCTTTTTTATAAATGTGATATATTTTTTAATAAATGTTCATAATATATATTGTGTCTAATTTCTATGCTAAAATTATTTTCATAAAAGCTCCAAAAGTATTTAATAACAATATACTAAATACGGAGTCTGGTGGACTCCGTGTCCGTATTAATGTCAAAAAAATGGATGTCAGTAGTTAAGGGTTAAGTTAACATTAAGAGATGGCCAACTTTTTTCTTCTTAATGATAATGTTAATTTTTATTCCTCCTGCGCAGGTTTGCGGCGCAATTTTTAAATAAACCGTGTCAGTAATGCCAACATACCCGAAAATAAAATGAAACTTACTGCTGAATGATTGATTTTTTATTCAATGATTGTGTTCTTTGGTTTATTGTTTGACATGGAGTTTATAGTTTTCATTTATTTTACTTAACAGATGCTAAAACGGAATTAAAACAAAATTCAAACAAACCAAAAATGTCAGATGTCAAAATTACTTTAACTTATACGCATGCTTAATTTGCTACTAATTTTGCTGCATAAATACTCTCCTATTAATATTAAATTAATCTTAATCTTAATGTTAATGTTAAAGTTAATCTTAATGTTAATTTGTGCTGCATAAATCCACCATTAATCTTCCTAAGATTTTTGGGTAAACAACCTTTAAATAACTGATGAGGATAAAGAACTAAGCGACATATTACATTATTTTGTTGTTTCTTTTAAAACACTTCTCTTAGGTCTTTTTAACTATAAAATTTTTGCCAGTTGCCAAACGTAAAAAAATCCTTTTTGTAAGAATTTTCCAATAGTTATTTATCTCATAAGGGAGTCTTTTTTTGCTCAAAGTTTAAGCGAAGTACACAAAGAAACTACTTAGCTGCATAATTTTTTTTGTTAAATAATACATAAAACGTACAAAATAATTATGAAAGAATAAAGTAAGGTTAGGTTAGATCTGATAGTAGTCGAATTTTTTAATTGGTCCAAACGAGTTCTTTACAGACTAGAAGGAAAAAACTTTACACGATTGTTTATTTTTTGATTGTAGACAAATACATTTTTAATCTTTAAAAATATGTTTTGTATGTTAATCAAACCTACTATTTTTTTCGAATCTCCAATAAAATTATGTAATATTTTAAAAGCTTTTTGAAAATAAGGTTAACTTAAACTTTAAAAAGTAGTTTTAAAAGTAATTTTAATAGTATTTATTATTCGGAGGAAGGTGCAAAGCAATTTAGCTGCAATCTTTTAAGCTTGAAAAAAAATACTCACTTGCCCTTCTAATGACGTAATCTACTATTATATCAGGAGCCTACAATGGAGCGAAGCACAAGACACTTTTCAACCGCAATTTTATCTGTTAAACAATCCATAAAACGTACAATTATAAGTTATTAGGCTAAGAAATGAGTCTTTTTATTATAAGCTCAAAGTTTGGAGGCTGACTCGTAGCGAAGGCTTAGATTTTATCTTTAAGGCATAATTTTATTTGTTAAACCTACAATTTTAATATTATTTATTAAAAGTAGAAAGTGAGGTTAGGTAGATCTGACAGTAGTCATTAATTTTAATAATAGTAATAGTTATTTGAATATAGTTTATTAAAAAATTGGTTTATTCTGTTTTAGTATAAGTGTCACTTAATTTTCGGACTTAATGCACAAACCGCAAACAATGAGAAAATTATGTTGAGGTAAGTATGAAATAAAGCATCAAACCGGTTAACGAAGACAAGCGAGTCGCTAATGTCATATTAATTAACTAGAGCAATCATAAAATTTGAACAGTTGCTTTTCCAATCAAATAATTATTGTTATTTTTTAGCTTATGTTAGAATATGACATCTCGGGACTGCTTGGTGCATTTTTTTTAAAAACGAGTTGGCGTGAATAAAGAAGTCAATGAAAACAATTTTTCGCTAGTTTAGGAATTTCGCTTCAAAAAATTATATAGTCTTACCTATATTTTTATGCCATATGATAGAAATGTTGAAAAATTGCAAAATCCACGTTACAATTTTAGTCTTGTTGTTTTTTTATGAATTTATGTATTGTTTTCATATTCATCATGAGCGAGAAATCATATTAATTTTTAAAAAGTTCTTAGTGTAGGGAAAGATAATGATAATACATAGAAAAAATCAATCTAAATAACATTATGAGTTGGTATTTATCAATTTCTTACGTTTTTAGTTAAAAAATGGCTATAAATTCATTAAATATTGGTTGGATAACTTTTTTTATGAGTCAGCCCTTTTTTCTCCCTACTTTTGGCGGTTTGCTCGAAAAAATTTTAAAAAAAAACGACTTTTTTTTTAAACTGTACTTTGACGACTCCTACGGATGAACCAATGCGAGTTACACAAAAAACTTCAAAGCAATTTTGAAGAGAGCGAAATTCCCCACAAGGTTTATCAAATATATTTGCAATATTGTAAAAGGTGGGTAAGCAAGAGAAATTTGAAAAAAAAAAAAGAATATATATGCAGATTAATATTTTGCTTGAGTACCGAAAAAACCAAAACTTTGCGGAAATGAATCACCCTAGTATTTATATTATTTATTTAAAAAAAAAATTAACACAAAACTTTTAATTTGTAATTTTTCTTTTTTTTTTTAATAACTTACATAAATGGTAACATTTTAATACGCAAATATTAAATAAAACCTAGATTTATATTTGATGACTCTAACAACTTTAAAAAAGTATATTTTTAACAAAAAATGCCCATAAATCAACATACAACCTACACTACTCAATGACTCGATCATCGCCTACTTCTTCAGGGTGCTTTAACACTTTTGCGTCAATGATTGAAAATCCTCTTCGGCGATTGGCTGACGGCATGAATCCTGCGAAAAGCACGCGATCCCATTGGCGTCCGAGACTTGTAATAAGCTTCGCAGCTTTTGGTGGTCGCCAGTGAGTCCCCACACCTGTATGCCAGTGCACACTGGATTCTTAGTGTCAAGTTGACGAGCGAGCTTTCGGCCTTTCAGCGCACTTTTGCGACGGTTTACCACCAATACGCAACTTTAAATTTTTGAACTACGATTTTTTATTTGACTTCAAAACTACCGGTAAGTCATTTTTTAAAATTGTTTAAATTTATTTTATTAAAAAAAATTAAGCGAAATTTTATTTATTCTATTTATTTTTTTTCAAACAAACTATATAACTAAATTGTTATTTGTATTACAAAGAAGATATATTAAAATTATTATTGATAAAAAACTGTTACCTACTGCAAGTTTTCTAATACCAATACAGAATTTAAAAAATGAAAAAAAAAAAATAATTTGGGTTTAAAGCAATTTTATATTTTAAAATAAAAATTGAAATACTTTTTTTGTAAACCAATTAAATTTTTAAATTTTTGTGATTATTTGCATCTATTTTTAGAGGAATATTTTGTGCATTTTTTAATTTTCAGATCCTATTTTTACTAAGTTGTTGTATCAAAAAAAAGAAAAAGTAAATTCTAAAATTACTAGGAAAAACTTTTTCAATTGATAATTTTTACTTAATTTAATTTTGTTTAAACAAAATATGTGACTAAAATTATTTTTGTTAAAACCAAATAATTCCATAAATAATTTCACAAAAATATTTTTAAACACATAATATAATGCATACTCGTACATATTTTTATGGCCTATTTTGTGCTTTTTTAATTTTGAAATATATAATAAAGCATATAAAAGTAATTAAGCATTTAAGATGGCGTTTAACTAAATTAAAATTTTACATTAAGTCGGTGGTTTGTTCCTACCACAACCCTTACATACAAAGCTTTTTGGGGTAAATAGTTAAATAAATACAATGTATACACTGAAAAATAATATATATTTTTTAAAGTAACATAGTGGTTTAAGTTGTCAGTTAAATATGTGTCTTTAAGATTTTTATTTTAGCTCAACGCACCTTTTTTCTTCTTTATACATATAATAATATAATATTATACACCGCTGTATTTCTTGTATTTCTGTTTGTACTTTTTTGCCCTTTTGGCCAATTTTCTTTTTTATGAGGCCAAATTAGGAGCCATTTTATTTATATGTGCCTAAAAGTACGGTCTTTAATAACTTAATTAGTAATCGTAGTAGACATATTTTGGTATAAAATATTATTATTGTTATTAAGTCTTTTTTTTTCTTTTTTGGCTTACTGGTTTGTTGCACACATAATACTAATAATTATAAAGTTTATAAAGGGTTTGTAATTTACTATTTTTTCTCAGTAAATAGTTATTTATGTCATAAGGCGATTTTTTACAATTTAGCAAACCACAAAAATTACAAACAACATTTTATTTTTAAGGCACAATTTTATTTGTTAAACGAAACTTATTAAACAATTATTAAAAGTATAAAGTAAATTAGATAGCTTCAGAACTGATTGATCCGAACAGGTTTCTTTATATACTAGGATGTAAAAAAATCACCTGTGGTTTTAATTATTTGTACAGCCTAGGGAATCGAATACTTTGGTAGTGAGCGTTAATATTAAGGCTTAAATTTTTCCAATTTAAGCCTTTCAAGGGAATAAAAATATTTTAATGGGGATTGATTTTTGTTAACAAGTATTTGGTCATTTTAAATAGCCCATATAAATTTATTTCATACGTATTTAATTGTATGTTTTTTCAAACATACAAGCCTGTACTTTTATCATTTTTAAAAGCAAAAAGTTTATGCTGTTTATGCTCTTATTTATAACAAATTTTACAAACGATTTACATTTGGGTCAGTTTATTTATGGCCTAGGCCATACAAATTCATCACTGTTAGATATTTTATTAAAAAAATTCTGTTGGAACCATCTAACCTCACTTTCCACTTTTAACTAACCAAAAAAATCGTTTTGCCAGAAATGTTTTCTTTTTTGATAATAACTTACAAACCAAATTTTTAATTTTTTTAAATCAGAAACTTCCATAGTAATAAATCTATCTTTTTTATTTTTACTTATCAATTGAATATTGATAAAAATATTACAAATTAGTCTGTGAAAACACTGTACAAATTTTAATAAAAATGACTTACTTTGCACTAAAAATCTTTGAACAATGGAATGCCAAATTATCGCAATGTTTCTCAAAATCTACAGGGTGTTATGTAATTAATGTTATATATTAAAATGGGTTGTTCCTTAGGGTCCATCAAAAAGCACCTGAAACTTTTTTTTTCTAAATTCCAAAGTCTAAAAATAATTTATAATAACCTTTATCCTACCAAAAAGTACGCCACTGATCGACTAGGAACTTTAGGTTAATCTGGTGGATTTATTATGTTATGGTTGGTAACAACAGTGTTTCCAAAATCTCTTAAAAAGGTTGACAAACATTGTTTAAATTTAGCTTAATTACAAAAATGACAAAATTAACAATGCAAATTGTCAATTTGGCGTTTTTATTAATTGTTGGTTGTTTCATTTTTGTACTGAAGGTAAATTCAAACAAAATCTGCCAACTTTTATGACAGAATCTAGTGCATTTCTTTTAAATTTTAGGTTATGTTTTCAAATTGTAAATATCTTAACTAAGGGAAGTGCTTTTGGATTTATTTACACAAATTAAATGTTTAAAGTTTAACCTGTGAACTGGTCCCAATTTCATCTGAGTAAACAGAGAAAAAAACTGATGAAAAAATTAATTTTGTGGTTATGGATTTCAAATTTCAAAGGTACTAAATTTTCTAATCATTGCTTAAGCTAATAGCTGGATCAGTAAATAAATACAGAAGGGTATTAGAGCTTTAAGGGCATACAACTTTTGTATTTATTGAGTTTTTATTTATTTTTTGCAAGAAAAATTTTTAGTAACAATTTTTTACATCTGGCAACGCATAGCTACTTTGTTGGTTGGTATCTATGTACTCACAAAATACAGGTGTGCAGAGATAAACAAGTGTGTAACCAGTGGCGTATCACAAAAAATATAAAAAACTTCTAATGCATATTTTTTCTTTATCTTTGGAAAAATGTTTTTTTAAATATTTTTCCTTTATTCCTTATGTCAAAAGGTATTCAGTATTTTAATATATAACATTAATAACATAACACCCTGTATAAGAATCCACGAAATTTGCCCAAAATGCGAATGTAATGCATTTCTGTATAACGAAACATTGTAGATAGTCCAAACACCCAGGATGGCCATTAATTGGGTAAAATATTATAAAAACACCAAATTAACCTGTTGATAAAAAACATACCGCTAAAAACGAAAACGAAACTAACAATATTTATGAACACAAATAATTTTATGAACACAGGACTAATTTATTATCAAACTTGCATAAAAATTTAGTACTGCTAGTTAAGTTGAATAAACGATTATAAATAAATTATTACTGATTCCGACATTTAAATATCGCAACTTTGAAATGATAAGACCACATCTTGTCCATAAAGACTAATATAATTTAACCAAAGGCCTAATCGTTTAATTTAATAACTTTTCAAACTTTACAGAACTTTTAAAGTGTTTGATAACTTATGTTTTATGATTAAAACATTTCACGGTTTTCTAAAAAAAAAAAATTTAAATACTCTTTTTATCATTAAAATTGTAATTATAAAATTTAATTAAAAAAATATAAAAATTAAAATACGAAAAATTAATAGTATAGTATGTTTCATGTTTGATAAACGCCATTTTAGTCACGAATTTAAATTAGGCACGAGCGAGGGTCTAGAAATGTTTATAAATGAGTTCCATATTACGACAAATATCTTCTTTTATTATCTAAAAATTTCTATAGAGCGACATCTATACAAAAATAAAGTAACCATTCAATATCAAATTTTTCTGTGTTCTTTTGCCATTTTGTGTTCTTTTGCCATTTTTCTAATGTAAATTTTTGGGAGTCAGTCTATTTTTTAATTAAATAAGCCCAAGAATATGCTATAATATGCTATATTTATACATTAAATTTAAATAATTAATTTTATAAAATGATTCTTGCAAAAATGGTGAATGCGCTGGGATTAATTAAATTAATAGTATTTTATTTATCAAGTTTGATAAACGCTATTTTAGACACAAACTTAAATTAGGCACGAGCAAGCTTTTGAGCAAGTGCTTAATTAAATGGGTGCTTATAAAAGTTTGTAAACGAGTTGCATACTATAATACTTTTTCTACGACAAACAGTGTTTAAAACACATATTATCTAAAAATGATTTAAATTGAATATTTGTATAGAGTGACATCTATAAAACAATAGAATTACCAACTTGAAAATGTGTATTAAGTGTAAATCAAAATGTATCCCTTAAAAATGGACCGTTTAATCGTATATAAAAAGAGTTTTTTACAGTGAAAGTAAAGAAAATGTTTTATTGGCACTCCACAGTGTCTTTACACGAAATTACAAGATCAGTACAATGTTACTGTTACTGTTACAATGTTCCATATAAACTTTTCAAATATTGGCGTTGAGAAACTATAGTTAATATTATATTTAATAATTTTGTATTTTTGTGTCTTCTTATATGTAGGTCGGCAAATGGCCCCTTTGAGGGGCGTACAGCATAACAGGGGTTTTAAGATAAATTATTAAAAATTTTGCATGCTTAATTAACTTTTTATGCTGAATTTAAAAATTATAACAAAATTTAAACTTTTTATTTTTAAGTGTATTAAACAGGAGCGACCTGGGGTATTTTTAGTTAGTTTAGTTTTTTGTGTGCAATTTTTTTAGCAAATTGGCTGCAAAATATAAGTTTTCTCTATTAACTTATTAAATTTATTATATTTAATAAATTAAAAAAGATAATTTTTTTTTAAATTTTTATTTTATTTTTATTTGAAAATGGTGCATTTACATAATAAGAAATACTAACTTAATAAAAAATACATGTTTCTCTAAAATACATTATTTTATTTCAAACCGTTTTAGAAATAATAATAAGAAAACATCTTTAGGGGCGCCCAGGGGCTATATAAAGTTTTATTTATAATGTTGGCTCTTAAAACCGCTTGCACACTATTTTCGGGATACCCTGTATACATTATATTATAAAAGTCTCAGTGTAATATATTGTCACGGTTTTTATAAATCCACCCCAATATCTA